CTGTCTTAACCCGGGGACACAAGTCTGTGAGACTCCAGGGGAGAGTCCTTCATTTCCGCCTGTGTGCAGCTGGGGCCATCGGCTCTCCGCAGGCCGGGAGCAGGAGCAGCGGGTGTGGGTGACCTTAGTGCCCCGTCCCTGCTAACCGGAGAGGCTCGTCTGCTTGGACAGGTCAGAGTCGGCCCAGGGCAACCCTGGGGAGGGGCCTGGCCACCCCTTCTGACCTGTGACTGCTGGGACCCGGTGCCGTCCAGAAGTCCCACGAGGGGAGCTTTAGCTTCTCCCCGGTTTGTGGAGGTTGCAGTTCGCAGTCAGGGGTCCCCGGAGGGCCTGCAGAGCGCCGTGTGCACAGGCCGGGCCCTTAGCGACCCCCCATCTCCCCACGTCACAAACGCATCAGGGGATCCTAGTGTCACAACCCTGAGCTCTGCAAGCCCTGGGCACCCACCTGAGAGGCAGGGGGACATCTAGAGAGAAACCACAGCAGACACTGTCTCCGTCTGTCTGTCTGTCTTGGTTTGTCTATCTGTCTGTCTGTCTTCCTCCCCTGCCCTTTCTCTGCTGCACTGAGGATGGAACCCAGGGCCTTCACATCGTTTTGAGACGGGGTCTTGCTGAATAGCCCAGGCTGGCCTCGAACTCTTGGTGAGCCTCCCGCCTCAGCCTCCCGAGTGCTGGGATGACAGGTGTGCGCCACCACACCGGCTTGGCACCCGGTCCTCTGGCCCCTTGACTTTGCATCACTCATAACTCAGCTGTCTCCTCCTGACTCGGGCCCGATGGCGGCACGGAAGGTGATCATTAGGTTCCCCCGAGGCTGGCGTGGGTGCCCGCCATGCCCCTGGGTCGGCCAGGTTGGGGCCCAGGCGGAAGAGGTGACCATGTGGGGCCAGGCAGCCGGTGACTCCGTCCTTTTATGTCCAGATCTGCTTGTTTTTCAAGAAACTCAGGTTTTGCTCCAAACCCCAGGGGTTTTAAAGGTGACTCAGTTTAAGCAAACATCCTGCGGCCAGCAGGGGACCCAGAGGCCTACGAGGTCACCTGAGGGCGAGCCTGGCTAGGGCTGGTCTAGGAATACAGCTAAGCCAGGCGGGCCGTGGCCTAATTCACAGTGCCTAAGTCCCTTGACGGCCTTGAGCCTCAGTTTCCCCTCTGGGGACCCTGGTGGTAGCACCTGGCGGGGCTGGGCTGAGACCCAGGACCCGGGAGTGTTGTCACGGCATCTGAGAGGGGCCTCCGTGTGACCCCATGTGCTGGCGCTGCCGGTGCTGTGCGGGGGATTTGGCACTTGTCACAGGGTCCTGGTGAGGTTGGCTGCAGCCCTGGGTTAGGGGTTAGGGGCTCTGGGGATGCCCGGAGACCCCCAAACTCTGCACCTCCGTGTCTGGTCAGGAGCAGAGAGCCCCGAGGCACAGCTCCCCAGCATCGCCACGTCCCTGGCCTCTGTCAGAGGCTGAGGCAGGTGGATCTCCCCAAAACTGACACCGAATGAAGCCCACTTTTTTAAGGTGTGCGAGTCGGTCTTTAGTAAGGTCTCGGGATGGTGCAGCTGTGACCACTGTTCAGTTCCAGAGCGTCCCTCAGCCCTGCGCAAGTCCCCGAGGCAGTCACCTGGTGGCTCCCCCGAGGCCACTTCCTGTCCCTGGTGTCCCCGGTCCCCGCGTTTCCAGTCCCTGGAGCCCGGGCTGTGTGTCCCTGTGCAGAGCAGTGAGAGCTGTCCCCTCACAGACCTCTCCTCTGTCACAGCCCAGCCTGCTCTGCAGTGCTGTCATCCCAGGAGGGGTACACCGGGCGGGCCTAGGGGTCTCGACTGGCACCAGCCGCCGGACTGCGTGGCTCGAGTGTCCGGAGCGGCCCCGGGGCTGCCGGCCTCCCACGTGCAGGTGCTGAGCTCACACACTGGCCCCGCCAGCCCCTCTCTAGAGGATCGGCCCAAATCCCATACCTGAAAGGCCGGGTCACCTTCAGCTGGCCCCATGAACCCCTGTTTTCCTGTTGCGATGCTGGGGTTGGAGCCTAGAGTCTTGGCACTGAGCTGCACCCCAGCCATTCTGCTTTGAGGTGGGGTCTCTGTAAATCGCTCGTTGTCTAAGCTGGGCTCCAACATGGGATCCTCCTGCGTCAGCCTCAGGGCGCTGGAGACACCGGTGTGCACCACCACACCCACTGCCCTCTTGGGGTTAAGCAGAAGCGGCTCTCACGGGGGACCCCAGCTCTGTGCCTGTGTGCGGAGCCCCTCCTGGTCCGGCCCCTGCCAGGTCTCCAGAGGCCTCTGGTCCCCCAGGCCTGCTCCCAGGCAGCTGGCGTCATCCGGTGCTCCGGGTCACCACACCAAGGTAGTGAGTGGGTCATTGCCTGGCCCCGCAGCCCTGTCCTGGCCTGGGTGCCTGCTGGTCAGAGTCCAGGCCTAGTCCAGCCCTGGGTGTGGGCTCCCTGTGTCTCTCACACCAGCCAGAGGCTCCTGTTTCTCTGGCCTTGAATGACTTCCTCTTTTGTGCCTAACCTGTGTGCCTGCCCTGGAGGGTAGTGTGGGTCCAAGGCAGGGCGAAGGGACAGGGACGGGGCGCCACTTTGGAAGGCCAGTCTGAGGGGTGACAATGCAGTTGGGTTTTGGGTAAACAGTAGAGCAGACCCTTTGTACGGGAAGTTGCTGCAGGTGGAGAAGGCAGTTTGTGCAAAGGCCCTGGGGCAGGGCGGAGCCTGGCTCTTGGGGGCTCATAGCGGAGGTTGTGGTGCAGCAGAGGGAGTAGGGAAGGAGGGGCTGACCTCGCCTGCCCGCCGCCCACCGACAGCTCACTTCCTGGGCTGCTGCTGGCTTCCTCATTGCAGGGTCCATGGTGCAGCCGCTGTGGCCACGAGGTCTCAGGGGCTGGCCTGGCCTGACCCCGAGCTCTTCCTCCCGTCTTGCTGTTCCTCCCGTCTGATTCTGGATTGACTGCCAAGTCCACAGTGCTCTGCCTTCTCTGGCAACATCTTTGGGAGGCGTGGGCGGGGAGTGTGCCTTGGTTTCCACATCCCACAGTGTGAAGCAGCAGCTCCCATGGAAGTCTGTTGTGGAGGTCTGTTCTGACCATCCATCAGTCAGTCAGTCAACAAAAGCTCAAGAGTGGCCACCAAGATAAACCGGGACAGGGTGGCTTTAACAGGGCAGGGAAGGCAGAGGGCAAGAGGCCGTGGCCTCAGGGGGAGAGGTCCCCGCAGGGATCAGGAAACAGTTGAGAGGCGCGTTCAGCTGCTGGACTGGAACTGGGCCTGGGAGGTCCCATGCAGGAAAGGGTAGAAGGGGGCGGGGCCGGGAGAGAGGAAGGGGAGAGGGCAGCTTCTCCCCAAAACCCAGGAGGCCGGGGCCCTTGGCCCGCCCTGCTGGTGACGCAGGCTGTGACGGGCACAGCGGGAGGAGGCAGGGCTGCCTCTCTTCCTCCCTCACTATTTTTAAACTTAATTTCCTGGAAAACGGGGCAGCAGCTCTCGCTAGGGAGATAATGGCTCACTCACTTCCAGACTGGGCGGGCGCCTGGCAGCTGCAGCTCTGGCCTGCTTCACCCCCGTCCCCTCCGTCCTCCTGGCCCCCGGGTCCCCTGGACATGACGGCTGGGTGGCCACCGTCCGGGGACCTGGGCCACCAACTGCCCGCTGGCCCCGGCCCGACCCTGGCCCTGAGTGGGGGAGGACCAGGGCTGCTGCCGTAGGGGACCCCAGCCTGGGGCTCCACGGAGCGGACCTCCCCTCTCCCCACCGGGAAGCCAGAGGTTCGAGCTCACTGTGGGCCTGCCTTTCCTGGGTACAGGAGGCTGAGGCGGGGGGTTGCAAGGCCAGCCTGGGCGTCTCAGAGAGGAGTGGGCAGGTGGCTGACCCGAAAGCCATCCTGGCCCCTCCCCAGCATCTGGTGGCCGCTTGGCTTCTGTTCTTCCTCCCCCCCTTTCTTACTTTGGGGACAGGGGGTCCCTGAGGGGCCCAGGCGGGGCTTTAACGTGCCATCTCCCTGCTCAGCCTCCCGGGTCTGCAGTGGCTCCCCTGGCCCCGAGGCAGGAGCCCCTTGTCTAGGCCTGTCTGCAGCCCAGCCCAGCCCGGGACCCAGCCTGTGACCGTGGTCAGGTCCCCTCCCCTCGGTGGCCCTCAGGGACAAAACGAGAGGACAGTTAGCACCACCAGCCCTGAGGGACAGCCTGCTTCCCCGAGAGCCGGGAAGCCCCGTGCAGTGGTGCTCACCGCGATCCCAGCACTGTGGGAGGCTGAGGCCCTAACCCTAACCCTAACCCGCCCAGCCCCGGCACCTTAGCGAGCGCTTATGTCAAGACAGACAGCAGAAGGGGCTGGGGTGAGGCTCGGCGCAGAGGCCCCAGGGCCGTCTCCAGGGCGGGTCACTGCGTGGTCTAAGGGCACAGCACGGGGTCTCCAGGGGCGGCCCCCCACCTGCCCGAGCTCCCTTGCCCGCCCTTCCTCGTTGCATGGGCCAGGGCCACTCCTCCTGGGGGGCTCCTCGGCCTGTGCCTTCAGTGCTGGGGCCCCTCAGGGTCTGTGGTCACAGCCTCAGCCGCCATCGGAGACTTGGGGACAGAGCAGGACCCCTGGCCTCCATGCCTGCTCCCACATCCCCCTGGTGGGGAGAGCTGGGCCCGGGACCGAGTCTGGGCAGTGTCATGGGGTCGAGGGGTTGGGGCTGCACTCAAGGCCTCCCCACCTGTCAGGGACTCCCCGCAACCCCGGCATTGGGCCGTCGGAGCCCAGTGACCACACCCCACACCAGGCTCCTCCCCGTCCCCGGGTGCCGGGCTGTGTCCACACAGGTGACCTGGAGATGGGGCCTGCGTGGTGGCCACTCCCTGCGTGGTGGCCGCTACCTGCTGCTCCTGGCCTTTTCCAGGGGTCCCCGGCCCTCGGCCAGGGAACAAGTCCATGTGTGAGCGGGGCAGGGTCAGGCAGGGCCTCCGGTGACCCGGACGGCATGGCGGCCAGCAGGGTCATCCTTGGGCTGAAATCTCTCCTCCTGTTCCCCTCAGGCCTGGCTCAGAAGAAGGTGGCCCTAGCAGAGGTGAGTTTCCAAAGTGGGGTACAGAGCTGGGGTCCCTGCCTGACCCGCCTGGGCTGGGAATTGGTGGAGGGCAGCCTTGGGAAGAGGACTGGGGGTAGGACAGGCCTCTGCCAGTGGGCAGGCAGGGTGGACCTGGGGGCGGTAGGGGAGGCATGCACTGGGGGTGCTGGGGGGCTGGCAGCCCTGCTGGACAGGGTGGGTCCCTGGGCACAGCCAGGCTCCCGAGTCCCAGAGGAGCTGGAGTAGCCTTGGCCTCCCAAGCCTGCCCCTCTCCCATGGACACCCCCTGCCCACACGTGCTTCTGAGCACCCCACGTCTGCGAAGCCCCCGCCCCACCGTGTGGTGGGAGCCGGCAGGCAGGTATGTGAGGAGCCTGCCTGCCCCCTGGTGGCCGCCGCAGAGGCCGCACCAGAGCCCGCCTAGGAGGGGCCAAGATGGGGACAGGGCCCCTGAGGCCACCCAGGCATCGGCCACCTGGTGGTAAACATGGGCGTTTGGTAGACGTGGGGGGTGAACCGGGGTCCCCAAGGGTCACACGGCAGGCTGGGTACAGAGAGACACAGTCTGGCCATGTCGGTCATATTGAGGGTCCACTGTTGTCCACCAATGACAGCCCGTTGCAGCTGGGGGACACCCTCGGGGAGCAGCAAGGCCTGCAGGGCCTCACCAGGGTCCCTTCTCTGGGCCCCTCACCCCTCGTCCCCGTGGGCGACCAGGGCGGTCATCAGGCCCTGCCCGGTCCCTCAGGCCCTCACGCTTCTGGCTTCCTTGTCCCCAGGCCCCGTCAGTGACTGGACAGCCCGGCCCAGGCCATGGGAAGAGGCTGGGACACCGAGGTGTGGACGCGTCCGGCGAGACCACCTATAAAAAGGTCCCTGGGCTCGGCCCCGTGGGCAGGGTGGGGCGGGACACCCCCACCACAGAACCAGGCAGGGGCCCTGCTCTGGGCACCTCAGACCTGGCCCACGGCCACCGTCCCCACCCTGGCCTGAGCTGCTTAGCAGCTTGGTGTGCGCCTGTCATCCAGCCCTCTGGGAGGCTGAGGCAGGAGGATCACAAGTTCAAGCCCAGCCCGGGCAACTGAGGAACTTGGTGAGCCCCTGTGTCTAAATAAAAATGGTACTGGACCCACAGGCCCTGGGTTCCGTCTCCAAGGAAGGAGAGTGGGTCAGGATGGGTGGCCCCTTCCTGGCCGCTAGGGCGGGTCCCCTCTGTGCCTGGGGCCACAGAGGCCTGCGGGGTCAGGTGGCCCAGGTGCAGCTGGCCATCAACCCTCTCCCAGAGCACGAAGGATCCCAGGGCTTGACGTCCCCATGTGTCCCTGCAGACCACATCGTCCACCCTGAAGGGCGCCATCCAGCTGGGCATCGGCTACACCGTGGGCAACCTGAGCTCCAAGCCGGAGCGCGATGTGCTCATGCAGGACTTCTACGTGGTGGAGAGCATCTTCTTCCCCAGGTGGGCCTGGCTTGCGCCCTCCGGCAGCGAGGGGGCTGCTGGCGAGGAGCGGCCTCCCTCCCCTCTGATCATGGCGCCTGAGACAGAGGCGCCCCATGTAAAAGCCACTGTTAGACACAGGAGCGAGAAGAGGTGGCCATTCGCTTTTATCTCGCGTGAAAATACCCCCAGGTGACCCAGGGCTGGTCAGGTGGCCCCTGGTGTTAGGGTCGGGCGTCACCGCCGTTGCTAATGTGCAGCTTTTGTAACCAGCAGTTCTGGGTGGTGGTCTGTGCTCCAGCCATCACGTCTGCATTCCAGCCAGGAAACAGCACACATTGTTTCTGCTCTGCTAACGTCTCCCGTGGCAGAGAGTGGTCTCCAGATGACCACACCTAGCTGGGCATCCCCAGTGTCCCAGAAGGAGCCCCGTGTCACTTTTGGAAATAATGGGCCAGATGGGGAGAGGGACCCCCAGAAAGCCACTGTCCCTCACCATCCCCCTGCGTCCTCTTCCACAGTGAAGGCAGCAACCTCACCCCTGCCCACCACTTCCAGGATTTTCGGTTCAAGACCTACGCACCAGTCGCCTTTCGTTACTTCCGGGAGCTCTTTGGGATCCGGCCAGACGATTACCTGGTGAGCACAGGGCAGCGCAGCCCGGCCGCAGCCAGGCTCCAGGCAAAACTCAGAGCACAGAGAGGGGCTTTGGTGCAAAGTCCCTGGGGTCGGTCCCTTGCACCACACAGAAGAAAAGTTGGGTGTGGCAGTGCTCACCTGTAATCCCAGCAGTTAGGAGGCTGAGGCAGGAGGGTCCTGCGAGTTTGAGGCCATCCCCACACACAGTGCGCCCACGAGAGAGGAAGGCGGGTTTGAGGTCATGGTTTACTCCACGGTGGGTTATGCTGCCCTGAGCTTGTGGCCAGCCCTTCCCGTCAGGGCAGCATCCCTTACCGGTCACCACCTCCACCATAGAGGAGGGAGACCAAGGTCCCTGTGGTCTCTGGACGGCCACCCCCACACCGGCTTCCTCCCAGGAGCGTGGAGCTGGGGCCGGCGCTGAGCACGCCCGGGTGGAGAGGGTCACCCGGTGCCATGCAGCTGCCTCCTGCGCTTGGCAGGCCTGAGTTTGGCTCGTCTGGGGCTCAGGGTCACCCACGTTCTTCTCTTCCACCACAAGTGACAGCTGACCCCAGGGCACCCCGCCCAGGCTGAGTCCCATCTCCCAACCGCAGTGCCTCTCACCAGGCAGAGCAGGGGACATACACCCAGTGTGTGACGCCTGGCTTTGGGGTACAGAGACCCCAGGCCTCTGAGTCCAGGCTGTCGGGGTGGGGTGGGACTCCCCAGCATTGTCTTTTGATCAGGGTCTCACTGTGCAGTTCAGGCCGGCCTTGAACTCACTTCGTAGCCCAGGCTGGGCTTGAACGCCCAGAGATCCTCCTGCCTCGGCCTCCTGAGCCCTGGGATGACAGGCGTGCGCCACCCCCTCCCTGCTTCCCCAGCCCTGTTGATGGCAGTGGTGTCCACAGGTCGGGGGCAGATGGGGATGTGCAGAAGGCAGAGCTCCCCGGGGCTGAGGGACGGAGTCCCAGCTGGGTGGCACCCCTTCCTCCCTGGGCCTCTCCCTCTCCCGTGGATATTTGTGGCTCATGGCTGTGGGCGGAGAAAGGGCGGACAGATGGCGGGGCCTGGTGACAGCTCCAGCCTGTCCGCATCTCCCCAGCCCTCAGCATCCTCCCCCGGCGAGGGGGGGAGGTTGGCCTGGATGCAGAGGGGAGATGTAAATGTCAGCAGGAGAGAAAATGGGGACGGAGAAATCAGGGTGAAGGCCAGGGCCAGAGTGCAGGGCGGGGGACCAGAGGGCCATGCACCCGAGGTGCGGCTCCTGCCTGTCTCTCTGCTGTCCACGGAATGTGCTTTTCATTGCAAAAGTCACCTCGTGGCCCAGGTTGGCTCCTGGGATTCCAGCTATTGCATCATCGTTCCAGGTGGGAAATAGGAAGGAAGGAGAGGGTGCAGAGGCAGGTGCACCAGGGTCACCTGTGCAGGAAGCCCCCCCACAAGCCCAGCTCCTCCGTTTCTGCTCGTGCTCCCTGGGCAGATCTGGGGCTGTGGCTTCACGGCTGCAGAGGGAGGTGGGGATACGGTGCCGGTGTGGAGAGGACGGGGAGACGCCAGGGTGCAGGGGGGCACTCACGCAGTCCCTGCCCTCCAGTACTCGCTGTGCAACGAGCCGCTCATCGAACTCTCGAATCCGGGTGCCAGCGGTTCCCTCTTCTACGTCACCAGCGACGACGAGTTCATCATCAAGACGGTGATGCACAAGGAGGCCGAGTTTCTGCAGAAGCTGCTGCCTGGCTACTACATGGTGTGTGGCCCCGCCCACAAGACTGGCCCCGCCCCCAGGCCTGGGCCCGCCCACGAGACTGGCCCCGCCCCAGACAGTACCCTCCACTTTTGAAAACTGGGTCTGGGGAATCAGTTGGGGAACCAAGCCAGCCAGCATGTGTTAACCTACAAGCACGCATGGCAGGGAGAGGACAGCGCCAGCTCCAGGGGCAGGAGCCAATCCATCTGGCTCCCACGCCCTACGTTTCCGGGGGACACCTGGGACCTTGTCACAGGCCCCCTCCATTTTGGTCCTGGTCCCGGGCATGCAGCCCTCTTGGGCCATCTGGCATGGACCGTAACTCAGTTTCCCCTTTGGGATATTTAGGGCGGAACCCTAGCCCCACCCCCCAGCTAGATCAGGGGTCAAGGGTGCTGGGGCTGGGGGTGGTACACATCCCCAGTACTCTGGGTGGCTGAGGCAGGAGGATGCCGAGTTCAAGCCCAGCGTGTGAGACTCAGCCAAGTTAGCAAGATCCTAACTCAAAATAAAAAAGACCGGGATGTGGCAGGGCGTGAGGGCCCTGGGTTTCATCCCTGGTGATGCAAAAAGGTTTTAAAAAAACAATCAAGGTCCCCAGCCCCATGTTTCTGTGTTTGGGAGCCGGACCAGCAAGCCCTAAAGGGGAAGCGGGGCCAGCCCACCCAGGTCCCCTCGAGGTTCCCGGCTGACCGAGCGGCTGCCCCTGCAGAACCTGAACCAGAACCCGCGCACGCTGCTGCCCAAGTTCTACGGGCTGTACTGCGTGCAGTCAGGCGGCAAGAACATCCGGGTGGTGGTGATGAACAACGTGCTCCCGCGCGTGGTCAAGATGCACCTCAAGTTTGACCTCAAGGGCTCCACGTACAAGCGGCGGGCCAGCCGCAAGGAGAAGGAGAAGAGCCTGCCCACCTACAAGGACCTGGACTTCATGCAGGACATGCCGGAGGGGCTGCTGCTCGACGCGGACACCTTCGGCGCCCTGGTCAAGACGCTGCAGCGCGACTGCCTGGTGAGGTCCGCGGCTGCCCCCCGCCCCGCTGGCTGTCCGCTCCCTGCCGGGGTCCACCCTGTGGGGCTCCCGGACCTGGGATTCCCCCCGCTGGTCCCACGTGGGCTCTCTGGGCCTCGGTCTCTTCGCCTGTCCAGCGGGAGAAGCCTCTGCCTGCCCCATGCTGACCGTGAGTGTCCACTCCCAGCAGATACCTGCAGGGGTAATTAAGCAGGAACGGGCCAGGCCTGGGGGTGCAGGCCGGTCATCCCAGCACTCTGGGAGGCTGAGGCAGGAGAATCTCGACTCACAGCCCGGCCTGAAAAACGTGACATACGGAGACAGTGTTTCCACAAAGAGAAAGGGCCAGGCGGAGGCCCTGAGTTGCATTCCACGTGCCAGATTCCAGGGCCGATGTCCCCAGCCTGGCCACCTGCTGAGTGACCACTGGGGGTGGTGATAGGCGACCCCGTGCGGCCACAGGACGGGGTCTCAGGCGCAGTGTGCAGCAAGGCCTGGGGTGGCCAGCTGGTGCCCCTGACCACTGTCCTGGCCCCGCCAGGTGCTGGAGAGCTTCAAGATCATGGACTACAGCCTGCTGCTTGGGGTCCACAACATCGACCAGCAGGAGCGTGAGCGGCAGGCCGAGGGTGCCCAGAGCCTGGCCGACGAGAAGAGGCCCGTGGGCCAGAAGGCGCTGTACTCCACTGCCATGGAGTCCATCCAGGGCGGGGCCGCACGTGGCGAGGCCATTGACACGGACGACACGTAGGTGGGGCCAGGGGCCAGGCTGTCCTGAGATGGACCCAGATTCCTCATCATGACATAGGGAGGGGCCGTGGCCTCCCAAACATGGGGCTGTCATTCGGGGGACGCGGGCACGTGACGGGGCCTTGGCCCCCAGGAGTGGCACGTGCAGGGTACCTCATCGTGTGGATGGAGGCCCCCGGCCATCTGTGTGCACGAGACGCCCCCTCTGCCCGGGGTGACCGGAGGTCCCTGAGGGCATTAAGTGGTAAACAGGGAGAAAGTGGCCGAGCCCAGCGGCGAGGCAGACCTTCCACAGGTGGAGGGGACTGGCAGATCTGTGCCCCCAAGACACTGGGCGGCTGCCTGGGCTGGGTGTCCCAGGGCCTAGTGGGGGAGACGCCCACAGAGTCCTCCAGACCAGAGTGCTGAGCAGTCTGCCGGCCACACAGGTGCCTAGCCATCACCAGGTTGTCCTTGGAAGAGTAAGATTGGCAGAGGTCCCTGGTAGTGTCAAGGTCACGCCCTTGTCCTAGCAGCAACTGGTCACTTTGCGCTGACCCTCCCAGGAAGCCACTGGAAGTTGGGGCTCTGGAGGGAGAGGTGGCATCCCTACATTTCCAGCTGGGGGAGCAAGGGCTCCAAGGTTGGGGGAAGTGTCAGGATGCAGAGCCAGCTGGGGACAGGCCCAGAGCTGACCCTGCCACTCCTGAGGGCAGAAAGGGAACCCACCAGGGCCCCGACTAGAGCCAGGGGCGGGAGCCAGTGCAAAGGCCCGCGCAGCGTCCACCTCAGTCTGTCTTGGCGTTCGTAGGGTCCGCGCGGGGCTCGGAGGGGAGCGGTGAGCCTGGTGAGCTGATGTGGAGTGTGTTTGCTTGCTGCGGCCCGGCCTGGAGCCCTGGAGCTGGGGCGGCTTCGGGGCGGCTGCCGCCTTGCATGGCCTCGCCGGCTGCCCTGGGCTGGAGCAGGTGTGGGCACGTGTCCGGCTGGTTGATGAACACCCAGCCCGTGCCTGACACCTAGCAGCAGTTCCTGGGGTGCAGGCTGTGTGTGTCCTGCGCGCATTGAGATGTATGTGCGTGTAGATGTGTGCACGCATGCGTGGGCGTGTGTCCGTGCACGTGCATGCTGGAGTTGTGCGGCAGGGACTCCACTCCAGGGCTGCATGCAGCTTCCAGATCTGAGCATGCGCGAAGCTCAGCGGTCGCTGCATACAGCTGCTGCCATGGAAGAGGTGGCCTCCTGGAGCCCAGGTGTCCCCAGCCCCGCAGTACTGAGCCACGCTGACCTCTCTTCCCAGGATGGGCGGGATCCCGGCCGTGAACGGGCGTGGGGAGCGACTGCTACTGCACATCGGTATCATCGACATCTTGCAGTCCTACAGGTGCGTCTCCGCGCTCGCGCTGCACGCGCCCGGCCGGGTTCCTGGTGCGCCTGCGCAGTGTGCACTTTGTCGGGCTCCCACGCGCCTGCGCAGTCCCACGCAGCGGGGGAAGCCGGGGTGGTGGCCGCTGACCTTTGGGTCCTTCTCTTGGCAGGTTCATCAAGAAGCTCGAGCACACTTGGAAAGCGCTCGTCCATGACGGGGTGCGTGTCCTCCCCCTTTGACTTTCTCTGCATCGGTCCCCATGCAAGAGAGGCACAGCATCTTCCTAGGCACTGGCACCGGCCCCCGCATCGGGATCCTGCCCCAGGGGAGGCCCACACTGGGCTCAGGGTGCCTTAGGCCCTCACTGGGCACTGAGCTGAGTCAGACTATCCCGGAAATGCACACGGTGCACTGTGGCGTCCTGGCCGGCCCTGCAGGGGTTCCTTGAGTCCCCACGGAAGGGTCTTGTCTGGCAGCTCACACCGTACTTCAGACTGATTCATACTAAAGTGCTGAGGATTGCCTGTGTGGCCGTGGCCTGTAGAATCCAAGATCCAACAATGGAACCACCCCACCCCCCCAAAGGACCTAGGCAGAGGCATCTAGTATCTGCATCGAGATGACTGCAGCACGCTGGGAGGCTGAGATAGGGAGATCACAGGTTCAAATCCCATCTGGGCAACTTAAGAGCTTGTCTCAAAAATGTTTTAAAAAGCCGTTGGGAATGTAGCTGAGGGCAAAGGCTCCAGTGCCACACACACAGAGGTGGCAACCAGCAGGGGATGTGTGGAGGTGCTGTAGAGGGGAGCGCCCCCTGCCCACAGGCTGCCCCCTAGTGCAGGCTGCGGGACCTCTCCAGTCGCCCTGTTCTACATAAACCCACTGGCTGGGGCCCTGGGAGCCCCTGATGTCCTGGGCACCGGGGGACCCCTGCCGGACTCCCGTGTTTCTCAGCTCTGCCTGTGGGCACCCAGAGCAGCTGTTCAGGGAGGGGTGTGGCCGCGTGCCAATAAAACTTTATTTGCAAAGCAGACGTCAGGGGCCAGGCTTTGCTGAGCTGTGATTTAAGAGTCCGTTGTAGGTCACTCAAATACTTGCTGATTCACAAGGTTCAAAACATTAAAATGTGGGGTTGGGGCTATAACTCAGCGGCACAGGCACCTCCCTGGCCAGGTGCAAGGTCCTGAGTTCAATTCCCAGTACCAGAAAAAAAAGTTAAAATGCCTCTGGGGGCAGCGCTTTGAGAGGCTGAAGCAGGAAGATCACAGGTTTAAGCTCAGCCAGCACAGTTTAGCAGCTTAGTGAGGTCTTGTCTCAAAATTAAAAATAAAAAGGGCTGCGGAGGGCTCTCAGTGCAGAGACCTTGGCTTTAGTCCTGGTTCCAGGAAAAAAAAAAAATACACACGGGTTCATAGTGGAAAGGTCCCCAAGCCTCCAACCCAACGTCTGCCAGCCGCCGTCTCCTGGTCCCCAGCAGCTAACAGCCTTCTTTCCCTGTGTCCCGCTGCTTCTCCTGCAGGACACGGTCTCTGTCCACCGCCCCAGCTTCTACGCTGAGCGTTTTTTCAAGTTCATGAGCAACACGGTCTTCCGGAAGAACTCCTGTGAGCCGCCGGAGCCCCGGGGCAGGGGTGGGGACAGGAAACCCAGAGCCTTTGGGGCCTGCTGCAGGCAGGGGTGCCCCCCCCCCAGCGAGGGCAGGGCAATGGGACACTTGCCTCTGGGCAGCGGTCAGCCTGGGGCCAGGCCCACTCACCTCCCTGCTACAGCTGAGGCCTCCAGGCCCAGAGAGGCTGAGTCCCCGCCTGGTTCCACAGCCCATAGCAGTGCACCAACCGCCCCCTCCTCCCTCACAGCGCTGAAGTCCTCACCGTCTAAGAAGGGGCGCAGTGCCCTGCTGGCTGTCAGGCCCCTGGGGCCCACAGCAGCCCTCTCAGCCAGCCAGATCCCCAGTGAGCGAGAGGACGCACAGTATGACCTGCGGGGGGCCCGCAGCTACCCCACGTTGGAGGATGAAGGTGAGTGGCCAGCCACAGGGGCACTTCGAGGGCCTGCAGAGTAGACAGTGGTGAGAAAACCAGGACAGGGATGCCGTAGGGATGGAGTGAGCCACAGCATCCTGGGCAGAGAACATGGCCCGTGCAAAGGCCCAGGGGCGCAGGCAGAGCTGGGAGACAGCTGGGAAGGGCAGGCAGGAGACTGGTGGGTCCTGTAGGGCCCTGTGCAGTCCCCGCAAAGCTCCTGGTAGCCCTTATCTAAGAGGGAAGATTCATCCCAGCACCCTGGAGGATGAACCTGGAGGGTTACAAGTTTGAGCTCAGCCTGGGCAACCAAGCAAGTTAGTGAGATTTGTCTCAAAAACCAAAAAAGGCCAGGGCTGTGGCTCCATGCAGAGGCGCTATGATCAGTATCCAATGCTGGAAAACAGTCAAGCTGTTACTCTTTGGAAGGCCAGGCCAGGAAGCAGGTGGGGCATCTGGGTTCCGGTTAGGGTGCCCAGGGTGGGGTCCTAGGCTCAGCCCTGTAGAAAATTGAGCAGCTGGGTGGCTGTGTGGGGCAGGAGGGTGGCAGCTCCATGAGGTGCCTGTTGCCTCCCCCAACAGGGCGACCTGACCTCCTGCCTTGCACCCCACCTTCCTTCGAAGAAGCTACCACGGCCTCCATAGCCACGACCCTGTCATCCACCTCCCTCTCCATCCCTGAGCGGTCCCCCTCCGAGACCTCAGAGCAGCCTCGGTACAGGTGGGCGGGGTCTGTGGGCAGGGGCGTGGCTTTCCCTAGCAGGCCGGTCTGTGGGCGTGGCTTCCGAGCAGGTGGGTGGGTCTTGGGCGGGGTCCTTCCTCTGATTGCCCTGTGCCTTCTCTCCGCAGGCGGCGCACACAGTCCTCAGGACAGGACTGCCGGTGAGACCCCAGCCCAGTGCCCTCGCCCTGCTGCTGTTACGCAGCTGAGAGACCCCACGCCTTGCGCCTGCCCTCCTGTCAGGCTCTTCTGACCCTCCTTTCCCGGGGCAGGCAGGGTTCTGCATGGAACCTCTGGGCCCGCCGTGTCCCTCTCTCTACCAGGCACCAGGACTGCCACTGGGGCTGGAAATGACCTGGGACTCAGAGTTCTGCGTCACCCTTGGGGGTGAGGAGGGGGGAAACTGAGGCACGGTTTGGTTGCCCTCAGGCCCCAGGAGGAACCGCACGCCGAAGAGGACCTGCAGCAGATCACGGTGCAGGTGGAGCCCGCGTGCAACGTGGAGATCGTGGTCCCCACGGAGGAGGACGCGGGGTGAGTGTGGCTCAGTAACCTGCTTCTCCCATCTCAGGCCGTGGCTCTGCACACTGGTGTTTCTGCTCCCCCGGGACACGGTGACATCTGGACATTTGTGGTGGTTGTGTAGGGGGTCCTGGCCTGGAGCCGGGGTGGAGGCCAAGGTGCTGCCCAGCACCTGCAGTGGGCAGGGCACTGCAGAGCACAGCCTGGCTTCAGGGCCTCAGTTCCAAGGGGGTCGGATCCTGGGCTACTGGTTCTCCCAAAATCTTTAATCTCTGAATTAAAACATTGTTTATTTTTATTTTTATTTATTTTTTGTACTGGAGATCAAACTCATGACCCAGTGCTTATGCCACTGAGCTAAATCCCCAACCCCAAAATTTTTTTTTAAACCAGATTTCATTGCTAAATTTTAGATATACACCTGCCTGGCAAGTGTGAGGTCCTGAATTCAATCCTCAGTTCCCAAAAAGAAATGTACACATAATGAACATAAGCAATTTTGTAAACAACTTTTCAGTGTTTACAATGTTAATGAGCTTTGGTATGAAGAGAGTCCAAACAGACCCATTTTTTGTTGTGTTTTAGCTGGATTTTTGCAGGGTGCCTGTTAATTCCAGCCTTTCAGGAGGCTGAGGCAGGACGACTACAAGTTTAAGGCCAGGCTGGGCAACTTGGTGAGATATTGTTGCCAAAAACAAATTCAAAGAGCTGAACTGTAGCCCGGCAAGCTCCGAAGTCCTTGAGTGTAATTTTAGAGCTCCTCAGTTATTTGTTATTTTAGAGGTCTGTCCTCAGTACTGTAAAACACCAGCCACCAAACAGGGACCAGGAATCAGACTCAGGCCCTCACCCTTGCCAGGCAGGCTCTGTGCCACTGAGCTACATCCCCAGCCCAGTGCTATGTGTTAAAATAAAGGTCTCCCAATCAAATATAAAGTCGACTTTTGTTTTGTGTTTGTTTTTGTTTTTGAGACAGGATCTTGCTATGTAGCCCAAGTTGGCTTCAAAATCATGGTGATTCTCCTGCCTCAGCCTCATGAGTTTACAGGCCTGTGCCGCCATGCCTGGCCAAAATCCATTTTTTTTTTAACTGTCCAGGGATGTATGGAAAAGAATTCCCTGTTTCTCTGCACAATTGTTGCATCCAGCTGTTTGGTTGCTGGAATCTCTTTTATTTTTTTACTAGTTTTTTGTCAAATGTTTGTAGTTCTTGAATCACACTGTTATCAAATTCTTTACTTTCTAGTTCTGGTGTTTTTGTGTGTGTGATTTACCTCATAGAGCTGCATCCCCAACCCTTATTTTCATTCTGAGACAGGGAACCCTAAAGTCACTAGTTTGCCCAACCTTGAACTTGGAACCCTCCTGCCTCAGCTTCCCCAAGTGCTGGAATAACAGGCATTCATCGCCAGGCTCAGCTTTGTCTGGGTCTTCTTTGCCCTTCCGAGCTTCCCGAGGTCCGGGAAGGAGCCGAGTGAATGGGATCAGGCCTGGGTAGCCAGGCGTCGTCCGCGGCCACCCAGGATCCCACATCGGCCCGGCATTTGCAGGGTGGACGCCTGCCCAGCAGGGGCCTCTGCATCTATGGTGGAGGCAGAAACCACCAGCCAGGCCTCGGAGCCCGCCAGCCAGGCCTCGGACGAGGAGGACGTGCCCGCCACTGACATCTACTTTGTAAGTCCCCGGGTCCCCGGAGTCACACCACATGCTCACACACACGCTGAGGCCCGGCACGCTGGAGACCCGCTCTCCCACGGACCTGAGCTCACGCACACGCACACATTCGAGCGGACTCTCTGCTCCAAGCACAGAGGACGGTGGCCACCTGGCCTGCTCTGGCCACACCAGGCCTTCTTGGGCCCAGGAACTGGCTCTGCGTCCCCTCCCCGGCCTTGACACCACTGCCAGGCTGGGCCGCTCCCTCTGCTCCATCCTCAGCCTCTTGGCGCTGCTGGGCTGAGTCGGACGCCCAGGGCTCCGGTGGCCATGAAAGGTGGGCGACACTGTCCCCCAGCGGGCAGGGCCAGGCTGGACGGGCTCCGTCCCCAGGAGGGCCATGGCGCCCATTGCACTGGCCCAGAGCTGGGCCGGCGAGCCCAGCCGCGGTCCTGGAGCTGGCGCAGTGCTGCCCGCGTGGGACCCCCCTGCCGGTCACTGTGGGCAGATCCTGCGGCCTCGTTACCCGGGCGGCCTGGGCACCCGCTTCGCGCCCCTTCCTCACTAACTCGCCCGCTTTGTCTGGAGGAGGAAGGGCTCACCGTGGTGTCCCCAGGCCCGGTGGGCTGCCCAGCAGGGCCCCGCGTGTCCCCCACCTCCGCTTCTGCGCTGCTGCCCCCCGTATCCCCAGCGCTGCCCCCCACCCCAGTCTGACCTCTCTTCTCCCCCGGCCCCGCCGCCCAGTTCGCCGACGGGAGGCACTGGATTTACTCTCCCTGCCGTCGCCGATTGCGGGCCGTGACGCTGAGCTCCTCGGGGACTGTAAGTGACCGCAGCCGGCCCCCGGGGACAAGGGGCCTTGCCCACCTCTGGGCAGCAGGGAGCTGCGGGTCCCCAGCCTGAGACACGGTGCCCAGCGTCCCTGTTCCGTCCTCAGAGGACTTTAGGGGAGATGTGACCTGGTGACATCACGGGGACATCACTGAGCCCAGGGTGGAGCAGGCCGCACCGTGTCGGGGGCTGTCACCAGGCCTGCCTGTGTGCTGCGGCAGGGTCACCCTGACCCCAGCCCGCCTGTGCCCACCTCAGCCTCCGCGCCGGTGTCGCCTCCCCCTGTCCAGCTCACAGGGGCCACAGAGCTGAGCGCCTCACAGTCCCCTCAGGTCCCCCAGACAAGCTGAGGCCTCAGCCCCAGGGAGCCTGAGCTCCCCTGTCATCTCAGCTACACAGGAGGCTGAGGCAGGAGGATCTTTAATTCAATTCAAGGCCAGACTGGGCAACTGACACTTTGTTCCAAAGCATAAAAAGGGCCACGGGGTGTGGCCCGGTGGTGAGCGTCTGTCTAGGCTTGGACTCAGCCCTAGTGACCACTTGGGAAAAACAACCAAAGGGTTTGGAGTATTTCTGCAACTCACCAGCAGGCTCTTTACCGAATAGACACTTGTTTACCCAGTGTGCCAAGGGTACCACAGAGATCTCTGGTGGCAGTCACATGCTGATGCCTGTTGTCATTTGGCTCCCCCTGCAAGGGGCCAGAGAGGCTGTGTAACCTGCCCAGAGCTGCCCAGCACTCACGGCCAGGGCAGGCACCAACCTGCAGCGACTTTCTGTCCTCCAGATGGAGCCTCTCAGAGGCCACCCTCCCACTCATCTCTGACCCGTCAGCAGACCTCCCTGGCGTCACCACGTACCAGGCACAGACTCCTGTGACCCCTCTGGCGCCTGCCGGGGAAGCCACAGCCCGGGGCAGCCCTGGCTGGAGGCCGGGTACAGCCAGGGACTGAGTCGGTGTGCAGAAGTCTAGGTGTGGGACCCCCTTATCGGTGGGGTACATCGAAGTAGCAGTTTGAGCCAGGCATGGCCGTGCTCACCTGTACACCCAGCAGTCTGGAAGGCCGAGGCAGGAAGATCACAAATTTAAGACCCAGCTGGGCAGCAGAGAGACTTAGCAAGGCCCTGCTCAAAAGAAAATCTGATAGAGGCCAGTGTGAAGGCCCTGGGGTCAGGGCCCAGTGCCGCTAAAAGACAAAAAAAACCACACCAGCGTGGGCGGGAAGGACGGAGCGGGCAGCCGGGAGGGTCACGCCGGATCCAGGCATCCAGGGTCCTGCCCCAGCCCAGGCTGACAGCTGAGGGGCCCTTTCTGTGCTCTGCTTTTGAGGACAGGGGCCGGCTGGCTTTTCTAATGTGGTCCAGGTGTCCAGGGGTCACTTGGTCCTTACCCCGGGGCAGTGCTGGGCACTTGTGAGGTGACCCCCTCCTCCCAACACTAGCTCTTCAGGGTTTCGGGTGGGGACCCCCCTTGGGGCCGTGTGTTCCCCAGCTGAGCCCTGAGCTGGCTCCCTGGGGTGCTGGGGAAGCAGACAACTTGGTCAGGGTTTCCTGTCACCTCTGGGCCTGAGGCCCAGGGCTGATGTCACCTGCAGCCTCCACGGTGCCCCCCGAGTTCCTGGAGCTGGGGAACTTAGGGAAGGGCTTGGAGGGTCGGGGGACCTTGAGGTGGGGGACAGAGCCCAGGGCCACAGCCAGGCAGGGAGGGCAGAGGGTGTCCGTCAGGTGGGGACGAGACGAGGACGCAGGGTCAGGAGCTGGTGGGCAGCGCTGGTGGGCAGGCCGCTGATGTGTGCTGCTGTGGCCGAGGTGTTCAAGCGTCCCTGGGCACCTCATGGGCATGGTCTGGTCCGTGTGGGTTCCAGCCAGTGCTGGGTGCACAGTGGGGCCTCCAGAGTGGGGGTAACGGGGAGGACTGGGAAGAGAGAAGGTGTTAAGATGGGGGGGTCAGCCGAGCCCCTTGGGGAGTCCCCCAGCCGTCCAGTAGGAACATCAGAACTCGGAGCAGAGGCCCCCTTCCTGAACCTCAGGCGGACTGAGGCACTTCTATGCCAGGCCGAGTGGCCCTGCAGGGACCCGACGCAGCCTGTCCCCTGGAAGGTGCCCCCTCCGCTCTAAGGAGGAAGGCTGGGGGGTGCACAATACGGGGATCGGGTGCCTGGAACAGGTGGGCGCCCTGCCTGCCCGGGGCCCCATGGAGGTCCACAGAGCCAGCCTGGAGGCTGGGAGGAGCTGGTCCCAGTGGACATCGGGCTCCCTCCGCGGGGGACAAGGACAGGGAGGGGCAGAGTGTCCGGGCTGCTGCATACCCCACCTCCCGCCTGCCCTGTGCCCACTGCCCCTGAACCCCGACTAACACTCCCGCTGCCTGCTGCCTGCCAGCCGCCGAGGCCGTCGGGGAGGGCGGGTGCGCTGGTCCGAGGGCCTGGCTCTCTTTATTCTCTCCTTTTCTTCCTCCTCCTCCTCCTCCTCCTCCACTCCGCTCACCCTCTCTTCTGCGCCCCCTGCACGTGCCCGCCCGCCCGCCTGCAGCCCACCGACGACAGGAGCTGGGTGTACTCCCCGCTCCACTATAGCACGCAGCCCCAGCCCTCCGACGGCGAGAGCGACACAGTGAGTCCCCCGGGGGCCAGGAGCAGCCCAGACAGATGGGGAAACTGAGGCCGGGACGGGAGGGCTGGCGCCCGGCTCACACACATCCAGATGGCCCCGCCATCGGCATCTCGCGGCCTGTGTCTCCCACGAGCAGCCCAGAGGCCCCGGGCAGCGCTCGGGTCGGGGGGGTGCTCACCCAGGCCCCCGCGTGCCCTCACCGCCCCCTTTTCCTTTGGCAGTAATTTCTATGCAGTCCCCCACCCGGGGCCGAGCTTCCGCCACCACCTCAGCCGCTTCCCAGAGGCGCTGCCCGCCCAGCTGAGGCCCGGAGGAGCTCGGGGACACGCCAGCCGCCCCGCGGCCACCCCAGCCAACCTTGTGCTCGTCCTGCCCCCGACGGACGCCGCGGGCCGAACCTGTCTCCCCCACCCCGATGCTCCACAGGCTGGGCAGTGACCCCGGCCACCCCGCAGTGCACCCGCCGGCCGGCGACCTCGGGAGCGACCTGTCCTGTATTTATTTTGGGTTCGTCTTTGCACAGACAGAGGCATGCGGTGCTTTTAAGGAGAAAAAAGACACAGACCAGAAAAGGAGGAAATGTGCCCCCAGTCCCGGGGCCCCACGCCCCCACTTTGGTCCCTTGCATGTATCCTACAGAGACAAGGCCATTCCTGCCACCTCGGGACGCGGGCTGTGGACGCCTGGCTGCCCGGTGAGGTTCACGCTCCTCTTCCCGGCGTCTCACTGGCCCCGTGTGCTGAGGCCACCTCCCCCAGAAGCAGATCTCGCGTGCTTGGCTCAGGTTTGGGGCCTCGGAGCAGGACACGTGTCCTCCATGCTGGCCCTCGGTGGCTCACTGCCATGCTGCGCCCCCAGGACAGACACCCCCAGACCCAGGGGCTGGAGCAAGATGCCCAGGTCATCACATTCCTGCCCGCAGTGCGGCTGCCCCGGATTGGCAGAGCTCAGGGCCGCGTGGACTTGACTGTCCCCGGCGTGGTCCTCACAGTCCCCAGAGGAGTGGACCCCCCCCTCGGGAGATGCCTCAAAGCAGAGCCTGCGACTTCCAGAGGGCACAGGCTGGGCCTGGGGCGAAGGAGGAGAGCACAGGGGTCCAAGGTGGGCGTACCGGATGGTCAAGCTGCTCTGGTGTGTCAGCCACTGCAGGCCAGATCCAGGAGCATTTCCTCCAGGTGTTCCTCGCTTCTGGTGACGGCCACACTGTCCAGAAGGAAGGAGCTGGCAGATGAGCCCGTGTCCCCTACACAAGATGGACAAGGCCCCGTGGAGCGCACTGGGCGGGGCTTGGAGCTGAAGCCCCGCCTCCCAGGACAACAGCAGAAAACCCGCCCACCCACCCTGTCCCTGGTGAATTTGATTTTTTTTTTTTTTAAAGCCCACTGCAAGATGTCAGCCTGCTGTCCAGGCCTCTCCTGGTGTCCCCTCTGCAGTGACACAGTGAGGAGTCCGCCTGCCCTTGCCTGAGCCGCCGACCAGGAGCCCATATTGCAGCCTAGACCCTCCTGGGCCCCAGGGACATTTCCCAGCGGACCAATAAAAAGGGTTTGTCCAGGCCCCAGAGACAGCTGCGTAGTCACCGTGCCCAGGCCTCACGGACAGATGTGGCCCCACTGCAGAAGGCGGAGGCCGGAGAGAGCATGGTCTCCATGGAAGGGGGGATTGCACGGGCTGGGGGAGCCTTGGCCCACACACGTGGCTGGGGACCTCCGGGAGGAGAGGTTTGCAGCCCTGTTGCCTGGATCTCCTGGCATCCCCGTCCTTGTGCTAAGTCCCGGAGGCCCCTTGGAGCCGTCGTGTGAGCTGTGTGTCTTGTTCCTTTTCTGAATATGGCGGGGAGCACAGTGCAGTGGCCCTCGGACTGTTGTTGGGGCCTCGCTTGTCATGTCGGGGCCGTTGGGGTGGGCAGGAGAGACCTATTTATAACGTGACAAAACTCCAGGCCTTCCTCAGAGCCCGGGACGGGGGGGGGCGGGGCGGGTGCACCCAGCCATCCCCACTCCCTGGAGACCTGTAAATACCCTGGTGACCCAGCGCCCTCCTGCCTCAGCCTCTCCAACGGCTGCTCTCGAAGACCCTGGACGGTGTCCGAATCCCTGTACTGTAAAAATGGAGAGGCATTTCCTGAGGCTGGCAGGGGGAGGTTCCCACGTGTCCCCTTCCAGCCTGGCCCTCTACCCCCAGGCCGTCCCAGCCCTCCCCACTCACCTCCACACCTGGCTCAGTGCAATACTCCCGTCCCTGTGGGGTCCGTTGCCAGGGTTGCTGTGGCTGCAGCCCCTCAGTACCCGCCTCCCCAGGATGAGCACCCCCTCAACACTCCACCTCCAGTGATTCCAAGGTCCAGGCCACCCCAGTCTCTGTGTGGCTGAACCATTTCAAAATAAAAACCGCAAACCTTGTGTCTTAACCCTCACTAGGGGTCCCTCATCCTCAGTCCTTGGGGTCTGGTGTGTGACAATCCGGAGCATGGTTTCCTGTGGCACCTATAGCCAGGCCATGTCCTTCCAGCCCAGACCCCTGGGCACCTCAGACAGTACAGCTGCTGCTGGCCCCACAGAATACCCATATGTTGTCCGGGCCCCACCTGCCCACCCCTGCCACACCCCTCTCTTTTTATGTTGAAGAGATCTCTAATAAATCGGGTATAAACATCAGCTTAGCTTGGTCTGCCTCTGTGGATTGGGAATTGGAGGACTGAATGTCACCCTGAAAAGAAACTCTTGTAAAATTTATAGCGATATGCTCCCAAGTCAGGCTTGGTGACACACGCTCATAATACCAGCGTTCTGAACTGGGTTTGGTGGCACAGGCCTGTAATCCCAGCGCTCGGGAGGCTGGGGCAAGAGCATCACTGCAAATTCGAGGCCAGCCTGGGCTACAAAGTGAGCTCAAGTGCAACCTGAACTGCATAGCAAGACCTTGCCTCAAAAAAAAAAAAAAAAAAGTACCAGCATTCTAGAAGGCTGAGACGAAAATAATTTGAAGTCCAGTCTGAAGAATCTAGGCACTTAGCAAGACTCTCACAATAAAAAAGGCCTGGAGTTCTAGCTCAGTGGGAAGGTCTCAGGTTCAATCTCTGATACCCACTTGTAAAAGAAAGATTCAAAGCTGGGCAATTGGCACACATGCTATTTGGAAGGCTGAAGCTGAGGCAGGAGGATTGCTTGAACATGGGATTTCCAGGCCAGCCCGGGGGACACAGTGACAAACATGAGATCCAAACACCTGAGTAAAACAGCCATGACTTTCTGCAGGTTCCAGTTCAACTCAGGAAACATTTCAAAGCCCCTGATACCTGTGCAGCCCAAAGGAACAGAAAGCAAACCCAGGCTGCGTATGCATAGAACCGTGAGTGATGCAGGCCGCGCCATGGGCGATGGGAGCTCAGGGCCTCCAGTGGCGCCGCCTGTGGTCTGTCCTCCCCACTGGGGACTCCACTTAGCAGGCAGTCCCAGCTGCTTCGTCTCCCTACCGTGCAAGACACTCCAAGCTCTCGCCAATAGCCACATGGCAAATCCCAGCTCCGTGGGGCAGGAGAGGTCTGGTAAGGTGACTTGACCTCTCCTGGCCTCAGTTTCCCCATCTATAAAAAGGGTCGATGAAATCAGGGCACAATCCCAATTTTTTAAAAGTTTAACCTGGGGCTGGGGATTTAGCTCAGCGGCATAAGCGCCTGCCTTGCAAGCAGGCAGTCGTGAGTTCGATCCCCGGTACTGATAAAAAGGGAAAAAAAAGACAAAAAAAAAAGTTTAACCTGTGAAATGCAATGGTATTTACTGGCAGATCGGAGGGCGTGATGATCCAGACCATTGTCTTAAACACTCTCTCGCCTTCCTCTCTACCGCAGTCGGGCTGGAGTCTGCCCAATTAAATTCGATTTCCTGTTTCCCAAGGCCCGTTTTCCCCAGACACACCCCTATTAGCCACGCCCTTTTGGACACGCCCCCCAGGTCCCGCCCATTTCTCCCTGGAGTCGCCTTGCCACTGTTCCGCCTCCGCAGTTTCGGATTTGTTTGACCACGCCCACGAATTGTGCCCTCCCCCTCTCCCCAGCCTCCCTCCCTCAGGCCCTCTAAGGAGCCAGGACCGGCAGGGCTGCCTCTAGCACTGCCTGAATATCAAGTCTCTCCGAAAGACAGAGGCTCAGTCAGAGTCCGTCCACGCGAGCTATTGTTACAAATGGAGTGCAGGGTCCTGGTCTTCCAGTCTTCGCGGCCTGGGGCTGCGGGTGGGACTCGCTCACACTATTCAGGCATTCTGGGGGCAGCCCCTCATGCGCCGCGGCCAAGGAAGGCCCCCGACGCAGGCCCCGGTTTGTTTGAGTCGGTGCAGTCGCTGCCGTCGCCGCCAATGGGTCGCGGTACACGCTCGCGGTCGCGGTCCGCGGTTCGCAGGGGCAGGAGACGGCGGAGCCGGAGCGGGAGTCGGAGTCGGAGTCGGAGCCGAAGTCGTAGCGGCAGCCATGGGCGGCGAAGACACCGGCGCCGGGAGGACGAGGACCATCGCCGGCGAAGGCGTCGGAGCCGGGAACGCAGGTGGGACCACTGTGGGAGTATCTCTGGGGCTGGGATTCTTGTGTCTGGGTTCCCGGCCTAGGGGAGTCAGGAGGTGCCCCTCCATACGACGTGGTCTGAGGTCGAGTCAGGACTAGCCAGACAGCGAAAGCAGTGGCATCAGAGAGGAGGATGGTACGGACACCCAGGCAGTAGGTGGCCGCCTGATGGGCACCGCAGCCGGACAGTGGGTAGATCCGAAAGGGACTTTGGAAGTGGAAGTGACAACTGTTGTGGTGGAGTTGAGATGTCAGAGGACTGGGTATGATGACAAGACCCAGGAGTCACAGTTGGCTCCTGTGACTTCTTGGGACCCACAGCCCTTTCTTCTGGAGTGGGTCAGCACCCCTGCCCGCAGTCCTCGCACGCGTGGGTCACACGCTGCCTCAACCCGCGGGGGCTGTAACACACCATCCCGTCCTGCCCAACGGTCGCTTAGGTTAACCCGGCTGTGTCCGCAGGATCTACGTGGGGCTTGTCCAGAGACCCTTCTCGCCATAGCCACACTCTAGTAAAGCACCGCCCAGCGCCTCTAGGGTCTATGACATGCCCTAATCTTTGATTCTGGTGAGGTCATTGCTGCCTCAGGAATTAGAGTAAGCTGAAGAAGCGAAGACTCTTAAGAGAGACATGGTTTAAATTTCATGCAGCCCATGAAGTTACAGTAGTTTTACTGGGGAAGGGGGCATACGGGGGACTGAGCCCAGGGCCTTTGCATTGAGCTGCCCCCTGTTTTGTTTTGTTGCCCGGCTAGTTCTTACATCTGTGAGTAGTGGGGTGAACCGACAGAAGGTAGTGACACGGGAGAGTTTATTATCCAGACATTTTAGTCCCCAGAAATAGTTTTAGTGGGACACAGCCAGGTTTATTTCATTATATACTGACTGTGGCTGGCTTTGTGCTACAGCAGGAAAGTGGAACGGTCACGTTATGTAAGGACTGTATGGCCTGAGCTACCACCTGGGGTGGGGAGCAGGGGATTTAGCTCAGTGACATAAGCATAGCCTGGCAAGTGTGAGGTTATGAGTTCTACCCCCAGTTCCAAAGAAATAAAAATTTAAAAGTTAAAAAAATTATCACTTCCTGGTGTGGTGGTGAACGCCTGGCCCATGACTCGGGACGGTGAGGCAGGAGGATCACTATGAATCAAACCCTATCTCAGGGAAAAAAAGCTTTACTGCTCGGCCCTTACAGGAGTGCAGACTGCAAGTGGGACTCAGAGAGGGTGCTTGGCATTTACAAGGCTCTGCAAGGTACCAAGAAAAAGTCAGTGTTGATGGACCCTTATTCAAGCCCCAGGCTTTTCTTTTTCTTTTCCCCTGAGAGAGGGTCTTGCTGTTTAGTTCAGGCTGGCCTTGAACTCATTTTGTAGCCCAGGCTGGCCTTAACTTGCAGTGATCCTCCTGCCTCAGCTTCCCCAGCAATTAGTGTGCCAGCGTGCCCAGGGATGTGTGCCGTTTTCTATTGTTTGAATAATCTGCAGTCAATAGCCGTGTCAGGTAATGTAATTAGAATCAATACTGTTTATAAAAATTGGGCCACGTTTATAGTTTTCTATTGTTTGAATAATCTGCAGTCAATAGCCGTGTCAGGTAATGTAATTAGAATCAATACTGTTTATAAAAATTGGGCCACGTTTATAGTTGGTATTTAAAGGCTCCAAAGTGGTTTTCGTAGCGCAGGTTTTTTGATATGAGCGGAACAGATAATGCACTTGGGGTTATACTCGGTGGTGGTTCTCCACGTTCCGAGAACCAGAGACCTTGAAGAACCTGTCCCCAGAGGCGTGAGTGTTGTTTCCTGCTCTTTGCTCCTACCTTTTCACTTCAGCTAGCTCCTGGCCTTTAGGAGTGGGCAGCACCACTTCTGCCTCGTAGCCTGGGCGTGGACACCTTGAGGCCACTCAGGTCTTTGGCGCCTTCCTTTGGCTCCGGCCCTGCCCAGCTCACCTCCCTCACCACTCCTTTCCTCAGCCTTCTTCCTGCAAACGCACTCCTGCCCCAGGGCCTTTGTCCCTGCAGTTCCTGCAGCCTGGGATGCACTTGCCCAGATGTTCCCTGGCTTCCTCCCTCGCTGCCTGCAGCCTCTGCCACTGGTAACCTCAGAGAGGCCCCCACTGAGCTCTCTGGCATACAGAGCCGTCCCCTCAGCCTTGTGGAGCACCCGTGGCCCCTGTGGCCTCCCAGTCCTAGACAAGCCCTGCACGTGTGCGTGCGTGCATGTGGGGAACCCCAGGAGGCAGAAGTATCCTCAGTGTCTAGGACAGCACCTGCCAGCCAGCAGGCTCTCCTTGAACGTTGACCAGGGTGCGCTCAGCGGGCCTTGGTGGGTCCTCCCCCTCCCCCCAGGTCAGATTCAGAGGAAGAGAGGTGGCAGCGGCCCGGAAGGTGCAGCTGGAGCCCGCCGCCGCCCCGCTGGCGCTCTGGGGACCGGGACCGGAATCAGTCCCCGACATCCGACTCTGGAGAGGAGCAGGCGTGGAGCCGCCACGGACGCTGGCGCTCGTGGTCCCCGAGATCGTCTGCGTCCAGCACGGCCTCCCCTGGGCGCTCACAGAGCCCCAGAGCTGCCGCGGGGGCGGCGGCGGCCCTGAGCCAGCAGCAGAGCCTGCAGGAGCGGCTGCGGCTGCGCGAGGAGCGGAAGCAGCAGGAGGAGCTGCTCAAGGCCTTCGAGACGCCCGAGGAGAAGCGCGCACGGCGGCTGGCCAAGAAGGAGGCCAAGGAGCGCAAGAAGCGGGAGAAGATGGGCTGGGGCGAGGAGTACATGGGCTACACCAACACCGACAACCCCTTCGGGGACAACAACCTGCTGGGCACCTTCATCTGGAACAAGGTGAGCGCCTGCGCCTGCCGGCCGGGCCCTAGCACAGCTCCTACCGCTCGGCGGTGCTCGCAGCCGCGTGGCGAGTGACATGCCTTCAGTTTCTTTTTTTGTTTTTCTGTCATGTTTAGGATGGGGCCTGGTGATAGCACTCTGCAGCGTCACGCTGAGCTATATTCCCAGCCTTTGTAAACATTTGCATTTTATACGGGATCTCGCCAAATTGCCCAGACTGGGCTTGAAAGCAGGACCCTCCTGTCTCGGCCTTCCAAAGTGCTGAGGTGGCAGGTGTGCACACCAGACTCACCTTAGTAATATTTTGTGTTCAAAAACTGGTCTTGGTGCTGGAATGGACCCCGGGGCCTCCTTAGCCCGAGCGCCCCATCACCCTACCGCACGTCCCCTCCGTCTGCCCTGTCACCTTTACTGCTGCTGAGTGTCACAGTGTGAGCCCTGTCTGCCCAGAACCAGCCTCACCCCGGGATCCCGGGACAGAGGCTGGGCCTGCCCTGGCCCCGGGTGGGCTCTGGTGGCAGGCCCCGCCCTCTGTGTGTTATTCCATCCCACCTGGCCGCCGAGCCTCGGCCATGGCCACGGGCAGAAGCCAGAGGGCTCTGCTGTCTCAGCACCCCCGGGGTCTGCACAGGGCCTCCCCTGGGGACTCCAGTGTCCACCTCTGGCCTTGGTGCGGCTTGGCTTGAGATGGCCAAGCTCCCTGTACCTCTGCTGCCGCGTAACTATGTCCATCCACATCTCAGTCTCCGTGTGCCCTTCTCTTTTCTCTGTCTGTCCCTGTCACGCATTGTAAGGGCACTGGCCATGGCGGGAGGCCTCTGCTACCCCATGGCCACTGTCTTCACTGGCACTGCAGACCTTTCCAATGTGGCTTGTTCACATCTTCAGGGAGGACTGGGTGAGGTGGGCAGGGTCTGGTCCTCACTTAGTGCAGGATACACAGCTGGCTTTGTGGGCCACAGGGCCTTTACACCTGCCTGTCCCCTTTACCCGGGCACTGTCTTTTTCATCCTACAGGCCTCACCCTTGCCTGTCTTTAGAGCAGCCGCCCAACCCGCACTCCCTGGGCCTCCATATCCTCATTGGGGCCCCCATCCACCTGCTGTGCCAGGGCCTCTGTGTGGTGGCTGTGCCATGGTCCCCTCCTGTAAGTGGGAAAGTCCCCCAGGCCACAGAGGGGGGTCTTAGGAGCAAGGCATCCCTGTACATCCCAGAGGCCGTTTCTCCAGATGTCAGGGGACCTTGCGGGGCCAGTGGGGAGTACAGCCATCACAGTGTTCCCAGGACAGAGCTCCTCAGATGCTGCCACTGTGTGAGCTGTGAGTTGGGGAGCCCTGTGCTCCTAGCTCCAGGGACCCCATCCTGAGTCTGTGCCATGCCTCGCTGCCCTGCCTCTGCCTGCACGGCATGCAGCTGGGGCGCTGTGTGCTGAGGCTGCCCCTCAGTGTCCTGCTGCAGCCTGAGTGCACCCCCGGTCACATGACCCCCACCCCACAAGGCAAGGGGTAGGGCAGCCTCTCAGTACCACAGGCTGACTCGGGATCGCCAGCGGGGACAGGAGAAGACACTGAGCCACAGTCACTCTGCAGAGCACACGCCCTGGCCCAGGCCCCAACCCGAGCCGGGCACCCTGGCCTCTGTCCCTGAGGGGCGGCCGGGCCCGATTGCTGCACACAGTGGTGAGGTGCTTACACCAGGCTCTGCTCCCCAGGCCCTGGAGAAGAAGGGCATCAGCCACCTGGAGGAGAAGGAGCTGAAGGAGCGGAACAAACGCATCCAGGAGGACAACCGGCTGGAGCTGCAGAAGGTACGCCAGGTCCCAGGACCCCAGGACTCCTGAGGCCCGGGCGTCGCGGGGCTGGTGACCGGGGCGCAGGGCCCCCCTCACCCCATGTGGCCTGCAGGTGAAGCAGCTGCGGCTGGAGCGGGAGCGTGAGAAGGCCATGCGGGAGCAGGAGCTGGAGCTGCTGCAGCGCGAGAAGGAGGCGGAGCACTTCAAGACGTGGGAGGAGCAGGAGGACCACTTCCACCTGCAGCAGGCCAAGCTGCGGTGCGCCCGCCGCGTCCCCCAGCAGGGCCGCCCCCACACCTTCAGACCCGCCTGGCAGGCTGTGCCGGGCCCCACTGTGTCCCTGTGGGAACAGAGCTGAGGGCCAGCTCCTCAGCCCTGCAGGGCAGCCGTGGCCCCGTCCGAAGTCTGCCAACACTTCGCTCCCTGGGGATACCACGCAGCCCAGCCCCAGTGCTCGCCTGGACCCTGGACTCCCCACCTACCCACAGTTAGGTACCCATAGTGACATCTTCCCCATGTGCCCCACAGCTCTAAGATCCGCATCCGTGACGGGCGGGCCAAGCCCATCGATCTGCTGGCCAAGTATATCAGTGCCGAGGACGATGACCTGGCCGTGGAGATGCACGAGCCGTACACATTCCTCAACGGGCTCACGGTGGCCGACATGGAGGACCTGCTGGAGGACATTCAGGTGCCTGGCCTCGCCAGGCCCCGCCCCTCCCTGGGTGGCCCCGCCCCCCTGGGTGGCCCGCCCCTCACTGATTGGCCCCGCCCCCTAACTGCCCGGCCCTGCCCCGCCCCTCCCAGGTGTACATGGAGCTGGAGCAGGGCAAGAACGCGGACTTCTGGCGGGACATGACCATCATCACGGAGGATGAGATCTCCAAGCTCCGGAAGCTGGAGGCTTCGGGCAAAGGCCCAGGTAACCCGGTGGGCGCTGCGCTCTTAAGGTCTGCTGGGAGCCTCTTACGCTGCGGCGTGGTCCTGCCCAGCACCCCTGGCGGCCTGGCTTTCCTGGCCTCTGAAGGAGACGGAGCCACTAGGGGGCAGCAGGGTGCCCTGCTGCCATCGGCGATGGCTGTCCTGGCTGCGGTTGGTGGCCTAGTGGTGCCAGGGTCTCTGCGTGAGCCTGGCTGGGAACAGGGTCCCCCTGATGGCCGGCCCTGAGAAGCCCCCTCCGGGTCCCCACAGGCGAGCGCAGGGAGGGTGTGAACGCCTCCGTCAGCTCCGATGTGCAGTCCGTGTTCAAGGGCAAGACCTACACGCAGCTGCAGGTCATCTTCCAGGGCATCGAGGGCAAGATCCGGGCCGGCGGCCCCAACCTGGACATGGGCTACTGGGAGAGCCTGCTGCAGCAGCTGCGCGCGCACATGGCCCGCGCCCGGTGAGCCCGCCCCTGCCATGCCAGTGCCCGAGCCAGGCCGGGCCCAGGCGCAGCTGGGGCGGGAGGAGAAGGTGGGAGGATGGGCTGGGGGCCGCCCCGCCCTGGCTGACCGCTGTCCCCGCAGGCTCCGTGAGCGCCACCAGGACGTGCTGCGGCAGAAGTTGTACAAACTGAAGCAGGAGCAGGGCGTGGAGAGCGGGCCCCTGTTCCCCATCCTCAAGCAGCAGCCGCCATCCCCCAGCCAGAGGTGGGCGGGAGGCCGGGGAGGCTCCGGGACCGGCACTGCCCTCGCCCGCACCCCTGACTCTCCGCTCCCCCAGCCTGGAGCCCGAGGAGCCAGCAGCGCCCACCCCGCCAGGGCCGTCCGCGGAGGGCGGCACCGCGGAGGACGGCGCGGGCCAGGCCGAGGGTGAGGGGGACGGCGACGGGGACGGCGAGGCTGTGCTCATGGAGGAGGACCTGATCCAGCAGAGCCTGGACGACTACGACGCCGGCCGGTACAGCCCGCGGCTGCTCACGGCGCACGAGCTGCCGCTGGACGCGCACGTGCTGGAGCCCGACGAGGACCTGACGCGCCTGCAGCTGTCGCGCCAGCAGCTCCAGGTCACCGGTGCGTGGGGGACCCGGGCCGGGGGCGGGGCGGGGCGGGGCGGCAGGGCCGGGCTGACCGCTGCCCGGCGCGCAGGGGACGCCAGCGAGAGCGCCGAGGACATCTTCTTCCGGCGCGCCAAGGAGGGCATGGGCCAGGACGAGGCGCAGTTCAGCGTGGAGCTGCCGCTGGGCAGCAGGGCCTACCTGTGGGCGGACAAGTACCGGCCGCGCAAGCCGCGCTTCTTCAACCGCGTGCACACGGGCTTCGAGTGGAACAAGTACAACCAGACGCACTACGACTTCGACAACCCGCCGCCCAAGATCGTGCAGGGCTACAAGTTCAACATCTTCTACCCCGACCTCATTGACAAGCGCGCCACGCCCGAGTACTTCCTGGAGGCCTGCGCAGACAACAGGGACTTCGCCACGCTGCGCTTCCACGCGGGGCCGCCCTACGAGGACATCGCCTTCAAGATCGTCAGCCGCGAGTGGGAGTACTCGCACCGCCACGGCTTCCGCTGCCAGTTCGCCAACGGCATCTTCCAGCTCTGGTTCCACTTCAAGCGCTACCGCTACCGCCGGTGACCCCGGCCGGGACCCACCCGGCTCAGCACCGCCAGGGCGGGCGGGGCAGGGGCAGAGCGGGTGCCCTGGGGACACCGAGGCCGGCTCAGCGGCCGCGGCCCCGGCGGCCAGCAGAGGGCACAGGCCGCCCGCCCGGCCCGCCATCTGGAAATCATTCCAGGCTGTTTCCGCAGAAAACTTTTTTTACTGGGAATAAAAGCCTCGTTTTATTTTCGTCGCTCGGCCCTAGGAGCAGCCGTGTTTGTGCCGAGCGTCCAGCCCTAGAGCCAGAGTTGGCCGAGGCGCAGCCTCAGTGACACGGTGCATACCGAGGCCGGCCTGTCACCCTGCGGGACGCCCAACCCTGGGGCGTGGTGCTCGGCCCCGGGACTGTCCCTTGTCCCGGAAGTAAGAGGGTGAAACCCGGGCGCTGCCCCGAGACTCGGGCGCTGCAGGGCACCCGGGTCCTGACCCCTCTCTCCTTGGGGGCGCCCGGTGCAGCCAGGCCGGCTCAGCCTCCCCAGCGCCGGGACGACAGCCGTGCCGCTCCATTCCCGCCCGAGCCCCGACTTCTGTGCTGCGGGGCTGGGGGGGTGGCAGGGAAGTCTGTCTGATGAAGGACGCCCTTGGCATCACAGGCCATCCCAGGCCAGGGTGAAGGATGGCAGCACGGGCACTGTCGGTCCCATCCTCCCATTCCCAGCCCGTGGCAGACATTGCCAATCAATCACAGCCTCTGCCAGTTGATCCCTGAGCTGAGCGACCCGCTGCTGAGCCTGGGTGGGCCAGGCCCTGGTGGCAGAGCTGAGTGTGGCGCCTCAGGGGCAGAGCTTGGTCAAGAAATAGGGAAGAGCAAGGCATGGCAGTGCGCAGGAATCATCCCAGCTACCCGAGAAATCGCGGCCGGGGGCCATGCGCTCATGGCCAGCCGGGACAGCGCACTGAGACCCTGTCTCGCAGAGAGCTTGCCTGGTGGGTTCCGGGCCAGCACTGCCACGCAGTGGGGTGGGGACGCTGTGACATGGCGCCTTCTGTGTCTGGCCTCAGTTTGCCTCTGTGCCGGCAGGGTGTGAGGGAGACGCCAGGAAAGGCTGGAGATCTCCCCGGAGGAGGGCGAGACTGGCAGGTGAGCCGCACGGGGCTCAGGACCCAGGCAGGGAGCCTCAGCCAGCAGCGCTGCCACCCCACCCGGCCTTGGCCCGAGCGAGGCCCACCGGTGTCCCGGAAGCTGCCCCCGCTCCCACCCCGGCCCCTTCCTTTCCTCAGCTGTGTCCAGAGCTAAGAATAACCTCCCCCTGCCTGGCCGGCCGGAAGCCACAGCCACAGGGGGCCGCATCCTGAGCCTGGCCTCTGTTCCACCGCCCGCCCGCCCACCCGGGACGGAAGTGGGGGCCGGGACCAACCGGCCGCCCACCCCTGAGGTGACAGCCCGAGCGCCTCTTAAGTCCCAAATGGGGCGCTGACATCGCCCTCCCTCATGAGCCTCAGTTTCCCCACATACACCACAGGCCCCCGTCCTCTTTGGACCTCTGTCTGGCCCTTCCCGTGTCCCTTTTATCACCAGGCTGAGGACAGAGGGTGTGGAAGGCCCCGGGCTGCCCCATCTGCAGCCCCAGCTCCCGCTCCTTCCCCTGGCCACGTCACTTCCTTTGGTCCAAGCCTGATCTTCAGGCCCTGGAATGGTCCATGTCCATCCCCATCCTCCAGCTAAGGGAGTTTTCAAGAGCTGCCCCACCTGGGGCTCAGCATTGTTCCCCAAGGGGTGGGGAGGCATAAGATCCAGAAATCTGGAAGACTTGATAGAAGAGGGGTCTTGAGGCCAGGGCTTTGCAGACGCATAGGAGTTGGGACAGGGTGGTGCTCTTTGCCAAGGAAGAGGGACTTTAGGGTTGAATGCCTAAATTAAAAGGTTGAGGGACTCAGACAATGGGACAGCAGGGGAGGGGCGTGGAGGGATGTAGGTGTGGGCTGAAGGGGCGGCAGGGAAGGGGCTTCCTGCCTGCACTGTGGAGCCCGTCTGGGACAGCCTAGAAGACGGGGCAGGAAAGGGTCAAGGCTGATCAGTCATCCTGGCATGTCCTGCCCAGCCAACCAAGGCCAGTGAGCCCTGGTGACAAGCCCAGCCCGGCCCTATCTCCCACACCTCTTGAAAGGCAGGCGGCCCAGGCTTGCAAACCCCTGTCCCTTTGCAAGGGAGATGCCCCTCTGCCAGGGGACTGCCTGCAGAAGTTTGACCCCTGTGCCTCTGTCTCCCGGGCCCAGCCTGGGAGGACCCCGGCCCAGAGCCCTGAATGACAGTGAGGCTGCCTTTTTTTTTTTTTTTTTTTTTTTCCCACTCTTTTGGAACCAGGAATCAAACCTCGGGCTCACCAGGCAGGCACTTGTGCCACTGAGCTAAATCCACAGCCTCTCTAGGATCGACCCCTGGCCCCAGGGCCTTGGTGCTGGAGCTACATCCCCACCTCTTTTAATTTATTCTTGTTCTTCAGTCTGAGATACAGTCTCAGTAAATCGGTCAGCTACCCAGGCTGGGCTCAAACTTGTGGTCCTCCTGCCGCAGCCTCCCAGAGTGCCAGCTCTGGGGACTTCTGAGGAAGTTCTCTGCCAGGGCAGCCCAGCCCAAGCCCTGCCTGGACCGCTTGGCCTCTTGTGCCTCTCTCCCGAGCAGCCCGCTCCATCCATCCCTCCACACCCTGCACTGGTGACAGCCAGGGGGACCCGCCCTTCCCCGTGGCCAGGACAGCTCCCCCAGGACTGTGATCTCCTCCAGCCCCGGCCCAGCCAGATGGCTCCAGTGTCCAGTTGCCTGCACCCCAGGGCCTCAAACGTCCCGCGTTCATGAAGCACCTACTGTGTGCCAGGCCCGGGGCACCTGGTCAGCCTGCTGCCAGCCTGGTCCCCCAGGCCCTGGGCGCTGGACTAGACCGGGGCTGGAGGCGGGGGACCGGGAGGGGCCCCCAGGGCGGCCCAGGCTGGGGGTGGGGCAGGGACCCGGGCATTGCGCGGGGGGAGGGGGGGGATCCTGGGGGGGGTCACGACATCCCCTCCCCCAGCGGTGTCCTCCGCGGGCCAGGGCGGGGCGGGGCGTGGCGGGGCGGGGCCGGGCTTGCTGGAGCCGGGGAGGAGCAGACACCGCACGGCCGCCCACCCCAGCCCAGCACCCGGCGCCCCAGAGCCCTGGTCTGCGCCCTGCATCTGAGCCTCACCACCACCTGCAGCCTCCCAGCGTCCGTCCAGCCCCCCCTGCTGCCCGTGACTCAGTTTCCCCAGCCCCCTCCCCCCCCCACTGCCCATGACTCAGTTTCCCCGGCGGTGCCCGGACCGGATCGCTCCCCGTGCCCACCGCCTGCTCCAGGCCCAGAGCGCTCTGCCGTCTGCTCCCTGAGGCCCCGACTCCAGCCAGGTGAGGCCCAGGGGGTGGGGTGGGGACACGGCCAGCAGCTGGGCCTGCCCTCGGTGGTGGGTGTGTCAGTGTCACCCCGCAGCCCTGCGGCCGGGCGCATGGGGTCCCGCCAGTGGCCCTGGCGTGGCTTTTGCTGCCTGGCGGTGGGCGGGAAGGAGAGAGGGGGCCAGGGCCGGGCGGCCATTGAGGTCTCTCCTGGCCCAGGGAGACCAGTCCGGTCCTGAGGGTCCCTTGGGCCCAAGTAGGAGCTGCCAGAAGCTGGGGCTCTTTGTCTCCAGACAGCTGTGTGTTGGTGGATCTCCATGTGTTTGTGCCTGACCGTCTGTGTCCCCTGTCTGTCTGTCTGTCTTTTGGCAAGGCTGCCCGTTGATCAGCTGGGTCCTGTGTGTGCCCCAGTGTGTGTCTGTGCACCCTTAACGGCCAGTGGTGATGTCCGAGTCCCCCTCCTGGTCCCACACCCAGCACTTGGCCTGTGCTGTTCAATGCACAGAAGAGGAAAGCGGCTCAGGGAGCCGGCATGCTCGGCCCAGGCTGTAAAGCATCTGCACCCTATGGGCGAGGGTAGGGGGAGCTCATTGGAATCAAAAACAGGAAGAGGTTCTGGAAATGCAGGCTGGGTGAGGGGCGGGTGCTGCTGGTGGCTGCAGGCAGGTGTGTGGGGGTGGGGCCCTGTCAGGTTGCTAGGGTTGCGCACAGTGAGCTGCTGGAGCAGAACCCACTGTCCGGCTGCCACCTCCAGGTCCTCAGTAGCTGCAGGATGCAGTCAGAGGCCTCTAGAATCGGGGGTACCCCAGGTCCTGGGGCTCCCACCTTGTCCACAGGAGTGGAGAGGGTGCCCAGCCTGGAGAGGGCGGCACTGCTGTGGGGGGTCAGGCAGGCCTGGACAGAACACCCAAGACACCAGGTGGGGGGCACCCGTTGCCCGTCCTCCGGAGGGGTCACCGTGCTGTGGTGTGGCTGAGCCTCCCGCCCAGTGTGGCAGACAGGGAGCCTGAGGGGGGCCTGAGCTGCCACGGGGCTTGCGTCACCCACTGGGGCCAGATTTCAGGGCAGGATGGGGCAGGGTGTTGAAAGGGACCGAGGGCCCGGCCACATGCCGCCCGTTCCCATGTCTGTCCCATGCCTGGGCCCAGCCACACTGCCCTGGAAGTTCTAGGAACTCCTTGGAATTCTGGCATCCGAAGTCTTGGGGATGCCAGGAATCGGGGCTCATTAGAGTTCCAGGATGCTCTGAGCCCAAATTTCCCATGTCTCAGGCCCAGGGATTCATTTTGTTTTGTTTTGTTTTGTTTTGTTTGACTTTGTTTTGTTTTTGGAGACGGGAGTCTCGCTCTGTAGTCCAGGCTGGCCTTGAGCTGGCCTCAAGCTCGAGGGGACCCTCCTGCCTCAGTCTCTCCAGTGCTGGGGTTCCAGCTGTGCGGTACCACGCTGGCTGCGTTTAAGGATTCTGATTTTTCCAGCTTTAAAAGCAACAAGCCGGAATCCCTGCCTCCCATAGGACGCAGAGAGGGAGAGCGTTCTGCCTAGGGCCACACAGGGGAGCCTGGTGAGGGCTCTGCTGTCCTTTGCTGCCAATGCAGGACACGGATGCCGGGTCCCCTGCTGGCCTTGGCTGGCTGGGGGAATTTGAGCGGGTTGCTGTTACCTGAGCCCCAGTTGGGAGCGGTGGAGGGGAACTGGAAACCGCCAGCAATGGCCAGAGGGACTTGGTGTTAGTTTCCAGCCTCCCCGTAGCCAAGGGCTCTGGGTCCCAGGCTCGCTCCGAGCCCCGAGACCCGGAGGTGTGCGTCCCCCGGGCCTGCCAGACTCAGGCCCTGGAGTGGGGGTCAAAGGAACGCAGAGACCCAGAGGGGCCTGGCGGTCACTGCAGTCAGAAGCCGGGGCAGTGGCCGCAGGCACAGCCCGAGTCCCAGGAATGTTTGGACGTGGCATACCAGCTCGGGCAGGAGGGAGGGAGCGCCCCATCCTAGGGGAATCCAAGGCTGAGGTCACAGAGGGTGGGCTCTGCCCCCGGCCCAGGGTCCCACCGCCTGGAGCCCAGGAGCGCACCCCACCCTGCCTCTCTGGGCCTCAGTTTCACCCCACGGGGTGGCAGAGGCCTTGGGTCCGGGCCAGGGGGCGCCCGGGGCAGCTGTCTGGAGCTCGATAATTTACGAGACTCTGTGGGGAGGAGCAGAGCCCAGGGGCCTGCCAAGGCGCTGATTACGGAGATGGAGCCAGGCCCGGCCACCCACCGGCTTCCCCCGCCTCCACTTCCGGCCCTGCCTGGGGCCAGCTCTGCTGCCCAGTGCCCGCTGCCTGTGAACATAAAGGGAAACTGAGGCCCCGCCGCTCCGGGCTGGGCTTGGGGTTCTGGTTCCAGGTTCCTGGCTTCTCGAACAAAGAATTGGAGAAAGGAGCGAAAAACAGTGTAAAATCACTTTTTTAAAAATTGAAAGGGAAGGGTAAGGGAGAGATGCTCAGAGCGAGCTTGTGGGGAGTAAAACCAAATCAAAAGGGAAATTAGGGCCGGGGACCTGCCTGGCACCCGTGAGGTCGTGAGTTCGAGTCCTAGTAAGATTCCCAGTAAGAGAGAAAAAAAGAATAAAGATAAAAGTACTCAAATTCAGGGCTCCTGCTTCTCCCCCAGCTAGTTTGCCATGCCCCGCCCTCCTGCGCCACCTCCCTCCCAGAGACCAAAATCCCATCTCTTTATGGGCCTCGAGGCTGAGGCAGGAGGGTCTCTGCTTCCGTAGCAGGGGCTCCCCACCTGCCTTGGGCGTGGTGGCTCCCTGGCTGGTGCCCGAAAGAAACCCTGGCCAACGACAAAGCCGCCTATATGATGGAGGAAAGAAAGTTTCCCATCAGCCCTGCGAGGACAAGCGGTCAGATTTCCACGCTCCTGTATCAGGGAGCAATGTCACAGCGGAGGCCATGGCCCGCCAAGATCCTGTTTACTTCTGGGCAGCAGCTCTGGAGTCTTGAGGGTTTTGTTTCGTTTTGCTTGTTGGTACCAGGAATCGAACTCAGGACCTCACGATTCCCAGGCAGGCACTGCGCTGCTGGGTTTTTTTGAGACAGGGTCTCACCATCTAGTCCAGGATGGCCCTGAACTCACTATGTCGCCCAGGCTGGCCTCAAACTCGCAGTGATCCTCCTGCCTCAGCCTCCCAGTGCTGGGAGGTGACAGGCTTGAGCCACCAGATGCGGCTTGGGTTCATTTTACAAAGATGAACCAAATCATCTCTGTCTAGTGTCAGTGTTACCCAGGGGGTGTCACGGGAGGGGTGAAAAGGGGCCTTTCTATTTTGACCTTCGCTGGTCAGCGGGGATCCCCCCGACCAAGATTTTATGAGAACGGGGTCTCCAGGGCCGACAGATGTGGCTCCCCAGGCCGGGTGCTGGCGGAACTGCGTTCCCACACATCTGGGGAGCCTGTTTCACTGGACCCAGACTAATGAGACTTCGTAAGGGTCCATGGCCTCTTGGTCTACTGTCAAATCCGAGGACAGACGCGGCCTCTCAGAGAACTTGGATTTAGCTCAGTTTGGGGGGGCCTGTCCCAAACCCTCATGGCCATTACGGCAGGGTTGCAGCTGGGACTCAGCCGACTCCTGGCAAAGTTTTGTCAGAGCTGGATTTAGGGTCTGCTTAACTCTTTGCCTTTCCAGACTCTGAGGCCACCAAATGGTTAGCCACCCTGAGTGATTTGGGGGTAAATAAGCCCATGGTCACTGCGGAGAGACGGACACCCCAGATCTGGGAATGAATTCTTTAGAAACGACCCCCCCTGGCCTTCCGGGATGGGCAGGGAGAGCTTGGATGCAGCCCGTGAAGGTTCAGTCGGGCCCCACGGCTGCTAAAGTGCCCCCCGGGCTGCAGCTAAGGCTCAGGGCACCGCACCTGCCTGGCAAGTGCCAGGTCCCGAGTTCGATTCCTGATAGCAAAAGAAAAGAAATCGTGCACCTGGCAGATGTGGGTAGAGTCTAACCGCCAGGCTCCCCCAGAGAAGACAGTCTGAACTTGGCCCGGTGGGTTTTAGGCCCAGAATGCACAGCCTTGCCCACCTCCCAGGGGTGGTCACCCCTCCTGGTCCTGTGAAAACCCCGCTCACCGTTTCCGTGCAGCATCTCCGCCCGTACGGGAAGAACCGTGGGGTGCTTTTAGGGCCTTACTGTGCCCCTGATTTGTTTTCTAGTGCCACCAGGGTCCCTTTCTCATCCCCCCTTGCCCATCCCTCGCCCTGGGAGTACACACGGGCCTCTGACCTCCTGGGTGCTTGCGTAGGAACCAATCAGAAAGGGGGGGCTGTCCCCAAACCCCAGAAGGGAAACTGTCCAAGTACGGTGCAGGCAGATTTTCACATTTCAAGGCAGACAAACCGGCAGTCTGCAGGCAGGGCGTGAGGAAAGTGCTTTCCTGTGTGTTTGGCTTTCTGAGACAGGATCTCACTGTGCAGCTCAGGCCGGCCTTGAGCTCACTCTGTAGCCCAGACTGGCCTTGAACTCACAGCGATCCTCCTGCCTCAGCCTCCCGAGTGCTGGGGTCACAGATGTGCGCCACCACGCCCGGCTGAAGTTGTTATCATTAGTACCTGGTGTTAGTTGCCAAACGGATTGAGAGTCCCAGAGACTGTCCACCAAGCAGACCGAGAGATTCCAGCTTCTCTGAGACGCAGGCGGGGACTCGCAGGACGGGGCGCCCGGGGCTCAGCCTCTCCTCAGGGTCCCCTCAATACCACAGCTTGCCACCCGCCCCTTGCACCCCGGGTCACAGGAGCCCCCTTAGGGATGTCGCTCTACCCTGCACATTTTAGGTAAAAAAAAGAACCTGAGAACGGCCTAAAGTTCCAGCCGGCCTCATCCTTCCCCGCTCTGCATTGCAGTGTGGAGACTGAGGCAGCTTTCCCTGGTCAGGGCAAAGCTTTCCCTGCTGTCAAGGAGACGGCCGGGGCCGGGGCCGGGGCCGGGGCTCAGCAGGCACAGCCCTGCCCGCAAGCTCGAGGTCAAGCGTTCAGTTCCTGGTACTGACATGGAAATCAAGGCCCGGGCGGAAGCCCCGCCAGGGACTTTCAGGTCTATTTGAGGCCCATCAAAGCCTGCAGGAAGCAGGGCACTGAGCCACCCGCTTCTCCTGGGAGTGCCCGCCGCCAGCTGCCCAGCCTGAAGGCTCCTGGCTTGAAGGCAGTAGAAATGGAAACTTTTAAAAATTGTTATTTCTTGGTACCGGGACTCGAACTCAGGACCTCGCGTGTGCCAGGCAGGTGCGGTGCCGCTGAGCCGCACCCCCGCCCTGAGTTGTTGACTGGTACAACGTAGGTATGCGCAGCGCATCCTCCCCTCCTTAGTCACCAGCTTGTTTCCATTTTATCCCTCGTCCCATTTCGCAATACCGATTGTACATTCTGGTTCTTATTTACACTTTCAGTTTCACATGCCAGAGAGAGAATGTGACACTCGCACACGTGTCCGAGTTATTCCACTTGCCGTGAGGCTCCCAGGCTGCCTCCGCTTAGCTCTCAGCGCCTCAGCCTTTCCCTTCTTCAGGGCCCAGTAGTACTCCATTATGTATCACACCTCCACTCATCAGGTGATGGGCATTTGGGCTGTTTCCAGGATTTAACCATGTGGGTGCATGTGTATTGCTGCGGTGCAATGTGTTTGACTCTTCTGGGAAGACACCCAGGAGGGGAATGGCCGGGTCAAATGGAAACTCTAGCTCTCGTTTCCGAGGGGCTCCACGCTGGTCTCCACAGTGGCTGCCCCAGCCTGCACCCCACCCGCAGTGGAGAAGGCTCCCTTCCCCTCCAGCCCAGCCAGCGTCTGCTGTTGCTTGATTTCTTGATGACAGCCACTCTTTCCGGGAGGTGGAATCTCAGTGTTGTTTTAATTTGCATCTCTCCAACGCCCAGCGATGCTGAACGTTCTTTCCCGTATTTATTTGCCATTTGTGGTTCTTCTGAGAAGCGTGTGTTGATCTCAGAGGCCCATTTTTGGGTTGGGTCATGGAGTTCATTCTAGTTCTTATTTGTTCATTTGTTCTGCTCAGGTTCCCGGGCTCGTGTCTCTAAATCACCTGCGTTTGACAAGGAAGGGATAGAGCCAGACAGGGACAGCTCCCCGCAGGGTTTGGGACCCCAGGGCCTGGCCTTGCTGCGGCCGTTTACTGATGGCTGCAGGTTTTTGAAAGGGACAAAGTTTTCTCAGTCTGTTAACCCAGTTTAACATACTGTGTTAGTTCGAATAATTCAAACAAGACAGCAAGGAAGCCCGTACGGTTTCCAAAGTCAGAGGCTCGGCTCCCATCTGCAAGGTGAGGCTTATGTCAGGCTAGTTGGTAAAAAGAAAAAAGAACATTGAAAAAACAACCCACCGGCGGCTCCCAGCACTGGGGAGGCTGAGGCAGGAGGGTCCCAGAGGAAAGCCCCGCCCGGGCAACTAGCAACCTAGTGAGACAGTGAGACCTGCTCCAACTTTTTTTAAAGAAAGGAGGTGGGTGGCAGCTAACAGAACAGTGGTAGCTGCCTGGCACTTGGGGTCCCGCCACCCTCCTGCGCCCACTGGCTGCCTGCACCCACAGCGTGGCATGCGTTCTCCTGCCTCAGCCTCCCAGAGTGCTGGGCTGACGGCGTGCATCTGAATGGCTGTCCAGATCTCCCCGAGGCGGCCCCGCTCTGTGGCCCACGCTGGCCACGGCCTGTCCCACGTCCTCCCCCGGGAGCTGTCCCTGCGAAGGACCTGAAGGATTTTTTTTTTTGCTTCCCAAAATGGAACTGAGACTTCTGGGCTCATTTCTTGTTCTAAAAACGACTCTGGGAAAGTGGAAAACAGCCATCACACCAGGCCAGGGGGTGTGAACCGCAGACGCACCCAGATTTCCTAAAGTAACCGCAGGGACAGGAGCCGGGTGAACCCGGGCCCAGCGGCCGGCCGGCCTCGCGGGGTGTGACTGGAGGGGCGGTGTCTGTCTGAAGAATCCGGGGCTGGTGCTGAGTTCTGCCATGGTCTCAGGAGGGTGAATGGTGGGGAAACTGAGGCTCTGGGAGCCAAAAGTCACACAGCACCAGGCCTGGAGCCCAAACCGGGCTCCTCAGTTCTTTTCTGGGATCCAGAAAATACATTCGGGTGTCCCTCGGGGATCCCAGAGAGGACAGTCCTGGTCTTTGCCCAGGCTGGCTCCAGAGTGATCCTCCTGCCTCAGCCTCCTGAGTGCTGAGATGGCAGACACGTGCCACCACACCAGTTTATTTTTATTTTGAGGCAGGGTTTTGCTAAGTTACCGGGCTGGGCTCCAACCTGTCACCTTCAGAGCCATGAATGGTGGCATCTGGCTGTCACCTCAGCTTCCTGGGAGGCTGAGGCAGGAAGATTGCAAGTTTAGGGCCAGTCTGGGCAACTTAGTGACTTCAGTGTCAAAATGAACAATAAAAAGGGTTCAAATCCCAGGATGGGGAAATGCAAACTGGCCATCCTCCTGCCTCAGCCTCCTGGAGAGCTGCAATTAGAGGTGTGCATCAGAACGCCCTGCTAGGAGTTCTCAATTTTTTTTTCCTTGTCTTTTTGAGGCAGGGTTTCCGCTATGCAGTCCAGGCTGGCCTTGAGCTCATTTTGCAGCCCAGGCTGGTGGTCTAGGACTCGCAACGATCCTCCTGCCTCAGCCTCCCGAGTGCTGGGATGACAGGCGTGAGTTCTGAACTCTTATCACTTGCACTCAGACAGGCTTCCTCGACGATGGGCTATTGGAGCCGGGGCACTGAAGGTTGAACAGGAGTTTGCCAGAATCTCACAGCGTCTGTAACCAACCGCTCTCCTCTCTTCTGCCTCCTAGATGCGCCCGAGCCAGGGCCAGCCCGACGGGGCGATGACCCGCTGACCCCGCGGCCCCGCAGCGCCATGTGGCCCAATGACACCTCCCTGGGGCCGTGTTTCCGGCCCACCAACATCACGCTGTCCGACGAGCTGATCGCCTCGCCCTGGTTCTCGGCCTCCTTCTGCGTGCTGGGCCTGGCCTCCAACCTGCTGGCCCTGAGCGCGCTGGCGGGGGCGCGCGCGGGGGCTCCGGCCAGCCCGCGCTCGTGCTTCCTCACGCTGCTGTGCGGCCTGGTGCTGACCGACTTCCTGGGGCTGCTGGTCACCGGCGCCATCGTGGTGACCCAGCACGCGCTGCGCTTCGACTGGCGCGCCGTGGACCCGCGCTGCCGCCTGTGCGACTTCATGGGCGTCGCCATGGTCTTCTTCGGGCTGTGCCCGCTGCTGCTGGGCGCCGCCATGGCCTGCGAGCGCTTCCTGGGCATCGCGCGGCCCTTCTCGCGGCCGGCGGCCGCCTCCCCGCGCCGCGCCTGGGCCTGGGTGCTGCTGCTCTGGGCCGCGGCGCTGGCGCTCGGGCTGCTGCCCGCCCTGGGGCTCGGCCTGGGCCGCTACTCGCTGCAGTTTCCGGGCTCCTGGTGCTTCCTGACGCTGGGCGCGCGGCGCGGGGACGCGGCCTTCGCGCTGCTCTTCGCGCTGCTCGGCGGCCTCTCGGTGGCGCTGTCGCTGGCGCTCAACACGGTGAGCGTGGCCGTGCTGTGCCGTGCGCGCCGCGGCCGCCAGGGGGCGCAGCGGCAGCGCCCGCGGGCCTGCGAGCTGGAGATGATGGTGCAGCTGCTGGGCATCATGCTGGTGGCCAGCGTCTGCTGGATGCCGCTGCTGGTGAGTCGGGAGGCGGGGTGGGGGGGAGCCCCGGCCGGCCGCGGATCCCCTCGGGCGCCACCCTGCGCCCGCCCTCCGGGAAACCTGGGGATTCGCCTCGCAGCCGGGAGGGGGAGCTCGTGAGCAAGGCAGGAATGACCCCGCAGTGCGTGCCCCGCCATGGAGAGGGAGGTGAGGCCTGGGCTGCAAAGGGAGCTCAAGGCCGCCTGAACTGCACAGCGCGACCCTGGCTCAAAAAGACAAAAACGCAAAACAGCGCAAAATCCTGTGGAGGGAACTGCTGAGTATTTAGAAGTCACTTTGCCCGGCACAGACTGGACTCCAGCCCTCCTGCGTGTTCCTATGGGTGGGTCCAGGGCTGGGCTCAGAAGAGGAGCTCCCAAGGTGCCAAGCCGGGGATGGAACCCAGGCTTCCACACTGAGCTCGTCACCAGGCCTTGTTGAGATAAGGCCTCGCTAGGTGGCTGAGTTGCCCATACTGGGCTCAGGCATGTGATTCTCCTGCCTCAGTTTCCCAGAGTGCTGGCATGACAGGTGAGTGCCACCTCACCTGGGTACAAGGTTTTCCTTTGAAAACTGGATTCAGCCACCAGGGGCTGAGTTCCCTCTGGCTCTAGGATTAACAAGATGCCAACAGGCCTGGGCACAATGGCAAATAACTGTAATTCCAGCACTGCAGAGGCTGAAGCAGGCAGATTGCCATGAGTTCAAGGCCAACCTGGGCTACATAGCCAGACCCTATCTCAAAAAACAAAATAAATACTGCAGGCAGAGGGCATGGCTGTGCAAAGGCCCTGGGGCAGGACAGAGCTAGGCACAGTTCAGTGGAGTCAGTGTGACCGGGGCAGAATGAGGAGGGGCAGGGACAGGCGGGCTGCAGAGAGGACTTGGGCTTTGGCCCAGGTGGGAGCAGTGGAGGGCTGAGGGCAGAAGAGGAGAACCTCTTGGTGCTCACAGCGCCCCCTGCTGTAGGGGCCTGAGTTGTGCACCTGATGTGTGTGTGTGTGTGTGTGTGTGTGTGTGTGTGTGTGTGTCCCTGCCTTTGAATCTTGACCCTGCTGTGCCCCCAGGCCCTTGGTCCACCCGCGCCGAGTGGACACTCGGGAAATAATATAGTGTCTGTGTGGCCATACGCTGTCATAAAATGCCAAGTGTTTCAGTATAACGTAATTCTTAATTATAACCATTTGTAATTATAAAATATAAGCCAGGTGTGGGGGTTCACACCTGTTACCCCAGCTCCTCAGGAGTCTGAGGCAGGAAGGTTGCACATCTGAGGTCAGCCTGGATCACTTCGCTAGGACCTACCTGTCCAAAAATAAAAAGAGACAGAGATACAGGCCCCCCAAAATAGTAAAGTAATATAAACCCCATAATTATTATGCTATTATAACTAATAGCTGTATCATTATGCAGTGTTATAGTGCATAATCCGCAACATTACATGTTGCGTTATAATTGTACTTATAATTACATTAACTATGTAATAATGGTTATATTATTTTAAAATCATAACCTGTTATACAATAATTTATTAAAACTTCTTTTATATATTTAATAATAAATATAAATTATATGTCGAAAGGCCAATTAAAATGATGAAGTTTATGCTTTAGTGTACAGAAATTTAATACTTTAAACACGTCACAAAATTCGGGTTGTGCATAGTGACGCACACCTGTGAACTCAGCCCTCCGGGCTGCCAAGGCAGGAAGGTCGTCAGTTCGCGCCCAGCCCGGGCAGTTTAGACTTAGTGACGCCCTGTCTCAACATAAAACATAAAAAGGGCCGAGATTGGAGTTCAGTGTGAAAGCCCTGAGTTCATTCCCCAGCGCTGCACGACAGAAAAGCTGTGTGTACTGTGTATGTTTTATAAATTTAATGTCGTGTAAAAGCGTTTGAAATGTATAGCTTTGAGTTACTGACTGTGAGGTTCTAGGTTCGGGCGGCGCTGCACGCCCAGCCCGGCCGCCCCGGGGAGGCCGAGGCAGGAGGGTCTCCGCGCCTGCCGCTCACCCGCCCGCCCGTCCTGCAGGTCTTCATCGCGCAGACGGTGCTGCGGACGCCGCCGGCCATGAGCGCCTCAGGCCAGCTGTCCCGGGCCACGGAGCAGCAGCTGCTCATCTACCTGCGGGTGGCCACCTGGAACCAGATCCTGGACCCCTGGGTCTACATCCTCTTCCGCCGCGCAGTGCTGCGCCGTCTACACCCGCGCCTGAGCACGCGGCCCCGCTCCATGTCCCTGCAGCCGCAGCTCACCCAGCGCGCCAGGGGGTTGCTGTGACTCGCGGGGGAGCCTTTACCTGCCCGGGGTGCTGCCTGGTCCCCCTGCCCTGCCCTGCCCACTCAGAGCCCCACGCCCACCCCAGCACCCCCAGATCTCCCCAGCCCCGGAGGGGAGTTTGGGGACTCCTGGAAGGGATCATCGAACTGTGAAGCCCAGAGGGGCGAGTCTTCTCCCTTCCGGAAGCCCTGTCCGTTGGGGGTGCTGTGATCCCCTAAGAGGAGGCCTTGCTGGGGTTAACCACCTGCTCCGCGCCTGCCTGGAGCAGCTCCGCCCTGGGCGCAGGGCGCAGCAGGACACGCGTCATTCAGACTGTTCCAGAGGCCGAGGCTGGAGGGTTTCGAGCTCCAGCCCAGCCTGAGCAATTTAGCCATTTCAACAGCCAGGCGTGATGGCGCACGCCTGTCATCCCAGCACTGGGAGGCTGAGGCAGGAGGATCCCTGTGAGTTCGGGACCAGCCTGGGCGACACAGTGAGCTCCAGGCCTGCTTGAGCTGCATAGTGAGACCCTGTCTCAAAAAGACAAAGGCATTCAGTGACATTGTGCCTCAAAATAAACCCAAGAGGGGTGGGTTGGGGTGCAGCTCAGTGGTGAGCGCTTGTATTGCATATGCAAAGCCCAGGGTTGGACCCTGAACACCTCAAAAAGGAAAAAAGAAAAAAATAATAAATTGAATGTGAACAGCGAGATGGGGGCGCCCCCTCTCTTGCCAAAATACATCCCGAAGTTGCTGGTTTCATTTTCCTTCTGTCCAGGCTCAGATGACTGGGGGGAGAGTGAGGTCCAGGCGGGGCTTGAATTTGGGATCCTCCTGCCTCTGCCTTCCAGAGGGTACAGATCACGGGCATGTGCGTCAGCTTCTCATCTTTCCCTGGTGACACCGCCACGCAGGACCCATGGACCGCTCACTGGACCACGGACCACCCACGCACGCAGGCTGCTGCGTGGACGCGGTGTTGGCCCGGCCCCCGCAACCCCCCCCCCCCCCCCGCGACCACAGCAGGACACTGGCCGAAGGCAGGGTGTGAGGAGCCTTTATTTGCAGGGCGCACTGCCCTGGGGGTACAGAAGCCAGCGCCCCGCCCTGCATCGTCCAGCACACATTGGATCCACTTACAAGGCCCTGGTCAGGCGCCTGAAACCGAACCCCGTTTCCACGACCCCCCTCCCTCCTGGCGGGGGACCAGGTCACCTTCGAGGTGTCTGGGGCAGCCCGGCTGGAAGGGGCAGAGTTCCCGTGACGTCACCCGGCGGGGGCGGGGCCCGGCTCCCCGGCTCATGTTGGGGGTGCTCTCCTGAGCTGGGGGGTTCCAGAGGCTGGGAGGGAACTTAGGAGGCTCTTGCTGGGGAAAGGCCAGGGGTGACAGATACAGGTGGTGGGGTGGGCTTTGGGGGTCCCAACTGCAGCTTGGGAGAAAGGGGGGGTTTCTGGGGTGCAGAGGGAGCTGCTGGACGAGGGGCCAGGCGGGAGGCTGAGGACCCTGGCCTGGCAGGGAGGCCGGCCTGAGCTCCGGGTGCTGGCTCAGGAGGCCGGGGCTGAGTCCCCGGGGCTCTGCTGATGGACGGAGTCGGGGCCCTGGGGGCTGGGCTGGGCTCAGGGGTCAGTGGGCAGGGCCCACTACCGGGGCCCAGCTGGACTCTCGTTCTGGACTGGCCTCCGGGGTCGGGCTGGCTCCCCAGGCTGAGCTGGGTCCCCCGGCCGAGCTGGGTTCCGGAGCTAAATGAGGAGCTGGGCCGGATTCCTGAGCTGGAGTGGGCTCCCGGGCTGGACCGAGCTCTGGAGCCAACCCGCTCCCCTGTGTCCCGCTGGCCAACGGGGCCAGCTGTGGCCAGGGCCCGGGGCTGCTGCCTGGAACGCGGCAGGGTCTGGGCACTGCGCTGGGCACTGGCGGTCACCTGAGCTCCCGGAGGGCGCTGGGTCCCGGAGCTGGGGGCAGTGGCCTTGCAGCTCTGTGCTCCAGGGCCGAACTGCCCCCCGGGGCCAGGTTGGCCACCTGGGCTGGGCTGAGCTCTGGAGCTCGGCCAGGCCTTGAAGTCGGTCTGGGTCCCCGAGTCGGTCAGCACTCTGGAGCGGACCTGTGTCCGGCAGGCAGCAGGGGTCTGGGCACCGGGGCGGCCCCCGGCACTGGGCCTGCTCCCTCCAGAGCTGGACGGCCGTGCAGAGCCGGGCTGAAGGCTGGAGCTGGGCCTGGTCCCGGTGTGAGGCTGCCCTGCGGAGCTGGGCTCCATCCCTGAGCTGGACCCGGAGCTGGGACTGGGCAGGGAGGCCGAGTGGGGGCCAGGGGCCTGGGGCGGGGGGCTTCCCGGGCAGTGCTGAGGTTCGCGTGGGGATTGCGTGGTGGTGGGGAGCTGGCTCCTGGAGCCACCTGGGGGCCTAGCGCTGGCTTTCCGCTGGCCTGGCTCCCGGCTTCTGAGGCCACCTGCTGTCCCAGAACCGCTGTGAGTGTCCGGGTCAGGCTGGGCCTTGGGGTCATCTTCAGTGCTGGGATCCAGATGAATCTTAGGGCTGGGCTTGGTCTCGGAGCTGGAGTGGGTGTCTGGGCTGGGGTCCACCTCTAAGCTGGACTGGATCTGGACATTTAACTGGGCTGTGGAACTCGGCTTGGTGTCAGGGCTCGACGGGGTTCTGGAGATGACCTTAGGCTCGGGGGGCTCAGGGCTGAGCTGGGCTCTGGAGCTGGGCTGGGGCTTGGGGCTGAGTTTGGTCTCGAAGCCCAGCTGGGCTCTCGGGCAGGGCTTGGCCTCCGTTCCTGGCTTGCCCTCCGAGCAGGGCTGAGCTCTAGAGATGCTGGGCGGGATTTCCGAACTGGGCTCACTCCTGGAGCCCAGCTTGGCCTCGGAGCCCGGCCAGGGCCGGGCGCTGGAACAGGGCTGGGGCGGGGTGCCGGGCTCCGGGCTGGGGCTGCGCTGGCCCCCTGGACATGCTAGCCACAGGCCTCCCTGGCCTCGCCGATGGCCGCCCACACCTCCACCACAAACTCGTCCGGGAAGGCGAATTCGCCTAAGACGGAGTCTAAACAGCTCGCAAACTCCTGGACGCTGGCCGTCTTCTTGGACGTCTCCACCATGGTGGACGCTGTGGGCCGGGAGGGGGAGGCGGGTGAGGGCCCTCGGGGCCCACTCCCCAGGCACCCCAGCCGCCTCCGCTGCCTCCCCAGGGGACCCCGGCTTACCCTGGCCCCTTACCCAGCTCAGGGTCTCGGATACCCATGTAGCTCTCCAGCAGGTCGTCCACCCTGCGGGCCGCCTCCTCCTCGAACTCGCTGGGCTGGGCAGAGCGGAGCAGGGGGTGAGGGGCTCCGGGCCCTGCAGCCGCCCTCCCCACACCCCCTAGAGAAGCGCGTGTGCACCGGAGCCCCCTGACACCCGCCTGTCACCAGGGCCCAGGCAGGGAAGCAGGCTCCGAGTAGGGATATTTTTTCCTTTGCCGCACTGCGGGTGGAACCCCGGGCCTCCCGGCCTTCATCCTGAGGTCCATGCCAGCTCTTTTCTGTTTTGTATTTTGAGATGGGGACTGCCTTAGCTGCCAACCGGCCCAGGCTGGGCTTGCATTGGCCACGCTCCTGCCTCAGCCTCCCAGAGCACACGCCGCCACCCCAGCCAGGAAGAGGTCCATGTCCAAAGCCACACCGAGTCGCTCACCACTTCCTCCACGGTGGCAGCAGAGCCCGCACGCAGCCGCAGGGTCTCCCTCCCGCTGGTCACCTTGGCATCCACGGGATGCTTGCTCCCCCGGCTCCGCTGGCCAATCATATCTGGAGGGCACAGAGACCGGGTGCGATGCGTTCTGGGTGTGGAGGACCCGGTTCTGGCCACCCTGGGTGACCCTAGCTGCCCCTTTCTGGAACAATCCTCCAGACTCCCCACGGGAATTCCGGAACCTCCTGCTCTAGGACAGTGCCACCCACCCGAGGGCCCAGATGAGGTGAGGGGGACGTGGCTTACGCAAATCAGCACAGTTTCCTTCAATGCGAAAGTCGAGGTATACAGTTAAAAAAAAAATGCAGCCAGGCTTAGTGGCCCACACCTGTCATCCCAGCACTCGGGAGGCTGAGGCAGGAGGATCGCCTCAAATTTGAGGCCGATCTGCACTACATAGTCTCCAAAACAAACCAAAACACCCAACCACAGAACCTCCATCCACGCAGCAGAGTGGACCTGGGCACTTCCCCATCCGTCCCTGCTGCCCTGGTCACCCTCCACCCTCCTCCACAAATGACCCTACAGTCTACCCCACCAGCCCGCGCCTTCTGGTCCTGAGCCTCCATTCCTGGGCCTTCCACGGTCCCAGGGCCCCATCTCCGGCTGCGCCCCCACCCCTGGTCATTAGTGGCCTCACCGAAAGCTCTCTTGGGCTGCACCAGGCGCAGGGTGAAAGGCTGGGCCTTGGGGAGCTCCCGGAGCATCTTGGCCACCTCGTAGTGACGGCACCCCACGATGGAGTGGTCGTTGATGGCCTCGATGCTGTCCCCCACGCACACGGTCTCGATGCGGTTGATGATGCTGCCTTCCTTGATCCTCTGAGGGGACCCCGACATCCCGCCAGCTCAGCCACCCCGCCCCGCCCCCACCCCACCCCCACCCCACCCCATCCCACCCGCGCCAACCCCCTCCGCGCATGCGCGCACCTTGATGAAGGCGTAGCCCGCCCCGTTGTCGGTGATGGTCAGCCCCAGCGCATCCTCCGTCTTGGTGACCTCGACCTCCTTGGTCTCGCCCCGCACGTGAGCGAAAATGAAGTCCTCCAGCCCTATCTGCCCCCCCAGCAGCTTCTGCATGTCCACCTTGTGGCTGTTGAGGGTACAAAACAGGATCTGCCCGGGGAGAGGGGAGCCCGGAATCGGCCACCGTGCCTAACCATGGTGTCCGCCCCAGACACCCCCAAGGGTATGAGTGCATGGGCCTGATGGGGAAACTGAGTCTCAGGAGGCGCAGAACTGGCCCAGAGCTCCCACCAGCCATGATCCCAGCCCGTGTGAAACGGCAGGACTGAAGCAGGGCGCGCGGGGTGGGGTGGGGTGCGCGCCTGTAATTCCGGCCCTGAGGGAGGCTGAGGCAGGAGGATCCCAAGTTTGAAGTCAGTATGGGTGACTAGCTAGGCCCTGAGCCAAATTAAATAAAAAGGGCTGGAGCTGTAGCACCCCGGAGTTCAGTCCCCAGGAAGGAAAGGAAGAAACCGAGGCAGGAAAGAAGGGGGGGACCCCTAGAGGAGCGGAGGACGCCTAGGAGGGCGCGGGCGATGGACACCTGTGGGGTTTTCTAGAGGCTTCGAAGCTCCCGCGCCCAGGCTGGGCAAACCCCGGGCAGCCCTTTCCACCTGGGACCCCCAGGCGCTTTCGGGGTTCACTCCCGGCGGGTGGCGTCTAGGATCTGAGAGGCGCCTCCATCCCTGCGCCCCGGGACCCGGCCTGATTCTCTTGCACTCCGGAGCAGGGGGTGCCCGGGAGTGGGGGGCCGGGCTCCAGGCTCCCCGTGCCGCCTCCAGCCTCGGGGACCCCCCGGGGGCTCACCTCGGTGGGCGCGATCCCGAAGGCCTCGGCGATCTTGGCGTAGAGCTCGCGGACGTTGGTGAAGCCCTCGATCTTGCCGGTGGGGCTGCCGTGCGCCAGCTGCGTGCGGAAGACGAGGCGGGGGCGCGCGCGGGGCGCGGCGGGGGGCGCGGGGGGCTCGGGGGGCGCGGAGGCGCGCGGGGACTCTGCGCTCTCCATGGCGCAAACTCAGCGCCCACCCGGGCCGACGCCGCCGGATCCGCCGCTTCCTGCAGCCTCCCCTCCTCCGGCTCCGGACGCGACAGCCGAGCCGAGCCGCCGGGTAAGGGGATCCGGGAACCCGAGCCGCCCGGGAAGGCGACACCGCCGCGCGGAGGGGGCGCGGGCCCAGGTGTCCGGGCCAGCTGCGTCCTCCCCAGGGGCGCCTGAGCAGGGGACCTGAGAACAACAAGGAGCACAAATAAGCTCGCCGTCCCCGAGGCGCCCGGCTCCCGAGCTGTCGCTTTTGCTAGGGGATCATCTAATCCTCACCACAGCCCGAAAGGGGGGACGGTTAGGTCGCTATCAAGTGAGTTCCAGCAGGTCCCTCCTCTGCCCACAACTCCCTAAGGCTCCCACCGTCCTCAAAGGAAAAATCCAAGTCCCCCCCCCAGCAGTCCACAGAGCCCTGCGAGACCAGCCAGGTCCCCTCCCTCTCTGTCCCTGTATCTCTGTACCCCAGCCACAAGGGCCTCCTAACTGCTCAACACCTGGCTCCATGCTACCCCAGGACCTTTGCACAGCCGTGCCCTCTGCCAGGACCCCCTTTTCTTGGAGCTCTGCATGAGCCACTGTATTCTTAATTGCTCTCTGCACTTCGCAGTGTCGCACCCTAGCACCCTGAAGTGCGTTTGGTATCTCACTTCTTCACCTGTGTCCTCCCCGCCTATGTCCCTGGCTACGAGGAGGACAGGGTTCAGGGCCCTTCTTCCAGGCCTAGACTGCGGTGCACTGCACACAGTAGGCATGTACATTCTGTTTGCCAAGGAAGCGCATGGATTCCCAGGTCACAGAACTCAGGAGGCTGAGGCGGAGAGATCACAGGGGTTTGAGGGCAGCCTGGGCTATATAGTGAGCTCAAGGCCAGCCTGGACTACATAGCAAGACCCCGTCTCAAACAAAAACCAAGCCTTCTAGACAGGGATTATGGCTCAAAAAACTGCTTCTCTCTGAGGAGCTTTAAAAACCACAAGTGTCACTTGCTACCATGTAGATGGCCCTTGGGGGCACCAGGCTCAGTGAGAGCGGGCAGCCTTCCAGCTGAGCTTCCATGGACAGGAAACCCTGGACAGGAAAGCCAGAGGCAGGAAGTGGCCTGGGGGTGCTGGGCTGGGAGGGGCTGGGTGACTGCTCATGGGGACTACACTGGGGTTTTTATCTTTTTTTTTTTTTTGTCTTGGGTTTCGAACTCATGACCCCACACTTGCCAGGCAAGTGCTTTGGCCACTGAGCTAAATCCCCGGGCCGTGGGTTTATTTCTTGCAGCAACAGGAAAATGCTGGAATTGTAGTGATTGGCTACACAGCGGTAAACACCCCGAGTGGCTCTGAGCCTTCTGCTCTGTGGACGTCGACTGCTGGGAAAGATTCCTAACCCCAGCCGGAAAAGTGTGAAGGGTACACGGTGGCCAAGCCCTCCCTCCCCACCAGCCTCAGGCCCCCGAAGGGCGAGGAGACCCAGGTCCCCGCCTCACTGAGAATGCAGCCAAGCGTGGGCCTCAGTTTCCCCATCTCTGATGGGAGAAAGCAGACCTCGGGTCCCAGCGGGGCTGAGACGGGGTCATGGGTTCATCCACACCAACAAACCACACCCACCAGCTCAAAAAGCAAATTCTGTGAGTTTTTATTTAAAAGTCCGGATTGAGCAGTGGGAATTATCTGCTCTGTAAGAGTCGCTCAGCTGGGCTGGGGGGCGGTCAGGCCCCTCCCCAGGCCCTGCTGGGGCCGAGAGCTGCCACCCAGCATACAGTTCTGGGGGTGCACGGGAGCCCCAGGCAGCCCTGCCCATGGGGCATGTGCTGCCGGCCCTGTGCCTGCTCGGGCTGGGGGTCCCTCGGGCCCTGTGACCCAAGGCTGATAGGTTTCTCTCCAGTGCTCCTCTGGGCTGGGAAGGCTGAAAGCTGAAGGGGTGCTGTAGAGATTTACTTTTAGGGGGGCTGAAGCCCCCAAGGTGCAGGATGGGGCCTGGCCCCAAAGGGTGGACCCCCAGCCTCTCCTCCATCGGCCGGGCATCGGGAGGGCCGAGCGCAGCGCTGCTCCTCGGATGTGCGGGCGCCTGGCCCTACAGATGCTCGCTGTAAAAGTGGGGGGTTGACAGTGATCCCCAGCATCCTCCACCAGGGCCGGCCTGGGCACCCTCGAGGCCATACTCCCCGCACTAGCGATCCCAGGGCAGCCCCTCCATTACGCCCCAGGCGCGGTGGCCACTGGAACCCCGGGCGGCTGCACCACGCACCTGGCAACCTGGGCCAGGATCTCCTTGATGCGCAGGATGAGGCCTTCGTGCCTCGCGGGGTCACGCTCTATGGCGCCGTGCAGCCGGGCCATGTAGAAGTCCAGGGTGCTGAGGGTCGGGGTCTCGCCTGTGCCTGTGGGAGGCCACGGGGTGGGGAGTCAGCCAGCAGAAGGGGGACCCCAGGGTTCAGTAGAGGATAGCATCCTGAGTGCCCAGGCCATGGGGAGAAGGACGGGTGGTGCTCAGGCTGGGGGTGCGTGTCCAGGGCCGGGATGGAGTCCTGGATGAAACAGCAGGGTGAGGAGAAGGATGGGGACCAGAGGGGGACCCCCGCATGTGGTCTGGGGGAAAAGGGGGTCAGCGGATGGGCAGGAAGGCGTCAGGATGAGGGAGGAAGCTCTGGGCTAGGACAGATCAGGTAGGCGGGGACGGGGTTCTGAAGCCGGATGGGGATGGGCCTTGAGGGCTGCACAGTGGGGACGCTGTAGAGCGACTGGGGGGAAGGCGTGGTCAGCTCACTCAATGCTGCCAGGCGGGGCGGGGCCTGAAGCTGGGGGCGGGGCTAGAGAAAACTGGAGGAGGCGGAGCGAATGAAAGGGCGCGGCTGAGGGAAGGGGTGGGGCTCGGGAATAAAGGCGGGGCTATCCGGGGACAAGGCTCGAGTCAGCTCAAGGAGGCGGGGTAAGTGAAAAGGCCTGACAGGGGCGGAGCTTTTCGTGGGGGCGTGGCCACTGCCGGCTACAGCGGAGGGGGCGGTACTCGTGCTGGGGCGGGGCCCAACTGAGCAGGGGGCGGGGCTCACCGGGCACCGGCAGGGAGGCGAAGCTGGCGGTGAGCGCCTGGCGCACGGCCTGGAGCTGCTGCTGCAGGGCCAGCGTCCGCCGCTCCTCCAGCGCCAGCTCCTGCTCCAGGCGCTCGCGCGCGCTGCTCATGCTCTGCGTGTGCCGCTGCAGCACGGCGTTCTGCTCCTCGAAAGCCACGTTCATCTTCCGCAGGCGTCGCAGCTCCGCCTCCCGCGCTGCGGGCCGGGGAGAGGGTGGGGTGGGAGGGACGGGAGAGACCCGCGCGCCCCTCGACCCGGCCTGCCCTGCATCCCTGAGCCCTCCGCTTCCTCCACCTCCCAGGGCAGAAGCTGGCGCCTGGGTTCTGGAGGTGAACCCTCCTTTCCCCTTGGTCCCCAAAATCGCCTCACCTTTGTTTTGGTCCAAGAACTCTTCGGTGAAGATGGGGACATCAAAGGTTGAGAAGCCATCGCAGTCCCCACCCTGGGACAAGGGGAGCAGGTGGCAGTGTCTGGCAGGGGGCAGCCACACCCCCCGGAGGCCCCGAGCCTGGGAGGGAGGGACTCGTGGGCAGACACGGCCAGCTGCCCCAGCTGTTCCCCTACCTTGTGTCCGTTCAGGAGCGTGTTCAGGAGCCCTGAGCCCGAGTCCTCTGGGGGGCAGGAGGGGAGACAGAGTTAGCCTCTCGGGTCCCCAGGGCCACCCTCTGCACCCGGCCCCTCCCCTGGCCTTCCCGGGTCTTTCTGGGACTCTCCTCCTGCTGGGTTCTGTGCCTGCCTGGAGGGGCTGCTCTGCTCGAGGTGAGTCCCACCTGGCTGGGCTCCGACCCCCCCACCTTTCTTGATCTTTTTCTCCTGGATCTTCTCGGTACACATCTTGTAGGCCTCCGACTGCTGGTAGGCCCGCAGCTCCTTCATATACTGCTGCTTCTCCCTCTCCGCCTCGTCCAGGTACCGCTGTGGGGCGGGGAGCAGCTCTCAGAGACTGGTACACTCGCAGCAGGCGCAAACCCGTATGGGATTGTTCTATAGGTTTCTTTAGTGCCTTGCTACTTTATTTACGGTGCTGAGGACTGAACAAAAGTCCTTTGCACTGAGCTGCACACCCAGACCTTTAAAAAAAAAATCTTGCCCCTGCTGGCATGGTAGCACAGGAGTGTGGTCAAGCACTCTGGAAGCTGAAGCAGGATGATCTATGAGAGTTGGAGACCAGCCTAGCTTGGACCACACAAGTTCTAGGCCAGTAGCCTGAATTACCTAGTGAGACTCTTTCTCAAAAAACCAAAACATGAGATAAAAAATTTTTCACCTTTGAAACCCAGTGTTGTAGCACACCCTGTAACCCTAGCACTCAGGAAGCTGAGGCAGGATAATCTCTATGAGTTTGAGGGCCAGGCACTGAGTTCACGGTCAGCCTGAACTATAATGTGACACTGTTTCCAAAAGAAAATTTTTGGGGGGGGAGGCTGGGGGTTTAGCTCAGTGGCATAAGTGCCTGCCTTGCAAGCAGGCAGTCATGAGTTCGATCCCCGGTACCGATAAAAAAAAAAGAAAAAAAAATTTTTTTTTGACACAATGCTGCTAAGTCACTAAATCGCTCAGGCTGGGCTGAAACTTGGAATCCTCCTGCCTCAGCCTCCCAGAGTGCTGGGTGCCAGGCGTGTGCCACCATGCCTGCCTTAGACCTGTCATTGGTCGTGCAGGTTTTTTTAGCTCTCTTGTCTCCCACTGCTAACTATTGCCCATCAGGATGTGGCCTCTGGGCGATCTTCTCCAGGCTGAAGGTGAACCCTTCGTTCCTGACGTAGGGGGGCTTTGGCTGTGTGTGGGGGTGTTCGATCAGGGCTCAGCAGCCCTGTCGTCCCCACCTGCTTCTCCGCAGGCTGGAGCTTGCTCCACTCGGCGCCCAGCATCTTCGTGATCTCCGGGAAGGGCAGGTCCGGGTGGCGCGTGCGGATTTGCTCCCGCCTCTCGTTCAGGAAGCGCACATAGCCCGTGACTGGTGCTTTGGGTCCATTCGGCAGAATCTTCTTCCGCTTCTTGCCCTTCGGCCAGCCTCGTTTCTTTACAGGCTGCAGAATCAGGCTGCCTGGTTGAGTGGGGCTTGAGGGCTGGGGCGGGCCTGGGGGGCTGCGGAGGGGCCTTGGGTGCGTGGGTGGGGCTGGGCGGGAAGGCTGGAGTGTGGTCTGATCAGGGATCAGGCCCTGGGAAATTAGCAATGGGGTCCCTGGCAAGATGAGGGGGCCCGATACTAGAAGCAGGCAGAGGCCAATAGTGCGCAGGTTGGGTTTGTGGGCGTGACCTCTGGCCCGTGGGTGTGGCTTCTTGCGGGGGGTGGGTGGGTGCTGCGCAACAAGAGGTGAGCATTGCCCAGTGGGAGGAGCCACGGCTGATATGTGGGCGGGGCCCACACTGGGAGCAAGCCGGGCCAATGAGGGGCGTGGCATCTGGCAGGGTGAGTGGAATCTCTGCTCGGTTCCAGAAATCAGCGGCTGTGGTGGGGTCACATGAAGTTCAAATATAGTCGAGGAAGGGCCTTCAAGGCTGGGGACCGAAACTCACCTCCTCCTCGTGGGAGCCCTTGTCGCCTGCCCGCGGGACCTCGCCACGCTCCTGCTTGACAGCCACCACAAAGCCCCCGTGTGGGCCCGGAGCCTTGCTGCCCGCCGACCTGGGACCGTGATACACCAGGGTCACTCCCATCCCTGGAGCCTTCCCTGCCCCTGCGCCCACGCTTAGCGTTCAGAGACCACCGACGCCGAGCTGAGAGGGGGGAGCGCAAGTCCGGGGATGGCGAGGTCTGAGGGTTTGGGATGCAGGGGTCGAGATGCCAGCATCGGGGTCGACAGTCAGGGGTCCTAGGAGGGACTGGAGCCCTCGACTGGGGGCCGTGGAATGGGCTCTGGGGGGGCAAGGACCCCTATCTAGATAGGGGAGGTCAAGATCTTGGGGTGCAGGTTGAGACAGGGTTTTGGAATACTGGAAACCCCCTGACCCAGGCTAATAGGGATCAAGACCCTGATGTGAGAACTGGGGTACAGGACAGGGCTGCGAAGACCCCCCTGATCCAGGCTGGGAGCCTAGAGCCTGGGAGATAGGGTGTCGGGGAAGCACCGTGGGGACCCCTGATCTAATCCAGCTTGAGGGTGCCTGTGACGTGGGCTGGAGCGGGGGTCCGGGACATGCACCCTGGGGTTCCCTGATCCAGTGTGCCAGGGACGAGACTCTGAGGTGCGAGGTGGGGGGGCGCACTCACACGGAGGCCGCGCCAGGCTGCTTGGGGCCGTGGGACATGGCCGCACCGGGCCGGATCTGAAACACAGAAGCGGGCTGCGATGCGGGCGCCCCGAACTCCCCTCCCCGACCGGGAGCCCGAATGCCGGGCCCGGGGCTCCCGGGGGGCCGGATCCGGGGGCGGGGACGCCCTCGTAGGCGGGCGCCCCAAGAATCCTTTGTTGGACGATCACCCCACGGGATGGCGGGACAAGCTTCCTTCCCCCCGTGCCCGAAGGACCCTGCCCTGTCTCTGGGACCCCCGCGCCCCTGTTCCCCTCGTGGGGCCCCGAGTTCCCCGGCTGTTTTCACCTCCAAAGAAACTTTCCCGGACCTTTCCACTGCGGCGACGCGCCAACCAACCGCCCTGAGCCCGCCCCTGCCGGCTGCTCCGCCCCTGCCCGCCTCCAGCATGCTAATCACCTCCTCCGCGAGTGACACTATTGGATGAGGTCTCCTTTTAGGGCGTGGTCATGCAGATGAGAAACGGCGCGCCCAGCGGTGATTGGCTGAGAGGCTTCGGAGCCGCGTGGGCGGGCAGGAGGGAAGAAGTCTGGCGGTGCGTCAAGTTCGGCTGCGCTCGGCCGCTCTCTGGACCAATCCCGCACACTTGGATGCCTCGCCGGGTGGAGCCTCTTAAGGGGCCAGTAGGCTCTGTGCGGACTCCTCCTCCCCGAGAGGCGAGAGTCCCCGCCCCTCAGCATCTGGGGAACCTGCAACTCCGGGTCGAGCCCCGCCTTGGTTGCTATGGGAACAGACTTAGGTTGCTAGGGATGGAGTTAACGTCCAGAGTCAGCAGCCTATAGGAGAGCCAGGTGAACCTGTTAGCATCCAGCGAACGCTGGGTTTCAGGGAGGAGTTTCCAGTTATTTGTTCAACAGAATCCCAGGCGGCTCGCCCAGCTCTGCCCCTGGGGCTTCCAGTTACAGAGCCTCTGCTTTCTGTTCTGTGCAGTGGGTACATTCACTTACCACGATGTTCAGCTCGGAGAGCCAGAGAGGCTGCAAAGCCCAGACGAGGTGTGGATCAGGCCGGGGCTGGGAGCATTTGGGAAAAGATGATAGGGCTAAACCCAGCGCTTTCCCAATGAGCTCCACGCAGCCATTCCAAGCAGGTTTGAGACATGGGGTTGGGGGGGTGTGTTTCAGACAGGGTCTCACTAAGATGCTCATACAGGGCTTGAATTTGAGGATCCTCCTGCCTCAGCCTCCTGAGTGCTGGAATGGCAGGTGTGCACCACCAAGTCTGGCCTAATTTTTCTTTCCTGATGCTTTTTTTTTTTTAAGGTTTTAGTATCAGGGTTATGCTGACCTCATAAAGTGGATTAAAAAGTGGGGTTTTTTTAGTCAGTCATTGAATATACGCATGAAGAAATTTTGTAAATTTCTAAGAAACAACTGCTCTGCCAAACAGTCTGGAAATTCTTTTTCTTGCTTGCTCGCTTGCTTTTTATATTGTTTTAGTTTTGAGAAAGGATCTTGCTATGTGATCCAGCTCGCCTTGAACTCTCCTCAATCCTCCTGGACCACGTCTGGCTTAAACTTGTTTTTCAGTGACGTGGTCCAGGGCTGAAGAAGAGCAGCTCATTCTGGAATCTTGACAGACCCGGATTCCAGACTCTGCTCTGTTGCTTAATTGGCTCTATGATTGCCCACATCTGCTTTCTCTCTCTCTCTGCACCAGTGGGAAAGAAGGTAGGAGAGAAGTCCTGGGAGTCTGGGGAAAGCCCTTTCTCCAGGCCCGCCTCTTTGACTTGATTGACACAGCTGCTGTTGCCATAGAAACTACCCTGTCCTGGTGCAGGGTACCATGGTTCAGGGGCTTTCCCACACAAAGGAAGTGAGTTTTAAACTGGGCATGGTGGTATACACTCGGGAGGCTGGGGCAGGAGGATCGCTGTGAGCTCAAGGCCAGCCTGGACTACAAAGTGAGTTCAACCTGAACTGCACAGTGAAGCCCTGTCTCAAAAAGACAAAAAAAAAAAAAAAAAAAAAAAAGTGAATTATAGGTGGAGTGGAATGACATCTCAGCACTCAGAGGCTGAGGCAGGAGGATCTTAAGTTAAATCCCAGCCTGGGCCACATAGTCAATTGAAAACCAGCCTAAACTAGGTAGTGAGACTGTCTCAAAAATCAAACCAAACCAAACGAAAACAAACAAACAAAAAGTGAGTTTTAGCCAGGCATGGTAAGCCCAGCACTTGGGAGGCTGAGGCAGGAGGCTGGCCACAAGTTCTAGGCCAGCCTGGGTTACATAGTGAGACCCTGTCTTAAAAAAAAAAAAAAAAGACCATGGATCGATCAATCAATCAATCAATCAATCAGACTAAAGGACGGAGTCTGCAGTGGACTTGTGTGTCAGGTTTGGCACTCAGGATGGAACCCGGCCCGCTGTGTATGCAGCACTCACCACGGAGCACAGCTCTGGGCTCCGAGTTGGGCTTACTGCTTTTTGGTTTTGTGTTTTTGTGGTATTGGGGGTTGGCCCTGCGGTCAGATCACACCCCAGCCCTTCTTTATTTTTATTTTTTGAGACAAAGTCTCAGTCACTAAGTTAAACCTGTGATCCTCCTGCCTCAGCCTCCCAAGCAGCTAGGACAACAGGCCTGAAACATGCTGCCTGGCTTCGGTGTGGGTTTTGAAGGTGGCCTGGAGTTTGTCTTAATGAGCCTGAGGGAACAGGAGGTTCAAAAAGGCCCACTTTGTCCCTTCTAGCGAAACCAAGGACCTGTGTTGGCAATCACTTGTCCCATCTCAGACCCTGAGTGACCCCCTGGAGCATGGAGACATTTATCAGATCACACAATCTACACCCTCACGGTGACACAGAGCCTTCCCAGAACAAACAGCCCCCACGAGGCACAGCTGGTGGCCACAGCCTCCGCCCACAACTCTCAGGAAGGGCAGTGTTCTTTTGTGCCCTAGGCAGGCACCGGGTTTAGAGCAGATATTCATGAATTTCTTTTGCTCACCATTGAGGCAGGGTCTCACTATGTAACCCCGATTGCCCTTGAACTCATGGGGATGCTCCTGCCTCAGCCTCCCAGCGGCACTACCATATAGGCTCGACTTATTTTTGAGACAGGCTCTCACCGTGTGGCCCAGGTTGGCCCTGAACTCTCAGGATCCTCCCACATGAGTGCCCGGGGTACTGGGGTGCACCACCACGCCCCATACATTTTATGTTAGCACTTCTCCATGAATTTTTATGATTCACTTGAAGGTGTTTAGAGTTTGAAATCATCAAGAGTAAACCAGCCAGGAGTGGTAGTATATGCCTGGATCCCAGCACTCAGGAAGGCTGAGGCAGGAGGCTCCCAAATCCCCAGCCAATCTAGACAAGTCAGTGACTTAGTAAAATCTTATCTCAAAAAGTAAAAATGCCTGGGGGAGAAGCTCAGAAAGCCTTGGGTTCAGACCTTAGCAAGAAAAAAAATTCCAGCCCTAGCAATGTGTACAGTCATTAATAATGTTTGCCTCGCATTTCCTGTTTTTTTAAAATTAATTTTTGTTATGCAAATAATTCACAAATCCATGTCACTTGTACAAAATTAAACAGGTCCAGCTAAGACCACCATCTCTCCATCATATTATTATCAGCTTGTTTCTGATGAAGGCCTGGTAGCGCAAGCCTGTGAGCTCCCCACTCAGGAAGCTGAGGCAGGAGGATCGCCACGAGTTCAAGGCCAGCCCTGGTTGCACCACGAGACCCTGTTTCAAAACAAAACAAAAAGCAAAAAAAAGTCTTTCTGGCTCCACGAGGCCCAGTGGTGAGCGGCCCGGTGCGTGGTGGGGGAACCCAGTTCCACCCCCGGCACCACAGAAACAAATGCAACAGCGCTGGCTTTGGGGGCGGCGCTAAGAACAATAGACTTCTGCAGGGCAGGGCCGTCCTTCTGGGGCGGCCACCGACCTTCCTGCGGATTCCTGGCTTTGGAAGCGTCACCTCTTCTGTCTCCCTCTGCAGATGACATCTGCCCGGCATTTGTGTCCAAATTTCCCCTTTTCCTAAGCACGAGGTCACAGCACATCGGCCCAACCCTGATGACCTCATGGTTGCTAATTCCATCCTTGGGACCCTGCTTCCAAATAAGGTCACAGACTGAGCCCTGAGTCCTGGGCCCGCGCCGGGGATTTTGTTTAGTTTTTTTTCTTTTTGGATGGGGGGAGCAGGGAGCTGGTCCCACCTGCCACAAATGCACGCACAGGGGCACGTGCGTGTCTGCGTTTGTGCACGCGTGTGTGGGCCCATAAAACATGTGTGATCCCGTGATCCTGTTTTGTTTTTTATTATGGCTGCAGGCAGTCACCTGTCCTCTGCCCTCTGCGCTCAATGGCCTTTCTCCTAGAAAGCCTGCTCCTGCAGCAGGCAAGCAGGAACACCTCACTGGGCTTGAACTTGGGATCCTCCCGCCTCAGCCTCCCGGAATACTGAGAAGACAGGTTTGTGCTTCTTTGCCCAACAGCTTTTGCTCTGTTTAGTTTTTGGAGATGTGGTCTCACTCTATAATTCGGGCTGGGCTTGAGCTCACAGTGTCACCAAGGCTGACCTCAAAACTGTAGCAATCCTTCTGCTCAGCCTCCCAAGTGCTGGCTGGTGTGGTCCTGTCCGGAACCACCCCAAGGCCACTCTCAGATCTGAGGGAGTTTCTGAGAAGTCTCAGAACATCCCCCTCTTCTCTTCCATCACCGGGCCTGGGCCAGAGAGCATCAAAGCAAAGCTCCCACACCCTGAGGCTGGACAGTGGCCACCAGGACATCCGATCCCCGGCAGGGCAGGGGGACGCGTGCGCCTGGCGTCCGGTGTGGCTGGGACGCTCTGGGGACATCAAAGGTTGCCAGGATCTGCCTGGACCCCAAGCCGATCTGTCCGACCGCCTGTCCTTCCCGGAGGGCTGGGCATTGATCTGTCCTTCCTGGCTGCCCCCGTCTCCTGGGCTCTCTCTGATCTTCACCCAAACCCTCCCCACCTCCCCCTTCCCAGGCCACGAGTGCTCGGCTGCCCCAGGCACTTAGTGTAAACTGTTCTCCCCAGCCTGGGACTTTTCATGCAGCGCTGTGCCCCTGCCCTGGCCTGATGTCCGAAGGCCAGGTGACCCTCCAGGCCCCAGTGCAGGATGGAGGAGGGGGGAGAACCCAGGGCCAGAGAGCTCCATCCTGCTCATCCCAGGGGGAGCCAGGGCCTCCTCCCTGAGCCGTGTCCCCAGCCTTTTAATTTTTCACCTTACAACAGGGTCTCACGGAGTCACGAAGTTGCCCAGGCTCAGCTCAAACCTGTCACCCTCCTGCCTCGGCCTCCCAGAGGGCTGGCATGGAGGCTTCTGCTCTGCCCTTGACCCCGGAGCCAGGCTGGGTTTATTATCCCTGGCACACCCACCAAGTCAGGGCCAGGCGGTGACATCAGAGCCCAGGCAGCCCCCACCTGTGCTGCGAGTGACCCCCAAAAGGCCCCTTCGGTGTTCCTGGGACACTGACTGAGGAAAAAGGGGACAGCCAGGCTGTGTGCTTCCAGCCCAAGGGGGGGCCTCTGCCTCCAGGACACCCATCTTGGACTCAGGGCGGGAGCAGAGTTCAAGTCCTGGGCTGCCCCCTTGCCCTGGCTGACCCTCAGTTCTCCCGCTGTGAACCGGCCAGCAAGTGTTCCGTGAAGGGAGTCGAAGGCGACAGGAGCGTGGGCCTCCCCTCTCCTCCTGGCTTTGGGGGAGGGCAGGGGCAGCTGCTTCTGCCAGAGAAGCTACAGCTAGCTAGCGAGCGTTATTTCTCAAGGTCCAGAGGCCAGGCGGACCCACAACAGGAGATAATGAGACTCTTATCTTTCCCCATATCTCTCCACGGAGGTCAGTTCTTCTTATCTGTCTTCTCCCCCAGGGAGGTCACTGCCCTTCAGAGTCAATCCCCTTTCTGATTTTTTTTTTTAGACAGTGTTTTGCTATGGAGGCCAGGCTGACCTCAAACTCCAGAGATCCTCCTGCCTCAGCCTCCCAACCAGGCCTTCCACCTTTTTTATTTTTTGTTTTGTTTTGTTTTTTATTTATTTATTTTTTTGGTATCAGGAATCCAACTCAGGACCTTGCACTTGCCAGGCAGACACTGTTTGCTGAGCTACACCCCCAGCTCCTTTGCATCTGTTTGAAACCCTGTTTCATAGAAACACGTGCGGTCTCCCAAGCTCTTCTTTTTTAAGATTTTCCTAAGCTGTTAAGTTGCCCAGGCTGGGCTCAAACTCTGCATCTTCCTGCGTCAGCCCCTCAGAGTGCTGGAAATTACAGACATGTGTCGCTTTGTTAGCTCCTGTCTAAATTTATACTATTCAATCAGCCAATAATAGATTTTTTTCCCCTCAGTACTGGGATTTGAACCCAGGGCCTTCACACAGAACACATCAGCCTTCCCTTCATTTTATACTTTATTACTATTATGTATTTTATGTTTTTTTTTTTTTTTTTTTTTTTGTCTCTTTGGGACAGGGTCTCGCTATGCAGCTCAGGCTGGCCTTGGGCTCATTTTGTAGCCCAGGCTGGTCTCGAACTCGCAAAGATCCTCCTGCCTCAGCCTCCCAAGTGTTGGGATTACAGGCCTGCACCACCATGCTGGGTCAGTTCTATAACTTTTTAAACATACACTGTACCCGTTCTAGAGCCGGGAAAACCGAGATCCTTGTGCAGTTAAGGGACTTGTCCCCCGCGGGATGGCTGGGAGACGGTGAGGCCGGGCGGGTGTAGACTCCGGGATTTGTGCTCCAGACTGACAGTTTGAGTGTGGCCTGGCAATGGGAAGGGCGTGCACCCCGTCTGGCCGCCTTGCAGCCTGGCTGGTCGGGTGACACACTCCGGAGGACGGTGACGCGGAGCAGCCCGCACGCCTTACTACCCGCGGGCCCTGCATCACCGCCCAGAAACCGGGTGAGGTCGCCTGGCATGGCCTGGCATCGCCTGGCTCGTTAAAACTCAGCAGGTGTTACAACCGGAGCCCTGCTGTTACTGTAATAGCTAATTAATTAGTGGTAATACGTCCTGGCGGACTCCCATTGGGTCTCTTGGGGCCAGGAAGTCGGCGGACCCCGAGGCAAGCGCAGACGCTGTCCCCACCACCCACACCCAAATACACCCCATCCTCCCCGGCCCGAGTCAGACTTCCTCAAGCTGCGGACGAGCCGCAATGGCCGGGCTTGGAGACTGGAGTCTGGGTGGGCGGCCGGGTGCTCACTTGTCTATTTGCGCCCCCAGATCTGTGCGCAGTGTTGATGGACCCAGTTCGGCCCAGGGTCCCGCGAGCCCCAGGCGTACCCAACCCGCTCTAAGACCGCGCGGACGCCCAGCTTGGCGGCCCGGCTGTTTTCGAGACCACGCCCTTCTTTTGATGATTGGCTGTCGTGTCCCAGCGCGCGGTTACCATTGGCGGAGGTGACCGCCGCTCTCCGGGATTCCCTGCCGCCGCCCCGCCCCTCTCGGACCGCAATGACCCGGCCCGCGGGCTTCGCGGCCTCATAGGAGGTCGCGGGGCGTCGCGGGGAAGACAGCGGCGCGGGGAGCGAGCGGAGGGCGGCGCGGGGCCCGGGGCTGTCCGGGGACGTCGCCATCGCCCCGCCATGGGGCCGGGACCCCCGGGGGCCGGGGCGGGGGCGCCCCCGCGGCCGCTGTCGCTGGCGGCGCGGCTGAGCTTCGCCGTGGGCCACTTCCTCAACGACCTGTGCGCCTCCATGTGGTTCACCTACCTGCTGCTCTACCTGCACTCGGTGCGCGCCTACAGCTCGCGCGGCGCCGGGCTGCTGCTGCTGCTCGGCCAGGTCGCCGACGGGCTGTGCACGCCGCTCGTGGGCTACGAGGCCGACCGCGCCGCCGGGGGGCGCTGCGCGCGCTACGGGCCCCGCAAGGCCTGGCACCTGGCGGGTGAGGCCCTCCCCCGTCCGTCTGTCCGTCCGTCCGTCCCGCCGGCTCAGCCCCTCTCTGCCCATCGATGACCCGAGTTCGCCCTCTGTCGTTTTGCCCGGCCATCCGACCCTTCTTGTCTGTCTGTCCGTCTGTCTGTCTGTGCTGTGATCCCCACCCCCTGCTGGGGGCTCAGCTCCTCCATCTCTGAGCCGCCCGGCGCCCCCTGGCGCCCCTCCCCGCAGCGCAGCCCGTGGCCCGGCCTGTCTGGCTGCCCGGAGGCCGTCAGTGACCGGTGGGAGTCCCCTCCGTCTGTCTGTCTGTCCGGCTGAGTTTGGGGCATCCTGACCCTCACCCTCTCTGGGTGGAGGCTGCTGTCCGTCCGTCCTTCACTTCTGCCTGACAGGACAGCTCGGGACTCCCCAGTGCCCGCCCTGCCTGCACCCCAGTCCGGCCCAGTGTTGGGCTTCTGGGGGTTTGGAGGCTTTGGGGTGCTGCCTGGAGGTGGGGTTTGGGCTGGGTGGCCATGGCGGGGTTGGTGCCTTTTTCCCTTTGTATCCGACCACAGTGGGATCTGGGGCTGAGGTTAAGGAGAAGGGAGTCACGAGAGTGGGCTGGGTCATCCTGGCCCCAAAGCCCTGATAAAGTGGCCACAGTGTCTCCAGATTAGCCTGCCGCATCCTGGCATCCCGGGCTTGCAGGGCATTTCAGGAGCAGGGCCAGGAGCCCTGCCCGCTCCTAGGATTCCAGCCTGTGGTTGTTTGTCCTGGGGCGCCTTTGCATCCAGAGTCCCCCCTCGGGAGCAGCATAGCAGGTCACCTTGCTTGCGCCTGGGGAAGTTTGGTGACAGTTGCCAGAGGAGACAGATGCAGGAGCTGTCACTTGGGTCAGGCTGCTTGATATCCCTGGGACGGTGTGCTGCACGTGCAAAGGCACTGAGTTAGGATCTGCCTGCCTGGCCCTGAGGCTCGGGGACCCAGTGCCTAGGCGGACAGGCCCACAGGGGGCCTGCAGATGAGCTGCGTTTGTGTGCAGGGCGGGGGTGGCGCCTTCACCTGATCCCCTCACACACCTCTGACATGGGCACAGGGAGACCCTCTGCGAGAAGAAGCCAGGACAGGGCAGCCTGTTGTGAGGCTGGAGTTAGTGATGAGGGATCACCATGGCCTCCTACCCCGAGTCTGGGCAGGGAGACCGACTCTTTTCCAGTGTCCCTTAGTGAGCCCCCCAGGGCCCCTGCCAACCTGGAGGCTCCTCTCAGCCACACTGATCCGCTGTGGACTGGGCCAGATGGTGAGGGTGAGCTGCAAAGAGGGCATGTTAGCTTTGAGGTTTTTAGAGTGAGTTGGAGTCGGCAGGGTGCAGTGTTCTAAGCAGTGGAAACAGAAATGGATGCTCAGAGGGGCAAGGCCGCTTGTGGAGAGGCCCCAGCCAGCCAGGCCGGCCTGGACAATGGTTAACCGGGCGGCCACAGAGGGCAGCAGGCTGGAATGTGGCGGTAGAGGCACGTTTTCCTGACAGAGTTCACAGCACATCCTGCCCCAGCACGACCTCCAGGCCCCAGAAATCTGCCTGGAGGCAGCTGCTGCTGGTTCCAGAGAACCTGGTGGCTGTAAAGAGCATGGTGTGGGGGCCCGGTTTCACTTCTCCATCCCGGCTGCAGGGGGCGGGGCGGGGTGGGGTGAGGTCAGCTCCGCGGGAGCGAGGAGGCGTGGGGGGCGGAAGTCTAGCTGCAGGGGCTCTGGCTGGAGCTCCTGGGAGAGCTGTGAGCCTTCCATGCTGGCGGGGGGGGGGGGGATCCCGGTTCAGGGTCCGCCAAGCAGGCTGGATTCTCAGCACGCTGCCTCTTAGTATGCCTCAGTTTCCCCGGCTAGGAAATGGGGCAATAGAACACTTCAGGGATGCAGATGGGAGGCCCAAGTTTGGTTGCTAAGTGCCGGGAGGCAGACAGGACTCAGAGCCCTTCACCCACCCAGGGAGCCTGCTGTCTGGCGGGGAAGCAGGAGAGCGGACTTTAGACAGAAGTTCAGGATGTGCTAGGGGCTTCAAAGGAGACAGCAGGGCCCACGTGGTTGGGTGCCCGGGGCCAGAGGGGGGTGCAAGTGACAGGGCTGGTCATGCAGGGCTTCTCTGAGGGGCAACACTCAGAAGTGAGGGAGCTGGCCTTGTTAAAACGTAAGAAGAGAACACTGTAGATGGAGGATACAGCTGTGCAAAGGCCCTGGGGCCAGCTTTGTGCAGGAGCAGGCTGGAGCCTGTGTGGCTGGGGCAGAGGGAAGTGGGAGGTGGTGGAGGGATGGGCGGGCTGTGCTGCAGGGCCCTGTGGGCTGCAGGAGACTCAGGCTTTGGCCCGAGGGAGGTGGGAGCTGTGGCTGGGGTGGGTGGCTTTTTCGGGGGCCCTGCAGCAGCAGGCTGTGACCTCAGGACTCGTAGCCTGTGCTGTGCCTCAGTTTCCCTGCTCCGTCTAGGTGCTGAGGGCTTTGCCGGCTCTGTGATCTCAGTCTCCCTGCCCTGGTCCCCAGCCCGCTATGTGGTGCTAAGTGCACAGGTTCCCGGCTGCTCTGTGCCTCCGTTTGATCCCTGCCTGTCCTCCCGGGTACCTTGGGCTCTGGGGGAGCCCAGGATGTGACGGCCCCTCTCCCCACCGCAGGGACCATCTGCGTCCTGCTGTCCTTCCCCTTCATCTTCAGCCCGTGCCTGGGCTGTGGGGCGTCCACCCCCGAGTGGGCCGCGCTCCTCTACTACGGGCCCTTCATCGTGGTCTTCCAGTTCGGCTGGGCCGCCACCCAGATCGCACATCTGAGCCTCATCCCGGAGCTGGTCACCAGTGACCATGAGAAGGTGGAGCTCACGGCCCTCAGGTACTCCGGGCAGGGTAGGGCGGCCGGGACGGGAGCCGTGTGTGGTGGTGTATCAGTCAGCAGTGGCCGTGTAACATGCAGTCCAGAGAGCGCCCCAGCCAGCACCTCAATCCCAGTGTTGCAGGAGCCTCCAGCCGAGGGGCGCTGGGCCCGACTGAGGCCAGACACTAGGCATCTATACGGACACACTTTGCCTAGTGAATGCCACCTTCCTGTGGACTCTGGGGTTGTCTGGCTTCCACTTGCAGAAAGGGACACTGAGGCCAGTTATGGTGGTGAGTGCCTATTGTCCCAGCATTCTGGGAGGCTGAGGCCCAAATTCAAGCCCTGTCCGGCAACTTGGATTTGAGTGAGCCTGTGTCTCAAAAATGAGAAGGGCTGGTGATGTGCCTCGGGGCTCAGGCCTCAGTACTACAGGAAACAATCCTAAAAGGGAAACTGAGGTCAGAGCGCCCTCGGCAGCCCCGTCCTGGATGGCTCTGAGCCGTGCAGCTCAGCTCGGGAGAGTTCCAGAGTCCCGGCTGGAGCATTCTGGCTTCTCGGTCTTGGGGTCTGGGGAACAGAGGGGGAAACTGAGGCAGTGGCTTCCGGGGCCACTGGTGGTCAGTGGCCCGAGGCACCCACGGCCACGGAGCCCCCTCCCCCAGGTACGCCTTCACCGTGGCGGCCAACATCGCCGTGTACGGGGCCGCCTGGCTGCTGCTGCACCTCCAGGCCTCACACTCGGGGCACCCCGAGGACGTCGCCCTGGGCGACCAGCTGGGAGTCCAGGACGTGCCCGTGTTCCGGGTAAGCTGGGCCAGGTCGGCCACGCCGGCTCCCCCTGGGCCGGAGGGCCACCGCTGACCCCTGCCCGGCCCGCAGAACCTGTCGCTGGCCGTGGTGGGCGTGGGAGCCGTCTTCTCGCTGCTCTTCCACCTCGGCACCCGTGAGCGGCGGCGGCCGAGGCGCGTGGAGGAACCGGACGAGCACAGTCCCCTGGTGTCCCTGGACCCTCGGCCCCTGCTGCTCTGGAAACACTGGCTCCGGGAGCCCGCTTTCTACCAGGTATGTTGTGGGGGCGCACGGGGCTGCTGGGGACCCTTGCGCCCTGCGTGGTGGTGCTGTGGCCTCCAGCGTGGCTGGAAGGCAGCACACGTCCCCCCTTTCCACACCTGTGCCCAGGGAAGACATGACTAGCCAATCACAGATCACTGCTTGGGGTGGACAGTGATTATCACTGACCCAGCACTCGGGAGACTGAGGCAGGAGGATCGTTGCGAGTTCGAGACCAGCCTGGGCTACACAGTGAGCCCAAGGCCGGGCTGAACCGCATAGCGAGACCCCGTCTCAAAGAGACAAAACAAACAAACAAACAAAAAAAATCCTCATCACTGATGGCCACTCTCAGGACAGACATTACCAATCACCCACTGATCCCGGCTCCTCTCTGCCTGGCCAGCTGGCCGTCACCACTGATGGATCAGGTCAGCTGTCGGCCACAGAGCCAGGCCCTGTGCCCTTCTCCTCCTGTCCACAGGTGGGCATTTTGTACATGACCACAAGGCTCATTGTGAACCTGTCCCAGACCTACATGGCCATGTATCTCACCTACTCCTTGCACCTGCCCAAGGTGAGTGGACGACACAGTGGGAGGGACACAGGCTGCCCCCGGACTCCTATGCTGTGTCTAAACCCCACCACCTGTGTCCCGACAGAGGTTTATCGCGACCATCCCGCTGGTGATGTACCTCAGTGGCTTCTGCTCCTCCTTCCTCATGAAGCCCCTCAACAGGTGCATCGGGAGGAATGTGAGTGGCTGGAGGATGGGGGAGGCCCAGGCGCATTGCCTGGGAGAAGCCAGGATCTGAGAGTCAAGAATCTTAGATCATAATTTGATGTGGTGATCCATACCTGGGAGGCTGAGGCAGGAGGATCTCAAGTTCTAGGCCAACCTGGACAGCTTTTGACTTAGACACTCTCAAAATAATAACAATAACAATAGTAATAATAAAGAGCTGGGGATGTAGTAGCTCAGTGCAAAGGCCCTGAGGTTGATTCCCAGCACTGCAAAGAGAATCCTATATCCTGTCTTCTGAGATCCAGAGTTCCGGAACTTTCTTGGGTGTTCTAAGCTAAGAACTTAGAACAAGGATCAGAATCCTGGTTTTTCTCTCATGTTAGTAGACTTACTTTTCGGTGTTTTTGAGATAGCCATGCCTGGGTTACTTGCATGTGAACATGGAAAGCCACACGTCTAACTGGGCTGGTGGTGCACGCCTGTCATCCCAACACTGGGGAGGCTGAGGCAGGAGGATTGCTGTGAGCTCGAGGCCGGCCTGGGCTACACCGTGAGCTCCTCCTGCGGCTCCTTGGGGACCGTCCTGCTCTCCTGCTGGGGTTGGCGTGGAGGCAGCAGGCTGGGGACCCCGAGGCCCGGCGCGTGGCCCAGGCTGACACCCCGGCTTCCCTCTGCAGCTCACCTACTTCTCGGGGCTCCTGGTGATTCTGGCCTTCGCGGCCTGGGTGGCGCTGACCGACCGGCTGGGCGAGGCGGTGTACGTGGCGGCCGTGCTGCTGGGCGCGGGCTGCGCCACCATCCTGGTCACCTCGCTGGCCATGACGGCCGACCTCATCGGCCCCCACTCGGTAGGGCAGGTGGCGGGGTCCTGGGAGGCCGGGGACTGGGACCTGCGGCCTGGCGCTGACCCTGCCCGTGTCCCACAGCACAGCGGGGCCTTCGTGTACGGCGCCATGAGCTTCTCCGACAAGGTGGCCAATGGGCTGGCTGTCATGGCCGTGCAGAGCCTTCACCCCTGCCCGTGAGTCCCCCCTTCCTTATCAGGAGAGCCGTGAACCCCTGCTGTCTGCCAGGCAGCCTTGGAGGTCAGGGGACAGAGCCTCAGACAGGGGAGCCCCTGGAGGGATTCACAGGACAGGGGATCCGTACATTCTTTACCCCCCTAGTTCCTTTATTCAGTCAGCAAACATGGAGTCTGTTGTGAGCGGAATCCTGAGGACATGCTATGCAAATGTGGGGGACACAGAGACCACAGGACTCAGAGTGAAGGCACGCAGGGTTCTAGAGTTGGCACCAGGACCATCCTGGTACCTAGCCCAAGCCAACCTGGCCCCCAGACCTCATGGAGCCGAGGGGGGTGCCAGCCACGTCACTCGGGAAATGTGCACGTGTGACTGAGACTGGTGAAGGGAAGGGACAACTTAGGGAGGCCTGGGCCTGCCCGACAGGAAGCAGGGGTGTGTTGGGAAGTTTTAGGCCAGTGTATAAGACACAGCCATGCAAAGGCCCTGGGGCAGAATGGAGCCCTGAGGTGGAGGTACAGCGAGGGGTCTGTATGGCTGGATCAGAGGGAGCCGGGGAGGTGGGGAGGGGACCAGCGGGCAGTGCAGGGCCCTGCAGGCTGCAGGAGGACCCTGGCCTTGGCCCCAGGGAGGTGGGAGCCCTGCAGGGCTGAGAGCCGGGGAGGGAGGACCTGGCTCTGTGCTCATGGCTCCCCCTGGTGGCCGCTGCAGGGAAGCTGCTGTGCTGGCCGAGGTGGCAGCCAGGGACAGGTGGGGACAGAGGCAGGGAGACCCTGGCCCAGGACCTTGGAGGCGGATGGCCGTGTGGCGGGTGGGTGGGTGGTGTCACTCACCCCGTCCCTCTGTCCCCAGCTCGGAGCTGTGCTGCAAGGCCTGCGTGGACTTCTACCACTGGGTCATGGTGGCCGTGACGGGCGGCGTGGGCGTGGCCGCCACCCTGGCGCTGTGCAGCCTGCTGGTCTGGCCCATTCGCCTTCGCCTTTGGAGCCAGGACCGTGAGTCGCGGCCCCTCCCCAGACACAGGACAGAGCGGGCACCGGGCGGGGCTGGTGGAGCCGGGGCTGGGGGCTCCCTGACGCCGCCAACCGCCCTCTCCAGGAGACCGGCCGTGAGCCGAGGGCTCCGCAGCTGTGAGGACGCAGGGACCACACCCCGGAGCCTGGAGCTGAGGTCTGGGACGTGCCGTGGCCCCGGCCCTGGTGTTGTCTCCAGGATGGCGTGGGCACCCCTCCGTGCACCAGGGCAGGGAGCGAGGGTCCCGAGGGGTGCCAGCCCCTTGGCAGCCTCTGGGAGACCCTGGCCAGGAGCCAAGGCTTGGGGCTGGGCCCTGGCTGAGTGGGCAGCGGGGGCTGCCCGGGGCTCCGGGGTCCCCACTGGGAGTTAATAAAGAGGCGCCCGCTGGGCGGGGACCACGCTGGGCTGCTTTGTGCCTGGAGAGGGGACAGGCGGGGGGCCAGGGCCTGCGTGGATCTGCCGTCACGAGCCGTGGTCACCCGGGATCCCACAGGGGCTGGACGTCTCGGTGGCCCAGCTGCCCCCCGGGTCAGGACAGTTCCAGCTCTGGGGGTGCAGGAGCTGGGGGGAAGTGGGGTTCAGGCGCCCAAGCAGGGTCAGCACACAGAGGCGGGTGGCCTGAGCTTTATGAGGTGCGGGGCGCGTGGTCCGGCGGGGCCCGGCGGGCCGTGGAGGGGCAGTAGGGCTGCAGGGCCCGGTGCCGGAGGCTCTGCGTGGTGTAGGGCGGGCGCTGCGGCGGGGACAGGCCGGGCACGTGGTCGGACGCCTGCCGGGGCCGCTCCAGCCCGAACCGGTGCCTGCTGACCACTGCGGAGGACCCGGTCACCGTGTGCCCGTCAGGGCCAGGGCCGCCCTGGCCCCCTGGACTTCTAGGGTGCGCCTGCTGCCCGCCCACCTGCCCGTGCCCGCAGTGTCCTCACCGAACTCCTTGCCACGGACCAGCCTGTCCCTCAGTGGGGCGCTCCCCCACCGCGGGTCCCCGCTCAGGTACTGTGCGGGCACCACGGGCTCGAACCAGGCCGTCTCCCGCAGGTGCTGGGCATAGGCTGCGGGCGGGAGGCCGTGGCTGGGGGGCTGCCCTTGCCCAGGCTGGGGGACGGGGCCGGGGAGCCGCAGACTCACCGGGGGCCAGGCTGCGCTCGCGGTGGCCGTAGCATCCCTGCCAGCGGGCGTAGGCCTCACGGCGGTGGCCATCCGGGGCGTTCAGGCCCGTGTACCACACCTGGCCGGTGGCGTCGTGTCCCATGGGTGTGAACTTCCAGCGCGTGGCCTGCCTGATGGCTGGTGCCCAGCGGGGGCCCTCCAGGGACAGATAGTCCTCACTGGGGGGCAGGGACAGGGGCTCAGTGCTGCTGGCCTCAGCATGCCAGTCCTCAGAATGGGCACACCTGTCCTTGGTGAAGGCCGTCCCACAGTGTGGGGCCATTCTGTGGCCTCACTTGCCCTTGCCCTGGGCTGGGGTCCTTGGGATCTCCTGTGTGCGCGTCTGCTCTGCCCAGCATCTCTGGACCCTCGTGAACCGTTTTTTTTTTTTTTTTTTTTTTTGCGGCAGGGTCTCCCTCTGCAGTTCAGGCAGGCCTTGAGCTCACTTTGTAGCCCAGGGTGGTCTCAAACTCTCAACTATCCTCCTGCCTCAGCCTCGCAGTGCTCAGATGACAGCCTGGGAACCTTAAACACTTTCATGATCAAGACAGGAAGGAGGGGACATGGGGTGGTGGCCACTCCCAGATGTGTCTAAAAGTCCCCGTCTCACCAGATGCGGTGGGTACGACGGTCGTCCCAGCGCTCTGAGAGGCTGAGGCAGGAGGGTCACAAGTTCCCACCCAGCCCGGACAACCTAGTGAGACCGTCTCAGAAAAGGGCCGAGGATGGAGCAGCGTGAAGGCTCCGGGACCAACCTCAACAATATTCAGGAGTCCCTGCCCTTCCCCGAGATCCCGGAAACTTCCTGACCCTGACGGAGGACGTGACTCAGCCTGCGGCTCAGCAGGACGGGAAGGTCCCAGGGCAAATGTGAAAAGGTGTGGCTGCCTCCACCCGGGAGGCCTCGCGGGCAGAAGGTGCTTAGCCGAGCTTGGAGCTCCCTGAGGCAGTGCAGGCAGCTTGTGCAAAGGCCAGGATGGTGCGTCAAGAGGGAAGGAACAGGAAAGCCCAGGGCTGCCATGCTGGGGGGAGGCAGACAGAGGCTGCTGGCGATGGAGACCCCCCTTCTGGTGCTTTTGTTGTGGTGCCGGGGATGGGCCACAGGGCCTTTGCACGGAGTTACATCCCGGGCCTAAGTTGCCCAGGCTGAGCGCCAGGCGCCCCAGCTTACTATGCTGCGTGCATGTGAGGTCCCTGGCCACTGTGTCCATGTCTGATGCTGCCAGTCCCAAGGCCACCCAGCTGCGCTGCAGGGGACAGGAACTGAGACCAGGTGGGGGAGGGGCCACCACGGCAGGTCAGGGTCCCTGGGAGGGAGGACCAGGGGTCACCTGTACAGCGGGGCGGGGAAGTTCAACTCCAGGGTGGCTGAGGGGACATAGGTCCAGGCGGCCTCCTGCCACCGAGCCTGCATGGCTGCCTCTGTCCCCAGAAGTGCTGCCTGGCGGCCTCTAGGGCTACTGTTGACATCACAGAGGCCAGCACCTTGGTGTCCTGGCAGCGGCAGGGTGGGGCCACGGGCCACTCCCACATCCGGATGGTGGCCGTGACCTGTGAGGGTGGCCGGGTGGCAGCCACCTGGGCTCCATCCTCTGCCCCACACGGGGGGCCCTGGGTGTCCCCACCTCCCCACCCCTCGGGAGGCCACCGCGCCCTTCCCCGGGCCTGGGCGCCTGCGTCCCTGTCCTGCACCGGTTTCCAGAATGCGTGTAGAGCGGGTACAGCAGGGGCACGGCAGGGTCCTGTCCGGCCAATGCTCAGCTGGACAGGAGCACGGCTGTGATGCCCACCAGAGTGCAGGGACGCCAGACACGAGGACAGACAGCATGGGCTCCATGGACAGGGAACGCCCGGGGGGGGGGGGACGCCGGAGACAGGAAGTGGACTTGGGGTGGTGGGGCCCGCGGAGCCCTCCACAGCCCTGTGACGGCGGCAGAGCGGGCACAGTGCTGCTGGTGCGTTTCACGGCAGTGTTGTTTATTTCACCACAAAAAACGTAAGCAGGGGGCCGGACTTAGCTTAGAGGGCAGGACCTGCCGGGTAGGCGGGAGGTCCCGAGTTCGAGTCCCGGTACAAACAAAACAAAATGTAAGCAAAGCCAAACCCGGCGAACACCTCACACCCACCCATCCTGTGCCACCAGATCCAGGCTTGTGCCTGGCCTCTGCCTCACCTGCCACCGCCAGCTTGTCCGCAGCTGGTGCTGCCCTCGCCACCTCCCACCCAGGCTCGCCTGCTGCCCCCTCCTCCCTCTGTCCTCTCTTGGCTTCCTTGCCACTGCTGCCCTGCTGGCTCCACCCTGCCCCAGGGCCTTTGCACAGCCACCTGCTGCAGCTGATCAAGCTGCCCTTCCCGGCCCCCATGGCCCGAGCATCCCTCACACCTGGCCCCACACGTCCCCAGTGCTGCTCCTCACCGGCCTCCGCAGTCCCCCACCTGTGCCCTAAGTCCACGCAGTCCCTCCTGGCTGCCAGCAGAGCCTGGGCCACCTCCTCCCCATCTCCTGTCGTCTTTCCCTTAGCACAACAGCTGCTTCAAGGGTGGCCCAAGGTTCCCTGTCCTGGGCACCCAGCCTCAGCCACTCTCAACTCGAGGCAGTGCAGTTCCCAGGGCCCGGAGTCTTCTCCTGGTCCCCAAACCCTCCCTCACGTCCTGTGCCCGCTTTCCTGCCCCTCCCAGCCCCTGCTCAAGGATGGCTCGGGTGGACGAGGACCCCCACAGCCGGCCTCCTTCCTACACAAGTCACAGCCCGATCAGTGACGGCGACGCTGCATTCCACGACAAAGGCGGTGGCCGTGTCCTGTGCCAGCTCCCTGGCCTGGGCTGCCAGGCGGGCACTGCCCTCAGGCAGCTGGGGTGGTGACAGGGACACACAGGGCTCCTTTTCTTATTCAAAGAACAAAGCAAACACAAATAAAGCCAAGACAGTGACAGTGACAGTGGAGACACAGGCTTCAATGTCCACGCAGCAGCGGGTGGCAGGGACACAGGGAGGGCCAACCGGCCACGGGCAGTGCGACACCCCCGCCACTACCTCTGGGTGGGCGGGGGCACTGGCTGGCTGGGGCGCGACATCTGGGGACACGGCAACAGAACAGACAGGGTCTGAGTCACGAATACGTATATACACATGCACACACGTGCGGGCCGGGCAGTGCTGCCCGCAAGGCCTCCTGCTGCGGGGTAGGAGCCCAGGGCGCCCCCTCTGTCCCTCCTGGCTTCCTGAGGTGGAGGCAGGGACAGGCGGGAGCTGGGGGTACGAGCGGCCACCGTGGGTCAGCTGCCCATGGGGTCCACAGCAGCCCTCGCTCCACAGGCAGCCAGAGCCTCAGGGTGAGGGGCGGGGACACACTGGGCACAGGCCGCAGGCGGGGGACAAGGTCACGTGGCGATGTTCCTGGGTGGTCATGCGGCCCCGTGCTGTCCCAGCGCACGCTGCCATCGTCCTTTGGGAGCTTTCAGAAGCACATGCAGCCCCGGCGCGGGACACACGGGGTCCGGTGGTGTCCAGTCTGACGCAGCGGCCTGGGGACCGGGGGCCTGAGCATCTGAGGGCCCGAGTCCCGCCCAGACACCGGACGGGGCTGCGAGCAGGTGTTTAATGAGCCTCCTGGCCTGGCCCAGCGCCCCTTTCCCACCGCCTCCGGGACGGAGGGGACACCACAGCCTTGCGGCTGGGGGCTGGTCTCCGCCTGGGGACAGCGCGCGGCGGCCCCAGGCCGGGTCTACCGGATCCGGGTGAAGAGGTTGAGCACCGACACGGACTCCTGCGGGGGGGACAGGGGCAGGGCTGCATGAGCCAGCATGGGACACAGGAGGGAAACTGAGGCTGGGCCGGACCCCAGGGTGGGCAGGCAGGTCCCGCAGGGGAGGGGGAGAGACCGGGACAGGAGCAGTGACCGGGTGGGGCTGGAGGGGACAGCGGTGGGCGCTGTGATACCGACCCACTTTACCTTGGTTGAGCGGGTTTTGCTGAAGACGTTCCAGAACCTCAGGGTTTCGTCTCCGGCCCCGGTGACGATGGCCTCCCCGTCAGGGGACATCGCCTGTGGACAGTACAGGTCCTCAGGTCCCAAGGCCTCTGCGGGAGGCGCTGAGGACTGGACCGGGCCCAAGGCCGAGGCTGGGGCCCTGAGCAAATGGGTGGAGGCGTGAGGCTTTGATAGTGGCCTGGACAGTGGCCTGGACAGTGGCCACGCAGTGGCGAACACGGCCCACTTCGGGCTGCTGCTCCTCTGGGCATGAGCTCTGAGACACGGCCTCACCACGCGGTTTGGGTGGCCTCCTGCCACCTGGGCCACCGTGCCGGGCTCTCCTCCCTGGCTACCAACTTGGGGCCGTGCAGGAATGTAGGCGCCTCCCGCAGGGGTTCCCCAGCCGCTGGGCCCAGATGTGGCCGGGCACTCACCAGGTAGAGGACGCGGTAGGAGTGGCCGGTGAGCTTGGCCACCTGCGTGAGGGACGGGTACTTCCACACGAGGATCTGGTTCTGGGAGTAGCCGTGGGTGCTCACCTGGCGGCGGGCAGCGGGGCGGGGTTAGAGGCTGCAGCACCCCGGGATGCCCCACCTCACCCCCCCACCGGGGTGCCCATCGCGGCTCACCAGCTCGTTGGCGTGCTTGGACCAGGCCAGGTTGCACACCTGGGAGCCTGTGTCGATGCACTGCAGCGGCTGCCCCGTGAGTGTGTTCCAGAAGCGGATGCAGCGGTCAGCGGTGCCACCGCCTGATGCCAGCAGCCCGTGCTGGTGCGGGGACCAGGCGATGGCCTTGACGGCAGCCAGGTGCTCCGTGTACTGCTGCACGGGGCTGAGGCTCGAGTGGTTCCACACCAGCAGCTGGGGGACAGGGCCGTGAGGGGGCGCCGACATGCCCCTTCCCACCCCTGCCATACTGAACCTGGGGCGGAGCCCAGGCCGACCCTCCGGCGGGCACAAGCTGCACAGGCTGTACCTTGTTGTCGTTGCCCCCTGAGGCGAGGAGCTGGTGGTCCGTGGACCACTTGAGCCCGCACACCTCCTGCCGGTGGCCCTGCAGCCGCCGCTCAGACTGCAGGGGTGGCGTGCGGATGTCCCGCTGCAGGATCATGCGGTCGCGGCTGCCCGACGAGAGCTGGTCAGCGTTCCAGGCGAGCGCCCCTGCGGGGCAGAGGCAGGTGAGGCCAGTCCAGCAGGGCTGTGGCCATCCCCAGGCGCGGGGAGGCTGCCGGCTGGCCGGGACTCACCGACGCGTGCTGTGTGGCCCTCCAACACTGAGAGCTTCTTCCCCGCCGCTGCGTCCCAGATCTGCACGAAGCCCTTGTGTGTGCCGACGGCAACCAGGTTGCCCTGAGGGGACAGCAGGAGTCGGGGTCAGGCCACACACGGGACCCCAGGCAGCTGGACCTGGCCACCTGAGCTGGCCCTTGCCAGGGCCTTGGGCAGTTGCCCACTGTGCAGGCTGAGTATGGACTGGGCGCCCCCTTGGGTGACAGGAGAGATGGGGTGTCGGATCCCCTGTCCCGGGCGGGCACAGCCTGTGGAGAGTACTCAGCCACCTGCCCCTGCACACAGACAGGGCCCCGGGAGCTCACACTGCAGCAGCACAGCCACATCCCGGGACCTAACCCTGCACCCTTGCAGCAGGCAGCCCTGGGGTCACTGCCCTGCGCAGCCGATGCCGTGTGGGTCTGCGAGGGACCCAGGACCACATCTGTCCCTGTACTGACGCCCAAGGCTGGGCTCCCTGGGTCACAAGCCTTCTGCTCTTACCCGCTCAGACCAGCCCACGGAGGTCACTGAGTCCCCTTCCACAGAGAGGTCACAGAGCCGGGTCACCTGGGGAGGGCAGGTCAGAATGAGGCTCCGCCCCAGCCCCAGCCCACGCCTTTCTGCCCGCCCCTGTGGGCTGGAGGCCTCCCACAGCTGCCAGGGCGCTCACCTGGCTGGTGCACGCGCTCCACAGGTACACGCAGGTCCCCAGCCCCACGCTGAGCACGTTGAGCGACGACCAGTCCACCAGGTTGAGGTAGAAGTCGTCCTGCAGCTCGGGCGCATCCAGGACTTTGAAGGGGATCTTGGAGATCTTGCGCGTGGGCTTGCGCGGAGACCGCAGCAGCTTCTGACTGCGGAGCCGCACAGTGAGGGGTGCGGCCCGGGCACCGTGCCGGCCCCTCCCGGCTGTTCCTGTCCACAACCGCCACTGCCCGCACACGGGCGCCCCATGCCAGGCCACCTGTCCTGGAGGAGGGCACGGCCCTGCCCGCCCAGCCCTGACCCACCTCTTGTTGCTGACGGGTGACAAGGAGTACGGAGACACGTCGTTGCCGTCGTCCGGGCTGGCGCGCTTGGTGCTGAGCGAGTACTGGGGGAGGGCACTGCCGCTGAGCGGGGGCTGCACCCCGGCTTGGGGGCCACACACCCCAGAGCGGGAGCGGGAGCGGCAGCTGAGGGTCTCCCCTGCCCCGCGTCCTGCAGGCTCCCGACCCTGGGGCCAGGGCATGGCACCACCACCCCAGCGTGCACCGCGGACAGGACGCGCTGGCCAGTCCCTGCCCCCTCTGGTTAGGGCGATCCGTGGACCCGCTGGGGGCTCACCGTGAAGAGCCCCTTCTTCTCGGGCGTGGACGGCTGCAGTCTCCGGTCCTCCGTTTGTGGGTCCTGCACCTTCTCGATGCCGGCGCCCAGCAGCTCGTTCTTCAGCAGGGCTGAGTAGGCCAGGCCGTCTGTGGGCACCCGGCGGGTGAGGGGGGCGGGCCGGCTGGGCGTGGCCATGGAGGGGGCGGGGCCGCGACAGGGCCAGAAGAGCAGGCTGAACTGCAGGCCTTGCCTTATGGGTGTGGCCAGGACAGGGGCGGGGCCTGTGGCCAGTGGGCGTGGCCAGGGCACCCCACACTCACCTTTGCCGTTATCCGAAGTGGCGTCCTTGGCTTTGCGGTTCTGGCTGGGCGACTTCTCGTTCTCCTGCAGGCGCAGCGGGGCGGGCAGGGGTGAGGACAGCGGGCCTGAGGTCCCAGTACGCCCGCCCCGCCCGCCCGGGCCCCCTCACATTGATGCGGTGGAAGTTCACGCTCCAGTTGGCGCCGGCCCGCGAGGGGATGAAGCGGTCGCCGTGCTTGCTGGGCGAGGACACCGGGGAGTTGGCTGGGGTCAGCGTCCGCCGCATCTCCGCGACCTGGGCACGAGGAGGAGGCCGGGCAGGGCGGCAGGGTCAGCCCCCAGCCTGCACCACGGCCCCAGCCCAAGCCCGGGGCACCCCAAAGACAGGGCCCAGGACCCCTGGGAGGCCGGCCCCGCCACGCTGCTGACACCGAACCCAGGAGGCGCTGCCCGCTGCCTGCATGGAGAGGCAGACAGCCCCAGGCTGGGGCGCCAGCAGCTCCCGGAGCCCGGGCCATCGCCAGCTTGTCCTGACCACATCCTACTCGCTTGGTATCTGCTGTGAGCTGTCGTGTGTCCCTGACCCCAGGGCAGGGCGGAGGGAACTAAGGCCCAAGGGGCTGAGTCAGGAGGACGCCCCGGGCCACGGTGCCGGTGCCCTGGTGAGGGAGCCGAACGAGGGACAGTTAGGGAGGGACATAGCTGTAAACCAAGGGACGCCAAGGGCTGACTCCCCGGGGAGTCCTTGCCATGGGGTGGAGGGGGTGGGGGTGTGACCCTCAGACCCAGCCACCCCCAAACCACAGGCCTCCAAGACTGAGCAGGAAAGGAGCCCATCTCTGCCCCAGGGTCACACAGGACCTGGTGACACCAACTGCCTCCTCCCTGCCCCACCCCGCAGGCTCAGGGGTGCCTGGGGGCTGAGGCCAGCACCCCGCTGCCTCCGGCCCAGAGCACGGCAGGTGCTCCTTCCTGCTGTTGGGGTGTGGGGGCCCCAGGTCGGTCTGCAGAAGCCCCGGTGTCAGGGTGGTTCGCCGCCCTTTTGGGATGGTTGTGTCCCTTTGGTGGCTCCACCCACATTCACTGCTGTACCCCAAGACTGGCTGGGATAGGAAGAGGGGCTCGAAGGCACTGCCTAGTCCAGGCCACTACAGAGGGAGCCATGTAGAGCCACGGGGCGCAGCCACCACACCCCTCAACAGACAGAGCACCCTCCACCCATTAGTAACCCAGCAGTCCAGGCTCTTGTGGACAGGTCCCTGAGCCGGGCAGTCTGCCTCAACTGTCAGCCCTCTGCTGACGGTCACCTTCTCCGCCAGACACGGGTGGGGCCACCTCATCACTGTGCAGAGCCGACCCTGTCCCTGTGATCTGCACTGGGAGATGGAAGCCCGCTCAACCCTGTGTGGGCCTGGGGCAGGGCTGGGTCAGAGATGTGACAACCAGGCACAGTGCCACCAGCTCAGAAGCCCAGCCAGTGGGGCTGGGGAACACACAGGGTGGAGGGCAGGGAGGGGGTGAGGACAGGTGGGGTTACCCAGACCCCGCCTCAGATCAACCCAGCTCCCCAGATCACCCCTAAGGCAGACGGGTGACTCAGGTCCCTGAGGGCTCCTCCCATTGCCGTCTGTCCCTTCCTGTGTTGTCAGTGCGGGCCAGGTCTGACCCCGACCCCGTGGCTATGGGAGAAGGGCAGGTGGCCCCTTCTGGGGAGGGGGTGGTACTGTAGGGACCCAGCACAGAACGGCCTGCAGCCACCATGGGGCGCATGGGGAGGACGAGCTGGCCGTGGTCACCCTGTCTCAGCACTCACGCACGGCATGGTGTTTTCATTCTGGATGACGATTTGCCGCAGCAGCCGCCGCTCGTAGTCCTGGTCCATGGCGGGGCGGGGTGGGCAGGGCCGGGCCCAACAGCCAAGGTCAGCCTGCAGCAGGAAAGGCGGGGGTCAGTGCCCAGGGCCAGCAGCCACCAACGGGGACGCACGTGGGGACAGGGAGGCTCCCCGTGAGGACTCACAGTTTCTGCCATGTGCACGCACAAATGTGCAGGCTGTGAGTGCAGGGAGCTCGGTTTAACCGGAGGTGTGCACAGGCTTGGACAGACAGCCGAGCCCAGGCCAAACCAGGGCAGCCGGGGCCTAGGGAACCCACCTCCGGTGGCAGCGGCACACCTGAATCTGCTCCGGGTGTTTCACTCGGGAGCCCCGAGGGGTCAGCCTCACCCATGACAGCCACAGCAGTGGGTGGGGGGAGGAGGCGGGGTGAGGCAGACCCAGGCCCGGGCCAGCACTCACCAGCTTAGAAGAGCAAACCCAGGCCACCTGCTTTTAAATAACTGGCACATGGCCAACCACACCCCGCCCTGGCCCCAGGGATCCACCTGGCACTGGTCCCTCAAACAGCCAGGCAGGTGCTATGTGATCTGAGAGCTGGGGCACAAGTCCACACGCAAAACCTGTGTGCCCTGTGTGCTGTGCCCACAGCAGCGTGGGGGCCAATCAGCGACTGCGGGGCGCAAACCTCGGGCCCACACACAGGGACATCACTCAGCAAGGCTCCGACACGTGCCCCGGCGCGGATGGGCCCTTAGGACGCCGGGCACAGGGGGACACAGTGCGGGGCGCCACTCCCAGCAGGTCCCTCCCTGTATCTGGCAACATCACAGCAACAGACAAGGTAATGGGAATTCTTCCTGGCTTTTAAAAAAGACCCCCAAAGGCAGCCAAGGTGGCGCATGCACCTCAGCCCAGCATTCCAGGAGGCTGAGACAGGAGGATCACAAGTTCCACCCAGCCCAGCCCCCGTTTCAGAATCAAATATAAAAAGGGGCTGGGAGTGTAGCTGAGTGCCCTGGGTTCAATATCCTGTACCAGAGAGAGGTCATTGTGGTGGCTCCGCTCACCGGCTTGGCTCATCTGTCTTTTTTTTTGGTACCAGAAATCGAACTCAGGACCTTGCACTTGCCAGACAGGTGCTGTGCCGCTGAGCCACATTCCAGCCTGCATCTCTCCTCCTCTTTCAAGCCTGTCCCCTAGCACACCTTCAGCAGCCCCTGGTCCCCTGCCCATGGCCTCCACGTGTCCCCTGCCCCTCCTGGAGCGGAAGGCCTGGGAACTAGGTGTGTGACCCTGACAATCAGCAACAAGGCCTTGCTGCTGGGCTGGGCCTTGAGGCACAGTGGCCATCAACTGTGTGTCTTACCACGGGCTGCTGCCGGCCAGCTGTCTCCTTGCAGAGGCCAGGGAGGACACTGGGCGTGGGACTGTTGAGTTGTGAACAGGAGTTGACCATGCAGTTGGCAGGAACAGATCCCCACTAGATGTGTGATGGATTCCCCGGGACGGGGCCCAGACTCAAGGGCCCTCAAAAGGTACAGAAACAGGGGCTGGGGACTGAGCTCAGCGGCATAAAGCGCCTGCCTTGCAAGCAGGCAGTCGTGAGTTCAATCCCTGGTACCGATAAAAAGACAAAAAAAAAAAGGTACAGAAACAGGGGAGCAGATGCCCTGTTCAAGGCAGCGCTGTCTCCTGGGAACTGGGCTGGGGCACAGGGCCAGGAGGGGTGCAGGACAGCAGGGCCCAGGCAACAGCTTGGCCACACGTGCTCTCCAGGCTGCAGCTGGCTCAAGGGACAGCTCCTGAGCATGGGCTGGAGCCATGCAATGGGCAACCCACAGCCACGGCAGGAGGAGCCGCCCAACCTGCGCCTGCCACAGCTGCTGCTGGCCACACACCTTCCAGGATTCCAGGTGAATAGGGTCCTGGTCCCTGGGGCCATAGCCCCAGCATCTCTAGAGACAAAATGACTGCAGAGGGGCTAAGTGAGAGACCCTGAGAGGGTCCCCTGATCGCCCAGGGTCCCCTTGAGCAAGGAGGTAGAGAGGCCAACAGAGGCTGAGACAGAAGCTGAGACATGGCACTGCCAGCTATGCAGGGGGAGGAAGGGGCTGCGGGCGTCACCAGGGTTCTCCCCAGAGCCTGGGAGGAGCAGCCTGGACACAGCCCAGGAGGCTGGCTCTGGCCTCTGGCCCTCCCCACAGTGGGAACCTGGGGACTGGGCAGCACAGAGGGCCTCCTCCACTGCCCCTGGGCGGGCGCCCCTGCGCCCAGGGTGACTAGAAGCCACGTACCACCCACTCAAGCTCCTGCCTGGCACAAGAAGTGCGTCAGCGGGTGAAGAGTTTCGGGTGGCAGCAGGTGCTGCCAGGAAGCTTCTCTGAAAGGTGGCCGTTGTGGTCAGTTGACAGCACAGAAGAGAGGGACGGGGGAGCCACACCCTGGAACAATCTGAAGACCCAGCACCACGCACAGGGACCCCGTGGGTGCAGGCACAGGAGACAGCTGCAGGACACAGCAAGCGGTCAGGCTCAAAGGCCAGCACCCGGCCCGTGCACCTGCGGCTGCACTCAACCCTCAGTCCTGCGGTCACCCACTGTGGGCTGGGGGAGGGCTTGGGACCCACCTGCGGGCCTGCAGGGACAGACCTGTGTGCACACAGGGCGTGGCAGAGGCCCCTGGGAATGTAAAAGCACCCGTCTGTGACGCGGGATGGCTGCTCCTGAGAGCTCACCCTGGGCGGGTACAGCAGGTCCTGGGCCGCAGTCCGGGCAGGAGAAGCTGGGAGGAGCAGCCTGGCGCCCGGCACCCAGCCTGCGGCTGCGGCAGGAGACAGGGACGACTGGAGAGGGCTGGGCCAGGAGGGACGGAGGAAGGAAGCCGCGCGGCGCCCGGTGGTTACTGTACTTCTCCAACGGGGGTCACTTCCACTTCTCGAATTCCGTTCGCACGAACATCTCCGGCTGTTCAAAAACTACTATCCACAGCTGGGCATGGGGGTGGGGTGGCGCCTGTCAGCCCAGCATTTGCAGGACGATGTTGAGTCCAAGCCCAGCCCGGAGAACTTAGGACTCAGCAAGACCCTGTCTCTATTCCTAAATACTATGCATTATCCAAGCTGACTCAAGAAGATACAAAAATCCTAGTTAAACCAGTTATCAATCAATGAAAATGAAAATGTAATTAAGAACCTACCAACAAAGAAAAGCCCAGGCCCTGCGCGATTCACTGCTGAATTCCACAAGAAAGTTAGAGCAGACCTGACACTTCTACTTCTGTAACTCTTTAATGAGCGGGGCACTGCGGTGCACACGTGTAATCCCAGCACTAGGGAGGCTGAGGCAGGAGGATCCCTGTGAGTTCGAGGCTGGCGTGGGCTACGTAGTCAGTTCAAGACCAGCAGAAACTCTTTAAGATATTGAAAGGGAAGCAGTATTCCCAAATTCAATCCTAGATGCAAACATTACCCTGATATCAAAACCAGAGAAGGACCCAACTAAGAAAGAGAATTACAGACTCCTTTATGAACGTAGATGCAAAAATCCTTAATAAGATAGTGGCAAAGAGCCTGCAGCAAATCATCACAAAGACTGTGCACCATGACCCGGTGGGATTCGGCCCAGGGATGCAGGGAGGGACCTAAGTGCACAAGTTTAACACGCCATCTTAACAGAGCCAAAGACAGAAACCATCTGATCATCTCAACAGATGCAGAAACAGCGTCTGACAACGTGCAGCACCCATCCATGATTTTAAAAACCTACAGAAAATTATAATAGACAAAATCAGGAACAAGACAAGGATGTCCTGTCCCCACTCTTATTCAATACAGTTCTGGAAACTTTAGTCAGAGCAGTTAGACAGGAGAAAGGAATACAGACAGGAAAGGAAGAGGTTAAACTGTCATTATTTGCAGATGACATGATGCTCCACAGAGAAGACCCCAGAACTCCACCAAAACACTTTGAGATTGAACAACTAAATTCAGCAGCACAGCTGGATATAGTCAACACTCAAAACTCAACAGCCTTCCTGTAAACTCACAGAGAGAGAAATCAGGGAATAAAATACCTAGAAATCTGTCTAGTGAAGGATGTAAAAGCCCTCTACATTGAAAACCACAGTCCTCTCAAAAAGGAAACAGAGGACGATACCAGAAAATGGAAAGAGGCCAGCCATGGTGGCGCACACCTGTCATACCAGCACTCAGGAGGCTGAAGCAGGACGATCATTGTGAGTTCAAGGCCAGCCTGGACTGCATAGAGAGACCGTCTCAAAAAGACACACACAAAAAAAAAGAAAGAAAGAAAGAAAGAAAGAAAGAAAGAAAGAAAGAAAGAAAGAAATCAACGAATAGCAAACGCTGGCGGGGCTGTGGGGAAAGGAGCCTGCTCCACTGTGGGTGGGGTGCAGAGTGGTGCAGCCACTATGGAAATCGTGTGGAGACCTCAGAAAACTAAGATCTGAGGTCCACTTATTCAGCTATTCCTCTTTCGGGCATCTTCCCAAAAGTTTAAAGCATCATACCACAGCGATACATGCACACCCACGTTTATACAGCACTGTTTGTAAAAGGCAGATCCTGGAAACAGCCCACGTGCCCCTCAGCTGGTGAATGGATAAAGGTGTGGTCCTTTATACGGTGGAGTACTACTCTGCCACAAAGAAGGATAAACCTGAGACGTGTGGCTTGGCATAACTGATGCCATCTTGAGCCCTGTGTTTAACTAGTGCCCCGTATTCAGGAAAATGCAAAATTACTCAGGGTATAAGTCCCACGAGAAAAGCAGAATGAGCTGTACCTATAGGAGAAAAATTAACCTACTCAACAAAAGAAGCAGGATACAGGTGTCAACTGAAAATTAATGAAAGATTCGAGCTAAATTGTTTCCAGAAAGATATCTCTTTTGTGTCCTTTGTGATTCCCTCTTTTAAAAACTCTGTAACTTTCCAGTTCTTGGGACTCTGAAATGGGGGAATCTGTATACAGGTGGTCCAAGCTCAGATAATTAAATTTTGAATTTATCAATTTGGCTGCTTGGATTCCTGTATTGTTGTTCACAAACCCACCTCAGAGACATTCCTAGGTAAATGGATTCACCGCACTCTCTTTTTTTTTTTTTTGTCTTTTTCATTTTTATCAGTTCGGGGATCGAACTCACGACCGCCTGCTTGCAAGGCAGGTATTCACCGCACTCTTAATGAAATAAATTGGATCTGTGTAAATACCACATCATTTTTGTGATATGAGAAACTGCAAGTGCAAACAGAGACCAAAACGTGTAACAGACATCGTGTCGGGGATTCTGTCTTTTGTTCTTTTGAGGCAGGCAGGGTCTCGCTGTGCAGCTCCGGCTGGCCTTGGGCTCACCTTGTAGCCCCGGCTGGTCTCGAACTCGCAGCGATCCTCCTGCCTCAGCCTCCCGAGTGCTGGATGACAGGCATGCGGGACCACGCCTGGTTCTAGATATTGTGAAATAGGAAGAAAATGTTCAAATAGGGAGTCTGACAAGAGCAAGGCCTTGAGTTTGATCCCTGGTGATAAAAAAGGGAAAAAGAAATACAACACCACCAGTGTTCAAGTGGGAAGGGAACAAGAAAGGGGGGAAAGACAGGCCGGGCGTGGTGGGCACGCCGTCACCCAGCACTCCGCAGGCTGAGGCAGGAGGATCTTTGCGAGTTCCAGATGAGCCTGGGCTACCAAGCGAGCCCAAGGCCGGCCTGCACTGCACAGCGAGCTCCACCGGGAAGGGCTGGGGAGGGCAGCGGGAAGGCCCTGGGCCCGGGTTTCAGGGCCACAGACAAGCAAACCAAACCCACTGCAGGACAGCGCGGCGCCCACCGCCCACCGCCCACCGGGTGCTTGCTCGGGACTGTGCTGCTGGGAAGTTCCCGGATGAAACATCCCTGGGGCACAAATCAGGTGACCGAGCCGGGACAGGAGCGCCGAGGTCCCCTGCAGGTGCCGCCAGGGCTCAGCCAGGGCTCAGCTTCGGGGCTGACAGCGGCAGGCGCGATACTCAGCGAGGCCTGGGGGGGTCTCTGGGGCCGGGGACAGCCCTGTGCCCTGGTCCCCGCCTGTGTGCTGGGCGGGCAGAGCCGCTGTCAGGAGCACACAGAGCCCACAGGCCGCTGTGCCGGTCTCCTGCCCTCCACTTCCAGGTGGGCTGCTGGGGTCCGGACTCCCCTGCGGCCGGGCAGCACCGGGGACAGGGCTCCCCCAGAGCCCACACCAGCTGGCTCTCCAGGGACAGCGAACTTGGTCCCAGAGGCTCTCAGCCAATTTCCTGCTCCTTCCAGGTCCTGCCCATCTTGAAAAACTGGTCCCCGAGGGTTTCGTATTTTAGGGCTCTTGAGGAACAGGACGTGATACACCCTAGTGACAGACGCGTGACTCCTGCGTGGGGACAGCTGCAACCTGGCTGTGACGACTCTGGGCTCCAGGGTCCCCCCAGGCACTGTGCATGCTGGGGGAATCCAGTGCCCTAGCGGGAGCAGTGGACACCTGGAAATGCGCCTGGCCGCCGAGGGCCTGTGCTGGCCCCGAGCCTGGTCTCAAGCCCGACTGGCCGTGTGGCTTTAGTGGTCTGGGATCTCAGTCCAGTCACCTGCACCTCTGCAGGACTGGGCACCGGGTATGCCCAAGAATAGGTGGCGGTTAGTCCCATGGGCTTGGTGACAGGCACAGACAGGTCCCACAAAGTGTGCAGGCCCCGGGGCAGGGGGGCTGAGGAGGCCTCAGACCTCAGTGCCCATGTACCCTCAAGCTGCCCACAGGGGTCCTGGCCACTCCAGCCAGAAAGCCAGTGCAGTCTCCTGAGGGCGGTGCTGTCACTGAGGCCTCCAAAGGGCAGGGGCTGTGACACTGTCCCTGTGGGGCACCAGCCCCCGGGGGCCTCCCGCCAGCCCACCCGGAACAGCTGCTGGGCGGCCCCATGCTGCCCTGCGGAGAAAAGCACGTGGCATCCATGGCTGGGCACCTCGGCGGGGCGTCCCAGGACTGAAGGTGCCGGGGCACATCCCTGGCCTCTGCCTGCATTGTGGGGACACAGAGATGGAAAGAAGGAAGGGTGGACATGGCTCCTGAGCCGGGGGTGGGGGCACACTAATGTTACCATGCGAGGGATGTGGGTGTGCTGCTGTGTGACACTGAGGCTGGCCAGAGGGGAAGGGACCGGGGACAGGGGTGTCTGTGAGGTCCTAAAGCATCTGGGGCCCAGGAGGAAGGACAAACACAGAGAAGTCTCTCAGGGCAGCAGACGGAGCTGGGGACAGGAGCAGGGGCCTCAGAGGAGGTGGCTGGAGCAACACAGTCAGGTCCACTCACCTGGCGGGTCCAAGAGTCAGGAGCCAGCTCTGAGTCAGGAGCCATCAGCAGCAGAGGAGAGAGAGGAGGCTGAGGCTGAGGCCCAGGGCAGGGCTGATGTTTAAGTCCAGAAGTAACACGTAGGGTCACCTCGGAGGAACTTGCCACGCACCGAGGCTGCACTCACAGCAGGCACAGCACGCACGCCCAAAAACTTGTGGAATATTACACAGCCAGGAAGAGGAGTGACACCACAATGTGGATGGACACTGCTCAGAGACAGATGCCAGACACAGAGGACACACAGCATGGGCTCCTTGTACAGGAAACGCCCAGGACCGGCGACTCCAGGGACAGGAAGTGGATTCGTGTGCCGGGGCTGGGAAGGGGGCAGATGACTGTATTTGGAGCAGGGCTCCTTTTGGAGTGACAGAATATTTGGAGTGTGGACAGATGTGACAGGGGCCAATTCTAGGAATTCATGAAACCAGATCTAACATTGTCCCCTTTGGTACCAGGCTCTGAATCCAAAGCCCACAGAGCTACACCTTCAGCTCTTTCCAAAAAATGTTTTTTTTCTTTTTGTTTTCTTGAGACAGAGTCTTGCTAGGACTCAGGCTGGCCTTGAACTTATGATGATTCTTCCTGCCTCTTCTGCCAAGTCACTGGGATTACAGGTGTGCGCCAAGCACACCGTAAAACTGTTTTTGTTGTTGGGACAGAGCCCTACTAGTCCAGGCTGGCCTTGAACTCACAATGTAGCGTAGGCTCACTTCAAAATCACAGCATCCTCCTGCCTCAGCCTTCCGAGAGCTGGGATTTCAAGCACGCACCACCACTCAAGCCAGACCCCAACATTTTTTATTGGAGACACCTGAGCTGAAAGCCACGGCCTCCTGCCTCAGCCTCCACGCACAGCATGAACAGAGCCCCCGCTACTGAGTTGTATGTGAGTTGTATGTCATGAGGATTTTATCTGACTACAGCTGCTACCAACAACAATCTTAAAAAACCAGAAATTACAGGAAAGGTGAGTGGAGACTCGGTAACCACACTGAGCAGGGAACTGTGGGACAGGGGCTGGCGGCCCTAAACGCATTCTGGGGTTAGGCGTGTGGCACTGACCCGGCTGAACGACACCAGCATTCCCTCGCAGCAAGAACACCGTGGCCAGGGAGGCAGGTGCTCACCAGGGCGCCAGGCCACAGCGGGGCCTCTGGTCTGCACGTCCCCTCAGCACCCCACACTGATAAGGCAGCCGGGTCCGTGTCCCCAGGCTGTGCAGAGCACAGTTAGGACAGCCAGGCCAGGACAAGCAGAGCTGTCAGCGAGGAGGTCACCTGAGGTGACAGGCAGAGCTGCCAGGACAAAGAAGCCGAACTCTTCCTGCCCACCAGTCCCTTAGGAGCCCCCCAGCAGCCAGCCAAATGCACCCGAAGTCCACCAGCCAGCCTGGGCAGGACTGGGCCTTCCAGCCTCACTAGGGCACCAGGCATTGTGGCCCAGGGGTGTCCTGGGGGTGGGGCCGGGCACTGTGGGTGTTGAACTATGTCCTGGGGCCTCCACTTATGCACCAGAAGCTTCCCCAGGGTGACAGCCACATGTGCCCCGGCCCAGAATCTCGTGGGGGCAGAGGGGAACAACAGAATGCTGGGCTCAGTGAGCTCTGAACAGACCAATTTCCTTTGTTCAGGGGTCCCTGGAGAGCAGCCCTCCAGGACAGTCACTCTGGATCCTCAACTCTCCAAGAGACCCTGCAACCAACTCCATTCCAGACCTGCGCTCCGAAAGTCCCTGGGGCACAAAACCCACTGAGTGGGGAGCCCCATGACTCCTACAGGTGAGAAGGGTTCCTCCAGGGACAGAGGACCAGCTGGGGACATCCCAGCAGGACTTTTCACTTGCAAGGTCCTCCTGCCTCCACCCCCAGGCCAGGGCAGGTCCGGCGATTTCACGTGGACAACTGTCAATGGGGCAAGTGCTGGCTGAAATCGTCCCCAGCAAGGGATTATCCTTTAAACAGGCATCGCAGCCAATCAGAGCCCTGCTCTCTGGAGGGAGCCACATCCTTACAAAAATCCTTACAAAACAGCCCAGTGTCACCTCCCTACCAGTGCCTGGGCCACCTGGTCCAGCGGAACCCAAACAGATGCGCCCTTGATATCACCACCGAGGCCGATGAGAAATACCCCACGATAAGTGATAAACGGCCCCGGATGTATTCTGCACACACACACACACACACACACACACACACACACACCCACACCCACCACCCCAGGGATGGTCCCAGAAGAAGGCAGTCACTGGGTTCCCATGTGTGCAAGCCCAGCCCCCACCTGGAGAGAGAAACCACTGGATTCCTTCCCTCTGTCAGCCCCCATCCCACGGGGTGGCTGTATGTGATCCTGGTGGCCGATTTCTCATCAGGCAAATCACCCTCATTCACAGGACAGTAAGACAGGGGGCGGGGGAGCGGGGTGCAGCCTTGACGGGAGGTATGAGGTCATTGCTAGCTCAGTGGACTGGTTGGGGGCCCTGCTTCCCACTCAGAGGGACGCCCTGAACCTGGGGATGTGTTTTGGATGGCGAAACACAGGGGGAGAAAACGAGACAGGTTTAGGCCAAACATCTGTACCTGGGTGGGTCTCAAATTCGGGGCTGGGGACAGGTCCAGGAGATTCGGTGCTTTGCAGGATTTGGGGGGGAGCCCTGGGGGGGGGGCACACTGCACGCAGAGAATGGGGAGGGAGCCCAGACTGGGTCTGGAAGAATGGGCAGAATGGAGGTTAAGAGCAAAGGAGAGGGCTGGGCTCTGGTGGGGGTCTCTGCAAGGTGAGGAATGTAAGGTGTTGGGGGGCTCTACGGGTGACACCGACCAGCAGTGCCGGGGGCATTGCAGACATGTCTGTGTCTAAGGCCTGTGGGCTCCCGATGCTTCCATGTCCCGGGCCGGCCCGGAGCTACGAGGGTGACCCCAGGCCGACAAGGTCCCAGGTCCCAAGTCTGCTACATCCGGGTGTCTAGGGCTCAGACTGCATTTTATTGGGGACGGGGAATCAAAACAAGTACAGGCATGCGGGGGGCAATTTAAACATGGGGAGGGGGGAGCTGAGATGGTGGGACAGTGGAAGAGTCGGGGTTCACAGGTCAGAGAGAAAGGAGAACCCAGGTTAGGGGGCGTGGATCCGATGTTCTAAAGACTCAGGGGGAGAAACACGGGGTCTTCAGGGGTTTTGGGGGGGCGGGCAGAGCTCAGTCTAACATTTTAATAAGGATGGTGGGCGCGGACCGGCGGGGGGCCCTCACAGCTCGCAGCTGGCTCAGAATAGGGGGTCACCACAGCCTGAATTGGGGGAGATCTCAGATTCGGGGGTTAGGACGCCACGGGGGATGCTAAGGCTACCCGAGCCCAGCGCAGCCTGAAGGGCCCGGCACTCGGGGTGCTGATGCTCCTGAAGGAGACTGAGCGGGGAAAGAGGTCGCCACCTGGCCCGTCGGCTCGGTTTTGGGGCGATCGCAGCCCACCATGCCTCCGCCTCGGGCCCGGGGGGGTGGGTCCCGCAGCCCCCGGCCGCCTCACCTGGCTCGGTCCCGTCGCCCGCTGACTCCCGCCGGCCCTGCCTGTCCCGGAGCCGCGCCGCAACCTCCTTCGGCCCCTGCACCTCCGTCTGGTCCGCCGCCGCAGACGGGATCCGGGGCTCCGCGGTCCCTAATATGGCGGCGCTTACTACTCCGCGGCCTCCCGGCTCCCTCCCTCCGCCGCGCGCGTCCCCGCGCAGCGACCACGCCCCCACGCCGGCGCGCAGCGCGCCGAGGCCACGCCCCCGCCACACCCCCAAGCGCCTGGGATCGGGTCTCGCCACGCCCATATGGCACAGCTGCGCCTGCGCGCGTGTGGAGCATCTCGGGAGGACGTGACGTCACCGACGATTCGAATCAATACAGGAAGCCAGGGACCACGCGTTGCCAGGGGCAACCGCGACGAGAAAAAGGCTGAGGCAGCGCAGAGAATGGGGAAATAGCCCTGCTGCTGTAGGGCGTGGCTACTATGTGGGGGACAGTCATAGAAAGGGTTCTCGCTAGGCCGGACGCACAATAGGGTAGATCTGAGGTGGACAAACACCCCAGTGAGGCGGTCGGGTCGGGTGATAAGCACGAGCGTCCAACACCAACGAATGCTACTGTTGAGATACCCATTCATTCAACAGACATGGCTGAAAATCCTTCTGCCTCTCCAACCCTAATAGTACAGCAAAGAACCAATCAGGTAACTATTCCTGCTGAAAATCCGGCAAGGTTGAGGTGGGCGTGTTACGCAATGTCGCTTGTCTAGCAGGAGTGAGCCCCGGGTTCCATCCCCCGCACTACCACCACAAAAAGAAGGAAAGAAAAAATCCGGGCGTGGTGTCGCAAGCCTGTAAATGCTCGAGGAGACCGACGCAGGAGGAGCACAAGTTTGAGCGTGTCCTGGGTGATTTAGCAATTTAGCGAGACTCTTTAAAAATTTAAAATACAAAAAGTTCTGAGGGTGTATGTAGGTCGGTGCAAAGGTCCTGGGTTCAATCTCCAGTGCTTTAAAAAAAAAAAAAAAAGGAAAAGAAAAAGAGCAAGTGAGCTAAGCTGACATTTCCTCAAAGAGGATATGCAAATGATATGCAAATACCAGTCCCAGGTGTAAAGCTGCCCAGCGCCGTGGGTCAGTAAGGAAGTGCAAGTGGGGAGCACAGGGAAGCGCTGGCTCACACCTCTGAGGCCGCCTTTGAGTCAGAACAAATCAGAACAAATGGGAAAAGAGGGAATGAGCGTTCCTGTGAATGTGGAGAATAGGATCCTCCCACGCTGCTGGTGAGATTGTAAAATAATGCAGCCAACGTACAAACAGAGTGGCAGATCCTTAAGCTAGTAGACCTGGAGCTGCTGTAACACACAGCGATCCCGCTCCTAGAAATCTGCAAGAGAATAAAACACCCACACCAACACCCCTCGTGAATATCCACCGCAGTGTTACTTGTAACGGCTTGAAAATACACGCAGCCACCGACTGGTGAGCGCACAGCAGCTGTTCATACAATGGGACATTCTTTCACAATAGAAAGGAATGAAACTCAGGCTTGGTGGCCCACACCTGGAATCCCAGCACTCTGGGAGGCTGAGGCAGGGGATTGCAAGTTTGCGCTCAGCCTGGGGATTTAGTGACTTAGTGAGACCCTGTCTCAAGTATGAAGGGTTGGGGACACATAGCTCAGTGTCACGGCTCAAGACAACAGACATAAAAGCCAAATCTTCAGTACTGCAAAAACAAACCACCAAGTAAAAGTTATTTACTAGCTAGCAGAAGTCTGTGAAAACATCCAAAATTACTGAATTACACACCTCACGTAGATAAATTAGATGCTATGTGAATTATACCTCATTAAAGCTGGTATTTAAAAAACTCTCTCAAGCTGGGCATAATGACACACATTTATAATCCCAGCATTCAGAGACTGAGGTAGGAAGATCCCCGTGAGCTGGGGGCCAGACTGGGCTATATAGTGAGTTTAAGACCAGCCTGAATTACAGATTGAGACCCGGTCTCAAAATCGATCCATCAGTCGGTCAATCAGTCTATCTGTCTGCAAGGCAGGGAGATTGCATGTTCGAACTCGCTTGGGCAACTTGGTGAGACCTTGTCTCAAATTCAAAAATAAAAGTAGCTAAGCGTGTCATTCGGTGGTGAGTATTTGCCTAGCATGCTCAAGTCCCCAGGGTTCAATTCTCAGCACTGCAAAAAATAAAATAAAACAATTCAAGGGGATGGAAAAAAGAATTAAGATGCATTAGGTACACGTGCCAGGTCCCTGTGATGACCAAACAGTACACACTGCAAACACATACTAATAAAAATGAAAATTAAAGTTAAATCCAGGGATATAGCTCAGTGGCACAGAAACTGCCTGGCAACTGAAAGGTCTTGAGTTCAATCCCCAGTACCAAAAAAACAAAACAACATTAAAACACTCTTAAGACCCGCCTGCCTAGCAGCTACCGTGCTGGTGAAGATGCAGAACGTGGCGATTGTCATGAGCAATCCTGCTGGGAAAAAACTGTTCCTGGGACAGTTACAGAGCTTAGTATGTGTGAGATCTCTGTTCCAGCATTCCAGCCTCCGGGATGCTGAGTTGCAAGCACCAGGCCATCTCAGGCACCATAGCAACTTCACAAGAATCTCGCCTCAAAATTTTTAATAATAAAGAGGATGGGTGTAGCTCAGGGTCGAGGCCCTGGGCTCAATATTGAGGAGGAAAATAGTTGAATGAAGAAACTTGTTTGTAAATAACTGCCTGTGTAGACTATGATTTATCTCTCAGCTCAGGCCCAGTAGCAGGCTCAATAAATATATTTTTCATAGTAGGAACTCTGTACCCAGAACTCAAATTATCAGCAGTCACGCTAACCTATGGCCTGGAAAACATTTGGCATTTCCACTTTTGCCTAAACAACATTAGCTAGATAGTATGTATCTTTATGGCTTGTTTACTATGTAGCCCAAGCTGGCCTCAAACTTGTAGTGATTCTCCTGCCTCGGTTTCACGAGTGCTTGGATTACAGGCAGGCGCCACCACTGCAGGTTACCTTTTTAACAAGCAGTCACATGGTGTCTGCGTGATGTGGCTGCCAGCCAAGCAAATTCAAGCACCTGCAGGAGCTGGAAAAGACCAGAAGGCTCCCTTAGAGCTTTCAGGGAGCCTGGTCCTGCAAACACCTGGATTTCTGGCTCCAGGGCACAGGGCCACAGAGAGGAGGGCGCAGGAGGCTGGCCTTGCAGGGCACCGCTTCTGCTATCAGTGCCTCACAGGCTTGCAGGCCTCAGACCCCAACGGCTCTGGCTCTGACGGGTGCACACTTTGCCTGTGGGTGTGGTCTCTGCTATCGGCTTCCTGCACGCCTGGATCCTCCAGGGGCCAAGCACACCTGGTCCCAAGCCCTGCAGCTTTCCGTGGTCAGCTCAGCTCTGGACCTCCAGGTAGCCCTCTGCAATCCTCAGCCCGAGCCACGCTGTAAAAATAAAAGTGTGTCAAGACAGCCAGCTCAGGCTGCTACAACTTCCAAATATAGGTAGGAAGATCACACACACACACACACACACACACACACACACACACATCAGAGTGTCAGCTCCAGAGGCTGGAGACCATGTTTGTTTGATTCTGTGTCTGGGTCAATACTGGCATATAGTAGGTGCTCAATAAAGATTTGTGCAACGGGGGCCGGGGATTTAGCTCAGCGGCATAAGCGCCTGCCCTGCAAGCAGGCAGTCAAGAGATCGATCCCCGGTACCAATAAAAAAAGGAAAAAGAAAACAAAAAAAAAAGTTAATACATGTCCAACGTATTTTTCGTTTCTGTGATTTCTGAATACATAATAATCGTCCTAAGAGCAAACTGCATCTGTCAAGCAGCCGTGCTAACTATATGACTTGCAGTTTCTCACTTATTTTGTAGCCTGTGCAATTTAACAACGCAGTAAGTCGCTGTCTCAAAATGCAGACTATAAAGGGCTGGGGTGTGAGGGCTGGGGATTTAGCTCAGTGGTGTAAGTGCCTGTGTGACTAGCACAAGGTCATGAGTTCAATCCTTAGTACACCCCCCACCACCAAAGTTGACACATTAAAAAAAAAAAAAAGCCGGACGTGGTGGCTCATGCCTGTAATCCCAGCACTCGCGAGGAGGAGGGCTGGGGTGTGGCTCAACGTGGGGGTGATGAGGAGGGGGGTGCTAGCTTAGGGGCCTAGAAGTATTTGTAGATGGGATCCCAGTCCTGCGAGGACACCTCCCACCCTCGGGGGGCGCAGTGACCCGACTCGCTGTTTCCCAGCTGCACGGAGCCCGGCGCCGCGCAGTGCCTCCCGGGATTTGTAGTTCTCAGCGCGACGCACAGGCGCAGTACCGACCGTCTTTACCTAAAGAGCTCTCGGTGGGCTCTGCAGAGGGACTAGGGGAGAAGGGGTCCGCGAGGGCGCAGGCAGGTTCAGCAGGGGTATTTGACCGGGTTGCGTGATCACTGAGGCCTGGCCGAGGGATTCTCCCATAAGTGGGTCCCCGGGCGTGGGGCGGGGCTGGCGAGTCCCCTGGCCTGTCTGTAATTACCTGGTCACCTGCTAGAGGAATCTAAAGGCCACCTGAGCCCCGAGGTCAGGTCCGAGCTTCCCGGAGGTGGACTCCTAGCAAAGGAGGGGAAAGGACCAAAACCTCGGCTTTATCTTACCGGCAGAGAGGGGATGCGGCCCTGGGGGCCCCGCGTCCTTGAAGGGTGCAGCCGGTGGGGCCACACAGCTGACCATATCGAGCTGGGGCGGTCAGTGTAACCAGGCCACCCAGCTTCTGTCCCTTCCCCGTCTGTGTGGCTGTCACTGTGGGTAGCGCTAGGACCTCAGCGGGGCAGAAGGTCGCGGGATGCAGGGACTCTTGAGGGATCCCCAGCCCCACGGGGTCTCCATTGGGGTGATTCTGCCCCTCAAAGGTGGGCCTGCTGTCTCACCCAGTCCAAAAATGAAATCGTGAACAAGGAGCCAGTGAAGGGGTGCGTTTATTGGATGTAGAAATGAAGGCTCACTGTAGCTGGGCGTGAGGCTCCAGAAACGCGCCACCAGGGGGCGCTCTTTGCCTAGACTCTTACAGATAAGCAAGCCCCGCAATTTGCTCAGCGCCAGTGATGGCTATCACAGGCAGGCCGACGGGTTTAAAGTAACCGGTTAGGACTTAGGTTTTCTCGAAAGAGAACCAGTTTCTCAGCATCATTCAATTTCTGGAAACCCAGTGGATGTCGGGAGATGTTTACTTGGTACCTTCCATCCAGGTTCGGAGTACTCAGCTTTTTTTGCGGGGGCGGGGGTGGGTGGGTTGGTACCGGGGATCGAACTCACAGCCTGGAGCTTGCCAGGCAGGCACTTACACCACAGAGTTGAATCCTCAGCCCAAGTCCTCAGTCTTTATCTTAATTATTTATCCTTTGCCTCAGAGGAGGAGACCTGTGTGTGTGGTTACCTGCAGACCAAGGGCTCCAGTATCTCAGCGCCAGCTTGGGCTTCCTGATACCTTCACTCCTTGCAGGGCCACTTGCCTGCCCTTGGAGGACAGAATGGCTGCTGGGTACCTGCCACCCTGGTCCCGAGCAGCATCCCCCCCCCCCCTGTATCCAGAGGGAGGAATTTCACCAGTGCCTTGATGAGATGGGGCTGCCCGCGAGGTGGGTGGTCAGGGAGCATTCCCAGGAAGGTCGCCTCTGAACCTGGAGGCACGGGGAGGCAGCACCCTCCCCTGTGGGGCTGTGTGTCAGTCAGTCCCAGGAAGGGCTGCCTGGAAAGTACAGCTCTGAAATGTCTTTTTATTTAAATCTTTAAAATGTCTCTTTAAAATCTGTGATAAAATACACATATCTGAAATGTGCTGGCTGGGTGTAGCGGTGTGCACCTGTCATCCCAGTGCTTAGGAGGCTGAGGCAGGAGGGTCACCATGAGTTTGAGGCCAGCTTGAGCTACATAGTGAGTTCGAGGCCTGTCTGAGCTACATAGCAAGACCCATGCCCTCCCCCCCAAAAAGTGACACCTCACCATTTTTAAGTGCACAGTTGTGGGCATTCCCACTGTCCACCTCCAGGGCCTCCCTTCTCCCGCAGCTGACCCTGTTCCCAGGAAACACTGACAGCTGTCCCCTTGGCGCACGATCACCGTGGGATTTCCGTGTAGAGACCGGACGTCGAGCCCTTTTTTCTAGGAAGCAACTTTATTTGTGCCGGCACTGACGGGCAGGTTCATACCAAAGGCTGAGGACCAAACAGGGCACAGTTACACAGTGTCTGTGTCTCCCGCCCTGTGTGGGCGTTCGCTAAGGTCCCCTACAGCCTGGCCTGTGGATTTATGTCACAGGGTTAGGTCAGAGCTACACATGTCCACACTGAGGCTGGCACCCTAGACTGTAAAAAGTTCCCACCCCGACACATGGAGAGGGGCCCTACCACATTCTCCCCGCTGATGATCGCCTCTCATCCTATTTTGGGTCAAAGCACATGGCCTCGGTTCAGAGGTTTCTATTTCCATAGAGTCATGCATGCGGCTGTTTTTCTTCGACCTTGAGGCTGCAGAGAGAGTATACAGCCAGGGGTTGGGGGGCCGGCAAGGCCCGATCCCACAGGCTCCCCAGAGCAGGGGTGTAATAGCTGTCAGGGCTTTCAATGCCCCCAGTGTTGGCCCCCCCACCCCCCCAAAGCTCCCTGGGGTTCAGGTTTTTCCAGCTCTGGGTTGGAACATGCACAGTTTTGCTCCTTGGTGCAGTAAGCTCCGTGGCCTCTCCCTTAGCATCTATTTGTTGGGAGCAGTTGCTTACATTAAATTTTCCGCAAACCCCTCCCTTGGAAGCAAGCACATTACCTAAGGCCAAGCGATTTTGTTTGTTTGCTTGTTTGAGAGAGGGTCTCACTCTGCAGTTCAGGCTGGTCTTGAACTCACTTATGTAGCCCAGGCTGGTCTCAAACTCACAGCGATCCTCCTGCCTCAGCCTCCCGAGTGAGTAGTTTGTTCTGTTGTTTAGCTAACCAGAGCTTCAGCAGTGTTATTATGATTTCCACAACTGCTTGCAGTCTAATTATGTGGGCTAGCATATAAATGGGTGTGGTAGCCCCAGAATCCATCCTCTGCCCAGGTGACAGGACCATAATACCGAATTATTCTTCACCTTTCCATGGCTCACATGATGGGCACCCAGGTTCACCAATGGGGCCCCGAGTAAAGCAGCCAATCCCAGCGAAGCAGCCCGCCTACAGGGGGAGGGCGGGGCCAGCGGGCTACTGCTCCATATTTCCAGGTTCCTGGGGCTGTGGCAAGAAGCAGGTCAGACAACCGACTGCTATCCAGAACATATAAAGAACTCAGAAAATAGTCCTCCCAGATATAAAGACTCAATCCGAGCCGGGCGTGGTGGCTCACGCCTGTAATCCCAGCACTCGGGAGGCTGAGGCGGGAGGATCCTTGCGAGTTCGAGACCAGCCTGGACTACAAAGTGAGCTCAAGGCCAGCCCGGACTGCACAGCGAGACCCCATCTCAAAAAAATAAAAAAAGAGTTAGTCCAAAAATGGGCATCTGAGGTGAGCACACAATTCTCAGGTGAAGAAATATAAACAGCAAATAAATATAGGAAAAAATGTTGAACATTGCTGCTCATTAAAGAGATGCAAATTAAAACACTGAGATTCCACCTCAGTCCAGAAAGAATGGCTGTTAGCAAGAAATCAACCAATAGCAAACGCTGGCGGGGCTGTGGGGAAAAGGAGCCTTTGCCATGCTGCTGGGCGTGCAGGCTGGGGCAGCCACTGTGGGGATCAGAGTGGAGACGCCTCAGGAAACTAGCACTAGAGGTCCCATTCATCCAGCCACTCCCCTTCTGGGTATCTTCCCAAAAGAATTTAAAACATCACACCACAGCAACATATGTGCACCCATGTTTACAGCAGTACAGTTTATAATAAAAAGCCAGATCTGGGAAGCAACCTAGATGCCCATCGACTGAGGGATGGATGAAAAAGATGTGGTCTTTTTATACAGTGGAGTACTACTGAGCCATAAAGAAGGACACACTGGAGACTTTTATAGGTAAATGGATGCAACTTGAGAACACACTCATTAGTGAAATAAATCAGACATGGATGTAGAAACATCGTATTGTCTCACTAGTGTGAGAAGCTGAAAGAAACAACATATGTACATGTATATATATTTTAAACTAATTAAGATAGTTAAACTACTGATTTCTCTGAGTTCACTGAAGAGAAGGGTTCGTGCCGGTATTGTTCGGACAGTTGAATGCAGATGTCCTGCGCTCTGGGTGAATGATTTGGGGATGACAATGTGCAATGTACGTGCCATTGTTGTTCCTATTGACGTGTTTTGAAAAAAATTTTTTTTCTAAAATCCCGCCTGTATCGCCTTCTCATTGCACAGGGCCACACAGTCACTGTTTCTGGGGTCTGGGCACCGTTATCCTGCGCGCCGCTGGGACTGTGCTGCAGGCATCTCTGCTTGGCCAGTGGCTTCCCATCAGGCTCCACTAGGGGCCGCTGCAGAGAGGCTGGAGCGGGAGGAGGGAAACGCGCTGTTCCCGCAATCCCTTGCGTGTGAACAATGGTTTTGTTGCCTTTCTGTATGCCTTACAGTACTGCACGGTCTAACAATCTCCAGCCTCATCCCCCCCCCCCCACTCATCATTGCCCTGTTTTTCTTCTTTCTGGTGGCAGCGACTGTTCAATGAAGAATTGAGAGACCAGCCAGTCTCAGAGTAACCAGTGAAGTGTCACACTGATGAGTGTGAGCGTCACAGAATTGTCTCTGTGAACACACAGTGCAGGCACACAAGCCTGCATGCCTGCATGAGGAGCGTGCTTCAGACCACTCTTAAGGCAGAGAAGCAGACACGTGTGACCCTGGCACATGGGGGCTGAGGCAGGAGGAACATGGTTGCTGGGAATTCAAGGACACTCTGGGTTACACGGTGAGTTCAAGGCCAGCATGAATTACAGAGTGAGACCCTGTCGCAAAAAAAACCAAAACCAGGTGCAGTGACTCACGCCTGTAATCCCAGCACCAAGAAGGCTGAGGCAGGAGGATGGCTGGGAGTTCCAGACCAGTGTGGGTGACAAAGTGAGCTCAAGGCCATCCTGAACTGCATAGAGACACAGTCTCAAGAAGACAAAAACAAAACAAAACAAAACAATACCTCCCCCAAATCAAAACACAAATACACATAACTTTAAGTGCTTACATTAATTTTTCTTTCTTTTTTTTCTTTTTTTGTCTTTTTCCTTTTTATCGGTAGCAGGGATTGAACTCACGACTGCCTGCTTGCAAGGCAGGCGCTTATGCCACTGAGCTAAATCCCCAACCCCTACATTAATTTTTCAATTGATCCATAAAACATTAAAATTACATTTTAATGGCATACCATGCAATATTTAGTACAGGTATGCACTGAATAATCTTTAAGCCAGATTGCACACCCATCTCCTCAAATATTTATAATTTTTCTTTTTTCTAGGTTTTAGAATGACACTGATTAGCCAGACATGATGTCACATGCCTGTAATTTCAGCACTTGGGAGGCTGAGGCAGGAGGATCATGGAAAGTTTGAAGTCGGCCTGGACTACATAATGAGTTCAATGACACCCTGGACGATCTAGCATGACCGTGTCTCAAAAACAAAAACAAAGGCTCCAGCTGCCCCAGGGGGAGAACCACCAGCGTCTCCTGAGATCTGCATCACGTTGGAACTTAGAGGGCTGGGAAACCAAGCAAGCAGCCTGCCTCCCTGTTAAGCAACAGTGAACCTACCGGTGCATGGACTTGGGAGTCAAATATCCCACTTCCCCTGCCCCGCTTCAGCAAATGGGAACCAGAGATCTGAGCATCTCTTGGGAGGTTGACCATATGCAATATAGCAAATAAGGGGGATTTCCTTCTACCATCTTTTTGAAGGCAAATATTTTTTTTGCTTTATTCTGATTAATGGTACTGTTCTATTCAATATTCTGTTTTGATAAATTCTACAATGTTCTGTACTTCATTTTGCTATACATGATTGAAAGAACAACTACTATTGTGAAGATAACGAGATATACTGTGATACCTATGACTGTTATCCCAATAACCTGCTGTGAAGTTCTGTACCAATTTCACTACACTGTCTCAACTGGCTTTGTTCTGTCTTGTTCTGTTGTATTTTACTACCTTCAAAATAATAAATAAAATTTTAAAAAAGCAAAAAACAAAAATAAAAAAGAACGATACTGCTCTTTTTGAAACTTACCATACATTAGTCCGTAACACAAATACATATATCATCACAGTTTATTTTTAATACTTTATAATCTAATGAGGTATTTTTAAATAGTAGCCACTAAAATAGTGGCCTCTAAATCTTATTGTTTAGGAACGGGAATAAGATATACTTATAAATCATCAAAAATAAGCTTTTAAACTCCTGCCTGAAAATGAAACGGCAGGTATTATCAAAGTTTGGTAACCCACATAATCTCCAACGAGGCGATGTTTTCTGAAATCCAGCAGCCATGTTAACGGTATTAGATGATTAGCTTCAATCTTTGTAGTTTTTAGGTTCATCTCAAATTTATATGACCTTCCTTCTTTCCTTCCTTCCTTTTTTTGTTTTGAGACAGGTTCTCACTCTGTAGTCCAGGCTGGCCTCGAACTTGCGGTGACCCTCCTGCCTCAGCCTACTGCGTGCTGGGATTCCACGCGTGCAGTGCCCTGTCCAGTCCAGGTCCTCATTCTTAAAGCGATCCGGTGCACTGGTCACTTCTTTCCCCAGCAGGGCTCCAGACCTCTTCTTGTCCTATCAAGGGCTATAAGAGACGGGCGTGGCTCTAGAGGGGAAACTGACTGCAGTTGCCTCGCACACCAGTGCTCCAGCGGGCGCCAGACCGCGCAGAGGGGCGCTCAGCCCAGATCCAAACATGCGGGAGAGGGCGGGGGCTCGTTCCCACCGCCTCACTCACTCGGAGCACAGTGGGCGGTGCCTGGGGAACCGTGCAATCAGGGGAGAGTAGGGCGGCACCCAGAGACCAATCAGAAGTTCTGAGGTGTTGCTCAGGGCACTAACCAATCAATGGAAAGAAATGGGGCGGGAACCAGGGCGACTGTCAAATAGAAAGAGGTGACGTCTGCTTTGTAGTCCAATGAGAGCTCGGGGGCGGGGCGTCGGACCTCCGCGACCCCTAGTGTCAAGTGCAGGGGCACTCAGCTGCAGAGTCCCCTGAACCTCGCAAGTCCACTCCATGGAACGCGAGCAGGTGCAGCATGGCGAGTGCGGGGCGCACTGGCGGGCCACGCTGGCAGGAGGCTTGGGGTCCCATGTACGGTATCGGCGTGTCCTGGCCAACATCCTCCTCCTCGCCCCTCCCCAGGGGACCCCAGCAGATACCTGTCGGGGACACGGTGCGTTGCTGCTCCAGAGCTCAGGCAGGGGGTGACAGGGGCGGCCCCTCTTGTAAAGATCGGCCCTGGAAGCCGGGTCCCTCCCTTCACTCAGCGCCCCCTGGGGCTCGGGGCCAGGTTTGCTCCTGGGAAGCAAGATGGCTGAGGACGGGATGGTGCCTGGGTTGTCACACGCCAGAGAAGCGGAAAGGGAATTCACTGCAGAAATGGGAGAAACCCAGGCTGGGAGACAGGACAAGGGCCTGAAAAGCAAAATGCACGTCAGACATGGGGTGCAGGACTGTCCTGCTCGAATGACAGCGGCCTCTGATCCCAGCAATCGGGAGGCTGAGGTAGGAGGATGGCTGGGAGTTCAAGGCCAGCGACTCCCTGTCAATACGAGAGTCTCAGCTTTTCAGTAAAAATAACCATTAATAGAATTGTAAGATTAAGTATGTTGGACTGGGAATTTAGCTCCGTGGTGTAAGCGCCTGCCTAGAGAGTGCAAGGTCGTGAGTTTGATCCCTGGTACCAAAAAACAAAAAAATTTTTTAAAAAGCAGATAAAGGGGTGGATTGTGGGGAGATGGTTCCACCTTGCAGTCTATTTAAGTGCTCTTATTTCTTTCTTCCTCCCTATTCTTCAATGGGAAAATTGTTTTAAATGTATCTTGCTTGTATATTATAAAGTCGATTCCAGCAACTTTTAAACTGGTTACTGGTAAGTACTATTCTATTGTAAAATAGGACATCAGTGCAGAACAATGCATAGGACTTATGTATAGCTGCCAGAAATGTCAAAAAATGATTGTCCATGAAGTTGAGGCTGAGATGGGCTCGTGAACAACAATATAGCAACCAAGCAGCCAAACTGATAAAATTTGGAATTTGATTAACTGAGCTCAGGACCGTCCTGGTTCAGGGTCCTAACAAGTGGCCCTGAACTTGAAAGTGACAGAGTTTTTAAAAGAGAGAATCACAAAATACATCCTGTTGGAAACAGTGTAACTTGAATCTTTCATTAATTTTTGGTTGCTTTTGTTGAGCAGGTTAATTTTTCTCCTGTAGGTATAGCTCATTCTGCTTTTCTCATAGGACTGGTACCCTGAATAATTTTCCATTTTTTTCTGAGTCAAATACAGGGCACTAGTTAAATGCAAGGCTCAAGATGGTGTCAGTTATGCCAAGCCACAATATTCCCCGCTGGCTTAGTGCATGAATCAAATCCTTGATTTCTGTCATCCTTTTAAAAGTCATCTTCCTCATCTACATTTTGTATTCCTCATATTGGGAATGCATAACCATTAATTTAATAGATTGGACTTGGCTTTGGATGTAATGCATTAAACAGTTTATCATGCAGGAGCCAACAGTGACGATCAGCAGGAGGAAAATCAGGGGTCCTGCCAGGGCCGAGAGTGGGGTGGTCAGCCACGGGGTAGTGGAGAACAAATTTTCTTACTTTTTTTTTTTTTTTTTTTGTCTTTTTTGTTTTTATCAGTACCAGGGATCGAACTCACGACCACACACTTGCAAGGCAGGCGCTTATGCCGCTGAGCTAAATCCCCAGCCCCAAGAACAAATTTTCAAACCAACTCTGTTGATGATTTCTTTCAATTTTCCCCTCAGCTAGTCCCCTTCTGAGCTGACTAAGACTACCCCTAATAATTCCTGAGTGGTCGGTGTAAAAGCAACAGGATTCACCAAGGGCTAGGCATAGACCTCCTGGTTTAAGAACAGGAGGTCTGGGCCTCGCTGGTTCGAAGGACCAGCTCAGCCAGGGAGGTTAGAGACTTGGAGAAGAACATAAGTTAAGATACAGAGGCCAGGGCTAGGGCCAGTGAACACAGCCAGACGAGCGCAAGGGGTGAGGCCGTTTGTACAGACAAACCAAGTTTATGTTGGTTGAGGGGGTGAGAGACATTTTGTACATACACAGTAATTACAATTAATTCAAAATGGGAGTGTTTCCAGGGAAAATTTACAGTCTGAATACAAAGTCCAGAGCCCTGAATGTTTCCCAAAGTGAGGGGCTTAGATCCTTGCCCCACCAGCATGAATCAGAATCAAGGTTTGAGGTGTTTACAATCTGGGATTGATCGTTGGTCCCAACAGTTCTGTTCACAGCAAGTCCTGCCTGATAGGGGGGCTCAGAATTTAAGCATGACCAACAGTCTCGGGTAATGTTGGGGGTGAGCTATTAAGTAATTTAAACATCAGTTCCACATATTGGAAGACAGGGCTCTAAGGCTGTAATCGTTTGGGGACAGATGGAGAGAGAGGGGAGCTCACGGCGGAGGTAACCACTCCAGTGGCAAGGCAAGCCCACTGAGGGGGCCTGCGGGTTTTGGATGGATTGGAATACTTTCTGGTTTTTTCCGGATGGTAAAGAGTGAACCAGGATCCCACCCAGTGACACAGAGGTGAATGCCCCGAGGTTTTCCCCCGTTCCAGGAAGAATCTTCTGGTTGTTTAGGCCAAAATAAAAGTAGCCCTTGCGGGAGTCACACCCAGCAGACAGATAAGGGTCATTATCTGACCAGGAGGCTACAGTCTCACAACCCCAAGCAGTTTGGAGACAATAGTAATAATGGCTCAGATTCGACCCTAAACTAGTGGAACATCCATCCACATTAGACATGGAAGGGAATGGTTGGGTCTGACGAGAGAAGCCCAGCTGGAATCCAAGCGGCTGAGACAAGGCCAGTGCTTTTAGGGTTTTGTGTTAGCCCTCCCCATGATGGAACGGAGGGTGACGTTAAGGAGACGGGTTCCAGCGGGACGTGGTGGCTCACGCCTGTCATCCCAGCACTCGGGAGGCTGAGGAAGGAGGATCGTTCAAGACCAGCCTGGGCTACAAAATGAGCTCAAGGCCAGCCTGAACTACACAGTGAGACCTTGTCTCAAAAAGACCAAATGAAAAAAAAGGAGGGGGTCCAAGGTTTCAGGTAGAGGCCAGGGTTACTCCATCTGAAGTTCTAGTCATAGCCCGCATGTAAGCTACAGGGCATGGTTTTTTGTGGGTGTGGGGGTATTAAGGAAGATTGTACCTATAAACAGACTTAGCATCCCCATCTTTGAGGCTTAACCTTTAAAGGGTCAAGAGACTTCCCAATAGTCCGCTTAGCTGAGTCTCTGGTCCTGCAGGCTTAAGTGGAGTGTTGGATCCAGTGGCCCTGGGAGACTCAAGGTGACCGCACGGGGTCCTTTCGGCGGGCCCTGGGGATGTGGGCTCTCTCCTTTGATGTAAATTTGGTCACCAGGTGGAGCTGCCAGGGGGTCATCAGGTCTTTCAGGAACGGTCTGGTGGCCCCTGAACAAGCCATGAGCAGAGTGCAGGAAGGGCCCAAGAGCCTGTAAGGACCCAACAAGCTCCCCACTAGTGACAGCAGCCAACGGATGATCTCGGACACGGGGACTCAAAGGGGGCGGACGGCCACCCATGTCCTCAAACGGACTGATGTCCTGGAGGTGGGGGGTGCATCATGCATGCAGGAGGGCAAAAGAATGGTGACTTCCCCAGTTTTTGGCAAGTCTCGTCTGATCAGAGGGTAAGAACATTCGGCCATGACAAGGAAACTGTGGGTGAGGGAGCCTCTGCTCAGATCCATCATACTGGCCTGAGTCCATGGTTAAGTCTTTATTTTTCCATTTGCTCCCTGAATGCTCAATTGGTTTGAGTCAAGGGACAAACTGGCTGTTGTAGGACTGAATAGATTGCCCCTGTGTCGACGAAAAAGCTGAGCTTTTGGCCCCCCACAGTAACAGTTAACTGGGGTTCCTGGGGGCCAAGAGAACGCTGACTGACTGTTCTGAATCAGGACATTTGGAGTGGACGAGGTC